GTGAAAAATCCATAAAAATAAAAAAATGAGAGAATTTTAGAAAATTATGATGAAAACCTGCATGTTTCTCATTAAATTGGGGCATTTAGAGAACTTTTTTAAAAAAATTATTCATTTATTTAATTTTTTTTTATTAAATTGTGAACGTTTCATGTCATTTTTGGCCAACAAATAAAAGGTTCTGATAAAAAATGTTGTAAAATTATTTTTCAAAATTGTATCTTTTCCTGCATGTTACTCGTGGAATTAGGGTAGTTACAGAACATTTTCTGAAAATTCTTCTTATAAAACTTTCTGTCAAAATGTGAACGTTTCATGACATTTTTTTGGTCAAAAAATAATGAATTCTGATGAAAGATTTTGTTTATTTTTCAAAATTGTATCTTTTCCTGCAAGGTTTCTGTCAAAATGTTAAATTGTACTGTATCTTTTCCTGCATGTTTCTCATTACATTAGGGCATTTAGAGAACATTTTTAGAAATTTATCTTTATAAAGGTTTCTGTCAAACTGTAAACTTTTCATGTCATTTTTGGTCAAAATAATAAATTCTGATTAAAGATTTTGTAAAATTATTTTTCAAAATTGTATCTTTTCCTGCATGTTTCTCATTAAATTAGGGCATTTACAGAACATTTTTAGAAATGTATTTTTATAAAATTGTGTATCAAAAGGTGAATTTTTCGTGTCATTTTTGGTCAAAAAACCCAAAAATTGATAAAACTTTTTGTCAAATTATTTTTTAAAATTGTATCGTTTTCTGCATGTTTCTCATTAAATTAAAGCATTTACAGAACATATTTAGCTATTTATTTTTATAAAGTTTTTGTCAAAATGTGAACTGTTTCTGTCATTTTCGGTAAAAAAACAAAATGGATGAATATTTTTGTAAAATAATTTTTCAAAATAGTATCTTTTCCTGCATGTTTCTCGTTAAATTAGGGCATTTAGAGAACATTTTTAGAAATTTATGTTTATAAAGGTTTCTGTCAAACTGTAAACTTTTCATGTCATTTTTGGTCAAAATATTGAATTCTGATGAAAGATTTTGTAAAATTATTTTTCAAAATTGTATCTTTTCCTGCATGTTTCTTATTAAATAAAGGCATTTACAGAATATTTTTTTGAGAATTCTTTTATAAAATTTCTCTGTCACTTTTCGTGAAATTTTGGTCAAATTTTGATGAATATTTTAGTAAAAGTATTTTTCAAAATGGTATCTTTTTCTGCATGTGTATCATAAAAAGATTTTTTCTCACATCTCATGTTGGTCAGATGGTGAAAATTGATAATGAAATTTAAAAAATGTGAACATTCCATCTTTTCTGCATGTTTCTCATCAAATTAAAGCATTTTGAAATTTATATTAGAAAAAAAAAATCTTTTTGGAAAATCGTAATTTCACATTTCACGTTGGTAACTTTTGACCAACAAACTTTTCATGAAAATATTTGAAAAAGCACAATTCTGAATTTTAGGTTTTCTACATGGTTCTCATCAAATTAGAGCATTTTGAAATTTTGAAAAAAAATTGTTGAGAATTTTTCGGCAAAATCTTAATTTCGCATGTCATGCTGATCAGTTGGTGAAAATTTATAATGAAAGTTTTTAAAAAGAGTAAACATTTAATCTTTTCTGCATGCTTCTCATCAAATTAGAGCATTTTGAAATTTTAATTTTTTTTTTTAATTTTTAGCAAAATCCTAATTTCGCACATGTTAGTCAGATGGTCAAAAAATGTATGATGACTGAAAGAAAGCAGAAAAACAATTATCAAAAACAAAAATTGGGAAATGTTTGGTTGCAGTTACATTACCTTACTGTCTTTCATTCCAGCTAGATGTTGAATAGCTCCAGAAATTCCAACAGCGATGTACAAATCCTGTGAACATTAAGAAATGTAAGTGTTATTTTCTTAACATGAAAGGTTACAGGATATGCATCAGATCAAATCTATCCCATGGTTGGTGTGTGGGATGTATGAAAGCGTAGTGAGGTGATGTGTTAATGCACAGCCATATGAATATTCTAGTGATTTTTAATAATCACACTGCACCACGTTTTAGTGTGAACTTGGTGCAGCAAGTCAAATTAATTGAATTTTGAATAATATTTTATTTGTGCTACAAACAAATACAATAATGCGACAGCTGTGAATGTAGGGTGTGGTTTGTCTAAAGTCCTACCTACAAAAGAGGGGCGCTGCAGAACAACTGCTCTAACAAAATGTCAATACTATGCTTTTGAAAGCAGACAGAGCAAACCATAGTCAGACCAAATTGTTTTAGATATTTGTAGTTATAAGTCTTTTATTAAATAAAAAATATTAATATAATTTCTCCAATACAAGTTTGTCTAATTTGACACAGGTTCAATGAGTTCCCTAAACTGCTGTGGTGAGAGAAAAAGTCGAAATAATATGCAGTATTTTACAAGCTGGTCAAAGCATTTTTGAAAATCCAATTTAGAGAGTGTACCTTGGTCAAAGGCCCTGACCAGACATCAATACATTGTGCTTTAATGGATCAGCTGAATCGTTGAGAGATCCTAATGTGCCATCAAGAGCATTTCACTGGGCTTAATGTGTGGATAATCACAGCTTGGCCAAGCCAGCAAAAAACACATAATGGGGACTTAACCTCTTTAAGAGGAAAGAGCCGACATCCTGATGATACAGAAATGTGAGCATGACAACAGCTATCAGGCATTTGTCAAACACAATAGGTTTCTGAACTCTGATGACTCAGTTCTAGCAGCACATGTCTGAAAAAAACCAAGCCCCTCCTTTAATTTTTCTAAGGTGTGAGAAATCCATAAATAAAAAAATAGCTTACCGGTGCTACAATTTTGCCAGTCTGTCCAACCTGCATGTCATTGGGAACATACCCAGCATCCACTGCAGCTCGGGATGCACCAACTGAAAAAAGGATGCGTTATTAATTGCGCATGAAACACATTTTATTTTGTTACAACATGCTGATCACACACTACCTGCAGCATTCAGTTTGTCAGCGAGGTCATAAAGCAGTTTGAAGTTATCTCCGCTTTTCAAGCCTCTTCCTGAGAGGAAAACAAAACAGATGAAGGACAATTCAACATGTGAACAAACACACTATAATGGTAATAACTAGAATTAGTATAAATAACTGAAGTGTTCTCTTTTTGATTCCTTCTGATAGAATCTACTATTTAAGCCGGTTTAGGTTGTTTTCAAAATCTGGTAAAAAGGGCAGTTTGGATGCTTGAATGTCAATTTTCCTACTACAAATTTTTAAACAAATAGTTACAAATGGTTAAATATTTGGGCAGAATCCTCCATGACAAATTGCCGGCTCCTACCTCCTGATATCACAGTTTTAGCACTTGTCAGCTCTGGACGGTCACTCTTTGTCAGGTTCTGCTCCAGCCACTCAGAGATAGCAACAGGTGAAGTTGCAGCAACTGCAGAACAGAGGAAGACAAAATGATGCGAGACATAACCAAGAATTTCACTAGAGGTGCAGTGAGGCTGAATAAATATTTAATCATCTATGCTACAAACAGTTTTGTATAATTTGGATCAGATTTTGACTTTAAATGATAAAGCCACTCTACCTTCCTCTGATGTGGCACTTCCTCCTCCTGGGGAAGCCGCCTCAAAGGACGTCCCTCTGACAGTGAACACTTTGACTGCTTCATCACATTTCACAGTGCTAAGAGCATTACCTAAAAGTAAATGAAACATGTACAGAAATAAGAATCCTCAAAAAGAGCCACAGAAAAAACAATTGTGCAAACTTAGCACAGGCAAAAATGTCATCTAACATTATATTTATAAAAGAAAATTAAGATGGCCATAATAATTAGCATACCTGCATAGATGGTACGGACAAAAGTGTCTGGGGACTTGATCTCAATAATATCAGAAATAGGGGCTACATCCAACTTGGCTGCAACTCTAGGGAGCAAGTTCTGCAAATGACAGGAATAGATTACACTGTATTAGAGCATTCTTATATTTATTGATACCGATTTAATTTTCACAGTTAATAGCAAGTTTTGAAATAAAATTTGTATTTTACTCATTACAAACACTGCACTGAAGTGATTGACACAATCGCTGCTGTTGTCTGATGCCTACCTTTCCAAAAGCTGATGCACCAGCACAGATGTGGGTGAAATTGAACTGTTTTTGTGTTTCCAGGATTAGTGGAGTCAATTCCTCTGGAAGAAAAAGTTGGCGAGACTTGTTAAGTCTGATTTTTTTTTCTCCACATTGTGTAAATATCAAGTTGTATATGGTAGCTAATCCTTGCTCAATAAGAAAAATCACTTTGATGGATGTTTATGTTTACAAAGAGACATCTATATGAGGAGAGACCATATTCCTGTGGAGCAGGAAGTATTTTGAGCAAGGCATCTTGATAAAATTAGGCTATACACAAATTTCACACAAAAAACATTTAGATTCTTTGTGGTTACTGACCTGGCAGAGCACCTTTGTAGGAATCATGCTGGGCCACCAGAACTTTCTTAACACCCTGTATTTTGCTGATTTCCTCCACAACCTAGACAACACACGCAGATAAATATAGTTGATCAAGATTTTCTGATGCTTCCATAGGTCCTCATTTTTTAAATATATTTTCCTACTTTTTAATTCTTAGCTCTCTTTTGACATTGTATTTCAGTTAGTACTGCAGAAGTCCAAATAACCCTTCAACATTATCACAATCCCCTCCTTGAACCGCAACCTTATTGTGGTGGAGGGGTTTGAGTATCCAAATGAACCTAGGAGCTATGTTCTCAGGGGCTTAACGCCCTGGTAGGGTCTTCCAAAGCAAACAGGTCCTAGGTGATGGATCAGGCCAAAGCATAACTTCAATCTCTGGGAGGGGTACTGGTTAGTGCACTTCTTCCATCGTCCTGTTGGGGGACTTCAACGCTCAGGTGGGTAGCGACAGTGACACCTGGAGGGGTGTGATCGGGAGGAATGGCCTTTCTGATCTGAACCGGAGTGATGTTTTGTTATTGGACTTCTGTGCTAGTCAGTTTGTCCATAACAAACACCATGTTCAAGCAGGGTCTATCATTGCATGTGGCACCAAGACACCCTAGGCCGGAGGTCAACTTTTTAGTCATTTTATCTGAACCCCAGCCATATGTCTTGGCAAGCGTATTGTAAAGTCTGTAAGGAGAGAGATGTCTGGATGTTCCTGCTCAGACTGCTGCCCCCGTGACCCGAATAAGCAGACAACAAGGGATGAATGGGCACTATCACAATAATAACACAAACTACTACTTTTGTTTACCTTTGAACAGTTTGTCCCAGCAACCAGACAAGACACATCTCCACCCAGTTTACTGGCAGCAGTGATGGTGTTCAGAGTAATTGGGGTCAACTTGTCATTGTTGTGCTCTGCCACTACCAAGGTGCTTTGAAACCTTTGCAGGAGACCCGTCTGTCAGAGAAAGTATGACACGGTAAACAACACAAACAGATTGGTAAAACACTTACACTGCAAATTATTTATTTGAAAATGCAATTTATTTTATCTTGACATGCCACATTAAAATATTATGTTTCTATTCATGATAACTTGATTTGTGATACATATCACTGATTTGTGTACAAAGCTTAAAATATGAATGACATTTATGGCTGTGTAAAAAATTAGATTTTATTCATCTCTACGTACAAAACATGTATCAGAGCAATACAATTTTTATTTGCATTTGTAGCACTCATGAAGCAGAAATACACACTCCCAAGACCTACAGTACAGTACAAACATATGAATAGACTTATCATTTTGAGTACCAGTTTCCAGAGTCCACTTTTCTGACCTTGATACCAGTTACTTAAAAATAGTAGAGAGAAACTAAATTTATTCGTGATAACATTCGTGTTACTATATAGTTAACCTAAGTAGAGTTAGTACACCTAACACTAACCAGTCGGTGTACATACGTGAAACGTTTTAGGGGAAAAATAGGCTTGTAGGAACAAAACCTTTGAAACACATTACAGACTTGGTACAAGTCAGGACAATACCAGATTTACCTGGATATGACTGAATGTAGGCAGTAATGACAGGTCATTCAGTAAAATCTAGGTCACTTTAAAAAACAACATTCACTGTCTAATATTAAGGTATATTCTAAAATGCAGGACATGCCTTTAGCAGTAACTTGTTTGTTTTGTTTTTAACGATTATGTAATATGACGCTCAACGCTGATCTTTTATAACTCTGTGCCTATACTATGCTAACAACACCTAGCTTGGGTTATTCAATATATTGTCCCGTGATTGTATAGTTACATTTGAAAAGAAGTGAACTCAGAATAAATCATACTCTACTGCGAATACGAAGAGTCCCAAAACAGTATGAAATCCGATTATATATTTTCCACATGGACCAAACCAAGCTAACCTGCTAGCAGCTGCTAACATATTGAGTAACTGATGCGTTTCACTATTTAAGTCTTGCTTAACTGCAACAAATAATGTCTCCTCTACATTTAACTCCTGGAGTTACACGTGAAGCACTTACTAAATGTTTCAGGTTCGTTTTGTTAAAGGCTCTGTTCATTTTGGTAGCGATTCCCTTGCAGTCTGCAGCTCAGCGAGGGTGCAAAAACATAGAGACAGGGTCAATGACGTTTGCGGTCATTCAACTTCTCGCGAGATATAGCGTTAAAAAGCGATATGTCTGTCTTCGCCTCTTTGAGTCCGGAAAGATTTGCTTTATATTCTATTTCCTTTTGTAGAAACGTATCTTAAATATTTCCCCTGTTAGGACTGAAGCCTAACCAAATACAATGTATTTGATAGAATACAAATTTTTTGCGGACATTTTTTCAAATTATTTTTACTGCACAATTTTTATACTACATTCAAAATAAAAGATTGAAAAATATATTTGCTATTATAAAAACATTTGTAGTGATTAACGACATAAATATTTATTGTTTCACATATTTATAGAAAAGGGCCGAAAACTGGGAAAAGGAATGATTTGAGCAACTTGAAAATGTCATTACATGATTTTGTTGCCATTGTATCACAAATTGCAATTCATTTTATGATGGAAATTGTTTGCAAGTACTACTACTACTATCATAATATCAATATCACTACTACTACTACTAATAATAATAATAATAATAATAATAATAATGATCATTATTATTATATAACTACCGTTACTGATAATAGTAATTCCAGTTATTCCATTTAAAAAAAATTAACGTCTGCTTGTGGGGGAACGATTTCCAAGAAATCTATACTAAATATCATCCAGCAGAGGGCACTCTATGGCGAGGACAGTGTTGAATGGATGTATGAGAAATACATTTATTATCTTATTTTCGGTTTACAACCAGCCAGTAATAATAATAATAATAATAATAATAATAATAATAATAATAATAATAATAATAATAATTCTATATTATTAAAATTACTTACTATCGAGTCTACAAAAATGTAAGTGTTAGTGATTATTTAACAATAAATCCTTCGTTTATAGAATTACACTTAAAACTGGAGCCTATCATAAGCAGGGAAACTGCCGAGTAAAAAGAGATGTGCAGTGCTGTTGGGCACGACAGGAAAAAGAAAACACCAGGCACGCACACACACATAGACGTACACACACACCGCAAAGCACACACGCGTGCACACGTGTACACAGCTCCCCTCACAGCCAGTCTACAAAATAACAGAGAGAAAAAAACTAGGGTCCCTGCAGGAGAGGAGAAGATTTGCATGGCACCTCTCCCACTCTGGACGCACGGAGAGGTCCAGGTCTACAGACGTCACTGGTCCAGGATCTTTGTTTTCTCTCCACCTCTCGGTGGAGAAGGAATACAAGTTTATCCTGCAGCCTGCAGGGACGGGACGCTCTCTCTGTGTGTCTCTGTGTGTCTCTGTCTGTCTCTGCTCCATCTGTCGGACTTGCACTGGGCCATTTCTCCTGTATGGTGGACATCCTGCTCAACACTTCTTTCTTGGATGATATGGGGGATCATTCCAAAAGTAAGATCTGTTTCTCTCTGGATATAGTTTGTTTTGTTATTATTGTTATTATATACCAGAAAGTCTAATGTTACTTTCCAGTATCCGCAGTTTTGTTCATTTTCATGACTAATTAATAAACATCGCGGTTTACAATATAAAATAACAATATGCACACACTCAGCAACCTCGTTCTTTGTGTAACAAAGAAACCAAAAATCTAAGCAATATCACTACAATTACATTACAGTCTACCTTTTGCATATTTAAATGTTCGCCATTCAAGATTATTTTTGGATTTCGTCATTTTCTTGGAATGACACTGTATGTTTGCTGTGCGCAACAACTTCGCCTCCTCAAGGTGAAAGGGAGGCTGAAAAGGGGGTTTAACGGGGATGTCATGGGGATTAAAAAGCGCACACAAACAAACTGAGGGGGTGTTGCATTGATGCATGGTCCTCCACATTTCACACAGAGAAGTCGGGAATCGCAATGTGTGTGGGCTGTGGAAGTCAGATACACGACCAGTACATCCTGAGAGTCTCCCCGGACCTGGAGTGGCACGCAGCCTGCCTGAAGTGCGCAGAGTGCAACCAGTATCTGGACGAGACGTGTACTTGCTTCGTCCGGGACGGAAAGACTTACTGTAAAAGAGATTATGCGAGGTGGGAATGCAACCAATAAATTAATAAATAAAACTTAAAAAAAATGTCCTGCATTTCACAAATTTCATATGTTTTACTGTGTTCATATGCAAAAAAGTTACCCTGGAATTAATGTGGGTCGTTTTGTAAAGATGACAAATGTCTATTTAAATTCATTCATACGATATTGGGTTTACTTTGTGCACATCTCTTAGATATAGTGCTGTGCAAAAGACTTATGCCACCACGAGCCATTGTTATTTCTGTATTTTTAAAATAGTTTAATTTATTGTGGGTTTTTTTTCGGATGAAACAAAAATATAGAAATGTTTAGTCAATATCCAAAAAACACAATTACAAAAATACGTTCAGAACAAATGTGACGTTAAATTGTCAATTGGTTTATTATTTTTAATATTTTAGTATTAAAATAAAATGTAAATTATTTATTCCGCATGATTCGATTTGAATCTCTAATATTGTCTGATACATGTTTTTTCCACAGTTATATAGTAAAATAGACTTTTTTCTATAAAGTAAAATAAGTAAGGGAGTACAATTCTGGAAAATATTTCATCTTTTTGATAACATCCCAGTTTTGGGGCCTTGTCAGATTCCCTGTAAGAAACAACACCGGCCCTTATCTTGTTTGACTTAAGAATAAAGGCGCAAACACGTGCAGTTTATAATATCATGTCTAAATAAAATGGCGAAGTCTTCCTTTTTGAATAAGTTCAGGAGCCTTGGAGGAACAAAACAAAACAAGAGGCGGCGCAGACGAGCGTTACTAATTCAGCAGCAGGGAAACTATAACACGGCCAATAAGGTTCAGGACCAACGTGTCTCCCTTTGCGCTCCTTTTACAGGTTATTTGGCATCAAATGCGCAAAGTGCAATATGGGCTTCTGCAGCAGCGATCTGGTCATGAGAGCCAGGGACAACGTGTACCACATGGAGTGTTTCCGCTGCTCGGTGTGCAGCCGACACCTCCTGCCGGGAGACGAGTTCTCCCTGCGGGAAGAGGAGCTGCTGTGTCGGGCGGACCACAGTCTGCTGGCGGAGCGGGGCTCTGCAGGGAGCCCGCTGAGCCCGGAGAACATTCACAGCAGAACATTGCACATATCAGGTGTTATTATTATTATTATTATTATTATTGTTATTATTATTATTATTATCCTGTTTAAGGCCTGGTATTTTCAAGCTTTTCACATCAAATCACAGACCACACTAAACTTTAACTGTGTCTTCACCTCAGACCCGGTTTCGGTTCGTCACCCTCCTCATCACCGGAACCACGTCCACAAACAGTCAGAGAAGCCGACCAGGGTCCGGACGGTGCTGAATGAAAAGCAGCTCCACACCCTGCGGACCTGCTACAACGCCAACCCGAGGCCGGACGCTCTGATGAAGGAGCAGCTGGTGGAGATGACCGGCCTGAGCCCCAGGGTGATCCGGGTCTGGTTCCAGAACAAGCGCTGCAAGGACAAGAAGAAGTCCATACTGATGAAGCAGCTCCAGCAGCAGCAGCATAGCGACAAAACAGTAAGTGCACTAGCTCTGTTGCTATTATTATTATTGTTGTTGTTGTTGTTATTATTTATAATTTGTTCTGTCATGGCGTATGAAGTCAAATTGATTTATTTAAAAACTGAGCGGAATAGTTTGTATCTAACTTCTCAGTTCTCAGTTTCTCTGCGTCACTTCCTTTACTCTAGTAATAAACGATACTGAACGTTTTATACATATGTAGTCATTTTTATTTTGTTTCCCAAAATACGTTTTTAACGATAATATAGACAAAAGGAATATAAATATAGACATCTAAAGAAAGAAAAACAAATAACCAACCGCTTATTATTATTAATTTTACTTTAATATAATTATTATTGTCGTTGTTTTATCATTCTTGTTGTTGTATTACTCCCCGTTTTCTTTTACATTTATGGGCAGACAAATTAAATACATTTAATTATTTATTATTTATTATTTGTTGCGTCAGAATCAATAAGAAATAAAATGATTTTGTTTAAATATTTACTATATTTTATATTTATATTTTAATATTTAATAGACTGTAAGATATTCCTATTTTTAAATAACCAAAGAAAGATTGATTTAAATATTTTATACAATATAGAGAGTACAGCATCGACGACACTGTTAATGCTGAATAAACCTCCAGTGATTTTAATGCAATTGTCTCTGAAAGTGTCACGTGTTTCTGCGTTATATTTCAGCAGAAATCAACGAGAATGAATTGATTCCACGTCTTCAGATCTCGATATTTAATATATGTTTTTATCTTTTTACCCTGGTGTAGAATCTACAGGGCATGACAGGCACTCCTCTGGTGGCGGGCAGTCCGATCCGCCACGACAACACGGTGCAGGGCAATTCAGTGGAGGTGCAGGCCTACCAACCCCCGTGGAAGACCCTCAGTGACTTCGCCCTGCAGAGCGACCTGGAGCAGCCGGCCTTCCAACAACTGGTAAATAAACGATAAACAAAAGAGATAAAAACAGTAAAACAGAGAGGGAGAGAGGGAGAGACAGACAGCGAGAGAGAGAGGGAGAGAGAGAGAGAGAGCTTAACAACTGTTGAAATAGTCATATTTAATTGGGCCAAAGAAAAACGATAATTTTGTTTAACAAATAATGTAAAGATGATTAAAAAATCAATCTAGAGTTCAGCGACAACGAAACCTCAACCAACTTTATTTGAATACGTAAACAACCGTTTTTCAGTTAAACCACACACGCTTTTCTATGTAAATCCATCCATTATAGTTCATATTTAAAAATACACACTGTAATAACGGAATTTGAACAATTAAATAACAAACGTTTTTACTTAATCTGCTTCAAATTGCATCAAAAAAGAATGAAAATAAATAGATCGATTTTGACTGCGAGTCACGAGAGGCAAAAATAAAAAAAAATCAATTTACAAGAACCAGACTGAAGTACGTGTGTAACATCTGACTCGGTTCTTATTTACTATATTTATTACCGCTGTTCTGAACAGGTTTAGGTTATACTTTGTGTTTATTCTTTTCCCTCCGGATTTAAAGACCGGGTCTGGAGAGATGTGTGAAAGTGTTTCTGGACCAACAGGAAATTCACATCCTGACTCCTGGTTTTGATTCTCGTCTCTGTCAGGTGTCCTTCTCTGAGTCCGGCTCTCTGGGCAACTCCTCCGGCAGCGATGTGACCTCTCTATCGTCTCAGCTACCGGACACACCGAACAGTATGGTACCGAGCCCGGTGGACACGTGAGGTCGGGGGTCAAGAGGTCAGAGCCGGAACACGCCACTGGATCATCACTCCTTTTTTCCATGAGAGCGCAAAGACATGTGTCCGCGGCCGAGGACCTCAGTGACCTGACAACCCCGCGGGGGACAAAATAAAACCGAGACAAAGAATGATGACGGATGGATTATATATGTGGATATTTCCAGGTCAGGACTGGAGCAGTTCACTTTTCTGGCTCAACGATACCTCGGCAGACCACAGCTGCTGTCCTTTAACATGATGCCAGAGGCTGAAGTGGACATAAAGTGTGGATTCCTGTCAGTTCTGGACCTCGTACTTACAGTATGTTTATCAGGAAAACTACAGACTGTGTACATATGCATGACTCTTTTTTTTAAGTTTCCATGTTGACTCCTGTAAATTTAGGGAAACAGAAAATGAGATAATTGCTGTTTTTCTCCAGAAAATAAGTTATTAATATTATTTATTATGAAGACGGACGTAGTGGATCTGGTCAGTAAATATATAGTTGTTATTTGCATGTAAAATCCCACTTGTTCCGTTCACTTTCAGAAGACTTTACATTTCTAAGAGTCGGCCAAATAAACCAGTGTTAAAGTGAATGGAAACCTGCTGCTCAGAAATGTCTGCCACTGTTTTAAGTGGAAGTTAAAGCTGGAATTTTTTTTCTCCTGTTTACAAAACAAATCAAACTTTTATTAAGGGGTAATTGAATACAAATAAAATAATAAAGACAAATTAAAACAACCTGATATTGGGTGTTTTAATATAACATGTAATGTGTTAAAACCACAGTCACACAGTTGTGGGCATGTAGATAATTAGACTAAGACTTTTTTTTAATTTTCCTAAAAGTGTCAGGACAACTTCAAGTTAATGCTGAAACAGTGAAAGTGTTGCCAAATGTGTCAAAAATTGCCCTAGCGTGGTCAAACATGATTAAAAGACAATTTAATGTCTTTCTTTAAAGAGCTGTTACCAAAACTGAGCCATTTAAAAGCTAAAGAAGACAATGAAAAGCTCACAAAATTAGCCATGTGTATGTACATATATATACATATATTAATTTGTGAAGAGATTAAGTTAAATAAAAAAAAATCAAGATACCAAAAAATCATATCGAAAAAGTAATGTTAAAATATATTGGTCAACTATTGAGGACAGAATTGTACAAAGAGTAGCAAAAATAGTGACAAAGGCACCACAATGTCTGATTAAACAACAATCCTAATTGTCTAAAGTTAGCTGAAGTTAAAAATGATGTTCAACAAAAACAAATGTAAATATAAAATTTGCTGGAATATATTTGAGAGCTAACCTACAACTACCTTATTGTTGGCAAAAAAGCTTCAAGTTTGCATAAAAGATTAAACCAAAAAAAAAAAAAAATAAGGGTACAGAATGATTTAGTTTAGTTTTTTCTACACGAAAACCTAAAAATAATTAAATGTATACAAAAGTCAATAATAAGACAACTAAAAGTCAGTAAAAAAAACATCATAGTAAGATAAATGATAAGATCAAATGTTAAAATATATTTTAAATTTTTTCAGAGTAGCTAAAAATAATAGCTTTAAATTAATATAGGTGGGAGATAAAGCCAGAAACTGAAACTAATGAATGAAACAACAAAATATTCATATAATTTTGGACGCAAAAGGGACAGAGGCTAAATTTGTAGCCTAAAGGTAAACATTAAAAAACTACTATACATTATTAAAAAAGTTCTAAGTTCTACCTTAGGCTCCAAGACCACATTTTGAGCAACAAATGCCACAGTGACTGATGGTTGATAAGATATTAGTAACCATTTAACCCGTGAGTCAAGTGTCGGTGGATGAGGAACAATAGGCCAGTTCAGGTCTTTACATCACCTGGTCATCGCTGCCATAACCTGTGAATCCTTATCAATATCTCCACGGCGGTTGGTTGGCCTCACATGTTCAGAATTTTTTTTTTAAATCCAAGCTGTTTTCGTTAACGTTAAAGTGAGAAAGCGATAACACCGGTCTTACCTAAACAAATGTCTCAGAGCTCTACCAACCTGAGGCCCACGGTTACAAGTCTAGACAGAGCAGAGGCAGCGTCGGCCCCTTATCTGCATCTGGCATCACCTGCAAAGGATACACCGAGTGGACCCACAACAAAACCAGCAGCCGCTCTGCAGCTCCCAGGACACGCATCTTGGCGTGTCCTCGTTTATTTTCATTCCAATAAGAAATCCTGGAACGGCAAATAGCCCCTGGACAAGGGAGCGCGGAGGTCAGACCTAGAGTGATACTCTACACCTCAACAATTTGTTGGGGAGGATCAGTTTTTTTTATCAGTGAAGAAAATGGAGTCTTGCTGAATCAAGATCCTGTTAAGTCCTTTAAGGACATGCTGAGTTTGTAGAGCGTGGAGAAGAGATAGAGCACTGATGCAGCCGCTTCTATTAGATTAATCAATGCCTCACGTTCACGATCCACTCTTTGTAATGTGTTACTCTTGATAAAACAACGAACAAGCAAACGGGCTAATGGACATTTTAGTGAAGTCCGAAGATCATGGTTTTTGATTTCTGATATATAACTAATGTTTGAATAGAAAGAAACACCAGGCACATTACTAAAATGAAATATATGCACATATGCACACAAAGCTAATGACCTGAAACCACAAAGATGACTTGATAAACATCCTGTCTATGCTTGGTTTAAAATCAAAATAAAAAAAAGTATGATTTTAACCAATTCTTTAATGGGTACACAACATACTTAGGCTTTGGGTAAAAAGAAAAAAGTTTCTAGAAATTAAAGCACACTTGAAAGCACACAAAAACAGCAGAACAGTGCGGCTGAAATAGAAGATGTGTGGAGATGTGTAGAGTAATTCAGACTTGAGATATTCTATTTCCAGTTATTTCACTGGCAGATGCAGTGAAATTATATGAGGTCTAAGTTAAAATGTGATTTTAAGTTTTAGCTACAGAGCAAGGAGAGCTATATCTTCACTTTGCTTGTTTTAAAGTCTTTGCACTAAGAGTTCAAATCTTACTAGGGTCCTTAAAGGTGGGTTGTAACTCAAACAGTGGGCCACAGGACTGGGTTGTAGCAGCATTAGCTAACGCTGTCCAGTCTAACTATTCAGTCTGTAACTTTAGCCTCTGCCTACTGAGCTATATATGCCCATATATATATATACATATATATATGTATATATATATATTATGTACGTATATATATATATACATATATATGTATATATATATATACGTACATATATATTTACAGAAAACATAAATATCACTATGTACAATCAATAATTCTTTGACGTTCTGAGTGTTAGCTGTAACTAGTCTGACTCAGACTGACTCAAACTTTTCACCTGACATCATCTCGTCCTCATATTTTATAAAACAGTACAAATTGAATAAATTTGTTGTGTCCATGTAGATGGAACAGTTGACATCACGGCACAGGTGAAGCACACGTTCTCCATTTGTCCTCGTCTCAGGAGAGCTGCACTAAACTGACCCCGTACCCGAGTCGATCGGCTGTGGACACGAAAAAAGCGAAAATCAAAGCATCGATGCCTGCTTTTACTTCAACAATAGAACAAACAAACTAAAGAACAATACATCATACGAGATTTATATAATTTTACATAGTAAATAACTCAATAAATTATAATAATTTGAAGTGCCTCTTTAAACAGAGAATAAAAAAAAAGAGAACATAACTGAAGACATGTGAAACCAGAGCAGGTCATCTTGTTTCTTTTATCCGTACTGCACACAACATCCTGTCATTATTAACAATCAAAACTGGAATAAACGCAGTGATTCAACACAAACCGTTACGGAGTATAAATGGTTGGCAAGAAGTTGCAGGAACTACGGTGTCACAGCTGAAGAAGGTGTCAGTTTCTGCCTACAGAGGAAACACTCGGCATGTCAGGACAGTCCACGGACCGTTTTGTGCGTGTGCTCCGACCGCACTGAACAAATAAGACAGTTATGTGCAAATTCCATTAATCCTATAACAAAGTGAATTCAGAGGAGTCTAAACAGATGCATTGACGTAGAAAAAAAACAAACAAAAAACTTCACAGTCTTTCACCCGACCAGAACAGCTTGTGTTCTCAGGAGCAGTCTTTCATTTCATTCAGAAAAGTAACACTGGTGCACCACCTTCTTCCCCCATTTGAAGTGTTTATGCTGTGCTTGGATACTGCCAGTGAAGTGAGAAAAAAAAAAACCATTTCACTTGGTTTTTACTCCTGTTCCTTTAGGAAAAACTGCAGCGCTGAGTCCCACTGATCCCGGGGAAAACGGTAGGACATGTCGCTGTAGTACTGTGGCGCTGAAACTTTAAAAAAGACAAAAATGTGAAATAAAGTTAACATTTTAGTTTAGTTGATTTTATATATATAGTAAAATATATATATATATATATATAAATATATATGAATAACTACATAATAAAGTGTTTTCACTAGCAAAATTGTCACTGAATTAATCATATACATATATACATAAAATTCAAAACATATATAGACATATTTTCTTTAATACAGTAAAATCATTTCTTTCAGGTGTACATGGATATTCTTGAGACAACGACAGTGAAAATTCTTGTGTGGAAAATTCTTGAATATGAATTTAAATAATAAATTAAATCATATTTAACACAATATTATTTTAGAGTCACATCAAGTGATTCTTATCAGAACAACATACCCATTTGCTTTGTCTGCTTCAAGGTTTTCTCATTTGTTGCACAGTCCTAGAAAATAATAAAACAGTCAAGTTCAACAGGTCTTGATAATTTCAAATGATCACAAGTATTAATTTGTCTTATAAAGATCAATTAGAATGCTAAAAAAAAATTTGATCAACATATTATTGCCCCTGCAGGGTCAGTCCCCGCCCCCCTCTCAGGAATGCTACCAAGGTTAACTACTAACAATGAGGTCAACTAACAATGAGGCTGGCAGGACAGGACGCCATGCATTACTGCTTTGTTTGAAAGTCGTGACAATAGCTTGTCTCTCCTTGAATGGGAGTTAATCTGTGTCCAAACAGTGAGGGGGAGAGGACGGGTCTGTTAGAGGAAGATGAAGGAGACAAGCTGTTTACAGGGAGGTGAACCAGTGGCAGGTAAATCCACTGTGAGGGAAATGGTTTGTGTTACACACTGACCGTGGAGGGTGGGCTCAGGCAGAAATGACCGAACTGTTTCTTTGTCTTGTCTTAGGAATAAAGTTCCTATCAAATGTTTTTTAGTTTTAGAGACCAAAGAAATCCAAGGAAAACCAAATCAAAAGCTGTTGCAAAGCTTCACTGATGTGAACAGATTTCTGTTCAAGTTTGCTTTAAAAGTGGGATTTCTGCTCTGATTTTCTAAATCTGAACCAAACACAGTTCAAGGCTCATTACATTAAACTTTTTACTTACCGTCATATTGGAGACGGTATTGCGTGATGTTTTTTTTATTAAAAATCCTTATTGATTGATTTTTTCTCCACCGTTTCTCCAAACTCACACAACAAGTCACACTTTAAAATAAACTAAAGCGTCACCAAAGAATTACCCCTCTACAAGCATGTTTCTCTGTGGGAACTTTCTGGGGTAATATGACCTCATTCTCTAAATAGGCAGTTTTTACTGGCTGAAGAGTTGGAGTTTGGTCTGACTTGACTGAGAGAAATGTTTTTCTTTATGTTCAAATATTTATATTTTGATCTTACATTAGTAGAAAAACAAAAATTTATTTGCAACCCTAAAGCTCTTTTCTGCACAGAGCTGGTGTGACTGTTTTAGTAAATCTACTGAGCCTGACCACGGCCCTGTGTTTACCTGGATGAATGTAGCCAGCAGTGTGCAGCTCATCTCCTGCTGCAGGATGATCTTGTTCTGGGAGTTGTTGTAGCAGCCTGAGATGAGGGAGGGGAACAGCACTTGGACCAGGTGCTGCTGGCTGAAGTAAGGGAAGGGCAGCTGACACAGTTTCTGCAGCACGCTGGGCTGGCGGCCAGACTGCACTATCACCTGGAACACACAAGGAGCAGGACCAGTCAGTGACCGAAGCCGGGCGCAGTGGCAGTGCTGGTTGTAAATTACCATCCTCAGCCCCCCCCCCACATGTAAATCTGCCACTAAAACAACACACAAAAAGCCATTAGAGGGAGACCTGGGGGGGCACAGCCTCCCACTGCACAATTACAGGCTATAAAACACAACGATGGGATGTTTCGTTCCTCCTTTGTACCAACAGCGATGGCAGAGCGGCTGAAACACGAGAAGGCAAATGAGACATGTGAACTGATGTCATTACGGGCGAATAAAACTTCACTTTCAAGTGTTTCTTGAACACTTTGAGCAAAATTCAAGAGTCACAGGAGCCAAATGAGAGAGTAGCTGAGATTCAGAAGACATGCACACTCTGCTGAAGCTCGTCAATAACAGCACCTTTTTAAAAATCAGTCCTAACATTTGTTTAATTAAAAAATGGACATAAAAAAAAAAGCAGGAGTCATTTCTCTTTTGGCCTTTCAAACCCTAAACAGTAGGAAGGAGTTAAAAAAAAACTTCTTGGGAGGACCAGACTATGAGACTAGGATCTCAACACCAATAGAAACCAGAAGGGCAAGGTGAGGTCCCCAAGTCATGGCGATCGTAAATCTGCAAGATTTACAAGATTTTAAGAACATGCTTTCCAATACCTTCCCGTTGGCTTCTCCCTTTGATATTGCACTCCAAGTTTCAGCAGCCGGATAAACAAAGCGATAATTCTTCACTTTTATCAGTTCAAGGTGAAGCCTCTCAGAGCTGGACGTCTACAGCGGCGTTCAAAGGCGCACAAATCAGCATCATTTGTTTAAGGAGTCCAGATGAGCACATCAGACACGCAATGAAGTATTATTAAAAGATATTTATTATTATAATAAAATGAGAATTTCACCTTCAAAATTGGAAAAAAACTCGTATTCAAGAAGGTTGAACTACTGGATTGGTGGATGCTTTTGAGATCACAGTAATTGATTAAAGAAATGTCGGTGCAAAGATTAAAACCGTGCAGTGTGTGCGCAACAGAGGAAGAACAAAATCTCTAGTTCAGTGGCTCAATAAGTGGTTTATACAAAGGAATGTACGTCTCACTGGACAGATTCATCCAGAAAAGGAAAGGGAGGAAAATACGCTAGCTCTGGTTGTTTTCAAAAGGAGAGCTGTTTATTTTCAGTGTATGTATTTTGCTCTATTTTTTTATGTTTCTTCCCTCTAAATCCTGCAATATCATATTCATCTTGTCTGTTGCAACACAGCCCAGAAAAAGGACCTGGCAAAAATAAAGGAGTGGAAGTGGTCGTAAATTTCAAAATTAATGCAGGCTAATTCATTTGGGAGCCAAAAATCATGATTCTGCAAATGCTTTAGAATTATTCTTCTGTTTTAATGCAGGGCATTTCACGGCTCAGGTGTCATAATTTAACACCTGAACTCGGGCTATGAGAAAATCCAACCCACAAATCAGCTGGCCGTCTCATAATCCTCACTGCGCTCAGATTCATCTTCAGCTACCCGGACCAAGTGACTGTTCTCAAGTGCCTGACGCTGGATAACATAAAACAGAACCTGGTGGCAGCAGGAGCCTGGAGGTAACAGAGAAAACAAGAGCAGAGCTAACTTTCCACACCTTCATCAGGTGAGAACAAAAAGACAGAGGGCGAAATGGATCAAAACAGAGTAACCTCAACCACACCGTCAGAGGTATCTGCAGCTCAAAGGCTGACATTACAACACTAACAACAAGCATCTGAACACATACATCTGGCCCCGGTAAGAGGCAAGCCCCTGTAAAAACTCAAGTGTCTGAGCTGCTCTGCTCTTTCTTAACTTCAGAGATCTGGCTTTTTTAAACAGTGCTGAGTTTTATGATGCTTCCCATTACATAACCTCCACACTGTCCTCAATTACAACAAAGAGTGTGTAAAGTTAATGTCCTGAAACACAAACAAAGTCCTGGGAAAAACGCTGTGTAGGAACTGAAGTTAGAGGCGAGTTAAAAAAAAAAAAAAAAGACACCTTTGAGTCATGGAAAAAAGGACAGACTGTTAACATCCTGCATTCGTTTGGCTGAAAAAGTTGCCAAGAAAAAGCCTAAAAAGGTGTTAGTATAATGTCATCAATCTTAAATTAACAAAAGCTTTATTTTTTTTGTACAAAACAACAATTTTCTGTTGTGTTAAGCAATTTCCAGACAAATTAAATCATCTTGGATAAGGGCCTGAGGTAGAAGCTACTGCTTTATGACCTGTGAAAAAGAATGAAAAAAAGAGAGAAATGGCTGCTTTGATTAAAAGAAATTGATGACGCATAATCATGCCCTCTATCCATCTAAAATGGATATGCATAATTTTACATGTTCATTAAAATAAACACAAAATGTATATTTATAAAATATACATAAACATATTTCTACACTGTAACCAATACATATACAGTAGATAAATCTGCAATATCAATGTTATTCTTCCCAACAAGAAGATTTTACCAGAATCAAATAACAAAACTTGTATATTCAAATTTATTTACTTGACTTCTATTTATTTTATTTTAATGGTTGGATAAGCAATTAAAAAAAAAATCCTAATTTAGGTTCGAAAAATTCTAACTAAAAACTAAAAAAAGTCCTGTGTTCCATTGACGACTTAGACACACACGTCACTCTATCCATCCACAATAAAAAACCCAGATCCATCCCAGCAGAGCTGCTCCACTGATAAGACCAGCAGCACATCAGACACCCCCAAACAAAGTTAGTCAGCCGACAGTTTTAAAGCCTCTTCACAACATTTACAACCCGGTTCATTGAAACATGCTGTGGACACGTGTAAATTGTTTCAAGACAAGTGGGATCCAGCAGAGCAGACATTGACATAGACACTCCAACTTGACTTTAAAAAAAACAAACTGACAGCTGTCTGAAAACCCAATAAAACCTGCTGTTTACACAATAAAGCTTAATTACTCTCCATTTATCTGTGTAAGCTGACACTGCCATTCCATCCCAGATCCTGCTGCAGATAACTGCAGCTCTGAAACCAACCTGACAAACGCACAGACAAATGCTAACTTCTCACTGAAAGGTCTGAGTGTCCTCAGCCTCCATTTGAGTGCAGTGGACCTGTGTTCACCCTTTAAAGCAAAGTGTAAATCATCCACCAAGCTAACAATCAGCTCCTCCCCTGCCAGTCAGCGAGTCTCTCTGTGTGTTTCTGTGACTCTCTTTACTCTGCTGGGTGATTCAGTGTGTGCATTCCCAAACGTTGGCTCCCCATGGTCTGCACCAGCCACACTTACCCTGCAGGCACAGAGCGTTAGGTTGTCTCGGTGTAACAGACAGCTGATGGGAGCATTTCAACATCATGTTAACAGGAATTAGAGAACTAAAGCTGGGGCTTGGGCCTGCAGGGCTGAGGAAACGCCCCGTACAGAAGAGGAAGAGGAGGAATAACACCCAAAGATGAGGACTGGGTTCTGAAGTTCAGTCCTAAAAGAAAATCGATCATAACAATGGATTGGCTGGACTCCATGAGGAAGAGGGCGTCCAGAAGCTTAGAGAGAAATTCTCAGTTTCTGGGCGAGTGTGTGATGAGGTCAACATCGTGTGTGGCCATTTTACACGTACACACAGAGAAAGTTTCCACTGTGAAAATGTTTAAGTCAGGATGATTAATATGTCATCACTTTACGATGACACCTTTGTCAGTTGGAAGATTTACCAGATCATCACTGTGCACAAATTACAAATGAATCACTGTCTTCAGAAGACAGGGGGAGATTAGTGGAACACACCTCTCTACAGGATGTTGATGTCAGTTACGGAGAAAAGCTCTGCTGTTCTGCTTTGTCTCCCCAACAATGACAGAGTACAAGATTTAATGAAAGAGCTGCATTGATTCGATGAATAACAAAGCAAAAACGTATATATTCAATCAAATGTAGCCAACTGTTTTTGATTAAAAACGTGCTTTATGTATGACTGAGCTTCCAAACTATGAATATATTCGGGTTGCTTTGTTTTGACAGTACACATTATAGACGTTGTGCACAATGTGTACGACACGTAAACATTTCACGAACAAGTCGACAAAAAAAAAAAAGAAAAAAAGGAATTACCCGATTTCTCAACTATGAAACTAATCATTGGCTGCAGGTAAAACAATGAAATGTATGGCAGCATGGCTCAGCGAGCAGCATGAGCACAGAACACAAGTCTACATATGCCACGCTGCAGTGACTTTGTTCCTCCAGAACTGAGGGAACACATCACTACATACGGTTCTGTTTCATAATTATCAGAAGACACACAAAAATGCAAACGTGTATGTATATATTTACATACATGTATATATTATGTACATATATACTATAGTTATATATATTTACATATATAAATAAATGTGTCTATATACCGTATATATATATTTACAGTATATACATACACACACACACACACACACACACATATATATAAACATATATATATATATGTATATATATGATCTATAAAAGCTGCTGTGCTGCCCATGAATCAGCAGCCTCACTGCCACGCAGGGCCGGGGTCGGCTTGCTTTTTTGTTCTGCCAATGCTTATATTAACTAGAGAAAAAGCTCAAGCTGCTCCGAATATTCGCCTTAACGCCGTCCATCTTTGTGCACAACCAAATGGACACGTTCCAAGAAGTGGACCACTGGCAAAGATCAACTCTGCGTAGAGGTTATGTAGGATCTAGTTTCCTGACAATCTACACTTAAATATAATTTTATGAAAGATGGGTAAGGAAGAATTTGATTTGGATGAGGGGGGAGTTTTTGAAAACATTCTTTCCTGCACAGCAGTGCTCAGGTTGCGGAGGAATGACATCAAATTATGAAGAAGCAAATGTTTTAGTGACTCACGCCCACTCTTTTATTGCTGCTGTAAGAGTACGACGACAAATCATCCGTCACCCATGTAATTTAATCATCAGCCTTCATTTAATTATTCAATATAATATGCAAATCAAAGCTTCAGTGACCGAGAATGCTAATGCAGTACATCCTAATAATTAAATTGGATGGGAGTAAAGGAGATTTTATTTCAAACTAAAAAAAAAAAATCTGGCCAATTGGAAAATTGGTTGTAAACAGAGGTTTGCTGTGACTCTGGGGTTTAAATGAAATATCAGAGGCTTTAAGAATCAAGCTGCTGTCTGTGTGGGTCAAGTTTAACACAATCAAAGCCCAGCCAACTGCAGCACGGATAATCAGGGGCCCGGTAGACAGGCCATGCATGACAGCCAATTACACAGCAGCCAGATCTGCTCCATCACATCCTGCTAACTTCAATTGAGCTCCCCGAGTAGTTCTTTAAAAACACTGCAGCCAGACTGCAGCTCTTACTTTACGAGGAGGGAACAATGGGTCGCCCTGTGGGACAAAAGACGACACGACGCAAAAGGAGGAAGGTGTCAAAGCATCAATCTTTAAACAGGTGCTTTTTGTTCCAATGACAAACCTGCATCCCGTTAATAATAGATGAGTATAACAGAAGTAAGTGTATATTACCCAACAGACACCTCTTCATAATAGGAAGTGGTAGCAGTGAATGTAGCTTGTACTACTTACCAACTGACAGAACAATATATAACACCAGAGCTGTTGATGGTAATTAACAGGTGAAATAGAAAGTAAAACAATCTCTTCTCTAAGCTTTCAATACAGATTATTTAACTATGCCCAGAATATCTGTGACAAATGCTAAACTTGGAAACTATGTGGACATTTCTATAAAGGGAACAAAAAATGATAAGTGTTTTGTTCTACCTAGATTTGTTCAAATGTTTAGCATAAATATTATCTGGAAATTCCCCACATTAGACCATAATTTGGGGAAGGCTTTATTAAACATTCTGTTTTTCAATTTTTATTCTATTCTATTGACCTTGAATTTTGACCTCAGGAATCAAAACGAATTGTAATAAAAACAAAGCTGTTTAAAAGGCAGAACCGTTGAATTGGAATTATACACAAAGAACCTGAAGACCCAGAATGTATCACTGTACAGAAATTGTAGACATTTAAATGTCTACAATTTCTACCCTGACATTTAAATGTAAAGGAACAATAGTATTTCAGTTCTTCCAAGAACCTCTGCTCTTACTCAACTGTTTGGTTCAGATCTTAGGTTTTCAGTTATTTTAAACCTTTATATCTTCAGTGTTTTACACTGCCTTCTCCTTGAAATTTTCCAGGTGTAGCACAGGATACTAACTAAATGCACACAAGTTCTAATGTAAAATCGTTGAGACATTTTTAACTGAACCATAACTAGGCTAATCATGTGTCTTAATTCATGCTGCTTTACCTGGTTGCCAGCATGGTTGACAGTGAAGTATCCAACACAGATGATGACCTCATGCAGCAGCTCTTCAGCGGAGTGCTGGGAGCAGTACCACAGAAGAGAGCTGACGATGTGTCGGAAAGCCAGTGACAGGCCTTCGGCTCCGAGAATAGACTGGAACATCACAGAAGAAGGACAAGGAGCTCAACACAGAGAAACATCCATTGTATGTTTTCCTCGTAAAAAACTAAAATCTGTATGTGTGTAGGCAATTTCTGCAGTGTTCCACCATAAAACGACCGAGTTCCACTCAGAGACGAGTGGGCTCTGGGTGAAGACAGTATTTATTAAACACATCAGTTAGACAGAGCACCACAGGATCATCAGAGTCCTATTTGGTGTGTGAGTGGTGCAACTTTGATTGAGGAACTATGTGTATTGTGACAACACACACCAAACATACTGAAACATGTTGTTTCAATGTAATAAAGCAAAAATGTCACTTAATAATACATTTATTAATTCACATAAAATGAGTGAAAAATACACTGCTAATTTTAGGGGTCAAACGTTTGCTGCATATTTTTAAGAATCTCCATACAAACGCCTTTAAGACTACTTATAAGAGGCTTGCTGAGCAGAAAACAAATAAATAAATAAATGTTCCAAATTGTGCCCATCCAATCTGTAAAGTGAACGTGGGTCTGTGCTATTAGGTAATGTGAAACACAAGGTGATTACAACTCAGGGCTACAAAAAGAAAGATTATTTAAAAGTCCATAAAATTCCTGCAGTGAAACTCTTTCATATCCAGCTGTTTTGAATTGCCCGAGTGTGGCGGGTCAGCCAGAGGAAACTGCTTCAAAGTAATTACCGCAAGACGTTAAAATAATTAACGTGTGTTCTCCTGCCTTGGTCTGTGTGACGACTGAGCACATGTGGGTGATGTACAGGCCAGCGTACAGTGCTAATCACCCTCACTGCGTCCTAACGGCTGACCCACCAGGATCTATGAAACCCTGACGACTGACCTGGGGGTCAGAGGGCGCTTGTGTTTATGTCCACAGGTCAGGTTTGTCCTGAGGAGAATAACTCCTCTTCTAACAAAAGAGCCAGCACCAATTTGATCATGTATACAGATTAATTATACCCAGGGAGGATTGATTAAATATTTGTAGCTGTTTAAAGGCAGAAGGTAGAAAAAAAGTCGCTTCACAAATTCTACAGTTTCTTCCTATGATTAAACTCGCGGGAGAAATATGAAATCATAAAGACAAACATATCATATTTATTCTTAATACTCTGCCAAAATTTAAATTCAACATTTTTAAAGAAAATATAAGAATACCTGGAAGGCACATAGGTCAAGTAGGGCAAAACTGTTGAGGAAACGGATGCCTTGCAGAGCCACCTGGACAACCCCGGGGCCATAGGGTTCCTGGCTTTGAGAAGCAGACTCTGGCAAAAAGCTGTGCAGCAGGATGCAATAGAGTGTGTGCACCACTCCCACCAGGTCTGTTGACTGCAACAAGGCTGTCATTCCAGTCGGATCCTGATGTCTATTGTCAAATATGTTGGGTGCACTGGCGAGAAAGAGAACAGAAATAAATGGTCAGCAAATACATCAAGAATGACTGGACATTTTATTAACAATTATGCAAAAAAAAGACACTTTGAGCAGCCGTCTGATGATAAACTTCTGTCTAGTGAGTAAATCCAGAGGCTGCTGACGTTGGATGAAAGGAACGTATGAACATGAGCAGAAGGATAACCTTTTCTTTAGCAGGAAATGCTCTACTCCAGTGTTTCTCAACCTTTTAAGCCATTTGTCAAATGAAACAAAAATATAATGTTCAAGTAAGTTTTCTGCAATTTCCAACACTTTCACAAATCTTTGATTAATCCTAACCTACCTTTTAACATTAAAAATGTCACATTTATAATGTTGAAAAAAAAAGCAAAGATAAAGCTAAAATGTCATATCAGACTAAACCTGAAATCCAACCATAAAATACTTATCATCCTTACTTTCTAAGATTTTTAGATTTTTTTTTTTTAAATTATGTTATTTACCATAGGGTTTCTCATCATCAGACAGCGTGTCATGATATCAGCCATGAAAAAACATACATAGCAGCTAATACCGCTGCACCACCACTGGCTATGTTTCAGAACGGAGGGTGTGTGACCTGTGAAGAGAAGCTACGGTGCATGCCGATACTTGATGTTAACCAACAGCCTCTGTGTGAAATATGCTGCAAGGCAAGAACACAGCCTCCTAATGCCATTCATAATCCCCTGACAGAGCAACTGGCATGGCCAAAATATTTTACAGGGCTTTGATACACAGAGAACGTTGGCACGAAGGATCTTGTTGACCGCTGTCTGACTAACGTGACCTGCCACGTTGCACCGTGTTTTCTCACAGATATACAGTGACAATTAAAAAAAACATAGTAAAGAAACAACAGGGATTTGTTTTGGACAGCTTATTCCAGTACAATACACAGTACAATGATCATCTGAAAAGTACATCTATGGCCTGCTACTGGTGTCAACATTTATTTTCCTTTTAAATGACTAAAGTGCAGTGCTGATGTCTCTCTGCGTGTCTGTGTTCTTAGCCTCTGTCAGCGGCACAACTGAACCTCTCTTAGCCCAGGTCACTGAAGCACACATGGGTGGGCTTCCCCCGCCTCATGCTGAAGGCTAGGGTTTATAGTGAGTGACAGAGCACTAGGTCAAGTAGATGCCTATCTCTGTGTGCAGTAACGACGGCTTAACCAGCAAGTCGGCTGGAGGAAACGACCTGCCGGTTGATAGTAGAGGGCCCGCTGTCTTTGTCTGCGTCAGAGTCAGTCAGTTTTATGGATGTTTGAGACAACTTACAATGACTCTGTAGGCAGATGCCAAAAATCCACCATATGTTTGAGATTAGAAAATAGAAGAGAAATCCTCACCGTCCAGTTGACGTAAAACAAAGTTTGCATATGTTGTGCAGCAGTGCTGAGGCATGCTGGAGAAACGCAGATATCTTTGGATGCTCATCTACAGGACTCTGAATTGACAGGAAGCATCCATAGAGTTTGTCGATCAGACCGATGTTTACTATGTAGCTGCAAAAACAAAAAGGCATACAATAGGAAAGCATTAGGAGGTGAAAAGCACTTTTTATTCTAAAAAGATTAAAACACATGTACCATGAATGAGGTCCTCTGCAGATTCTCATCTCACCAGCCTAACAAAGGCCTTCACTGTGCACACATTGTCAGGACAGGACTGCAGCCGAAAGCCGATACCTCACCTAAGCCCTCCACCCCTGCTATTACTGTGATATCTCCAATTTGTCTTTGCCAATGACAGGTCTCATGATCATGTTCCTCTGTACTCATTCAGCCACAAATCACTGCTAATAATGTCATTAGTGGGGCTGTTTTTGCCCTGGTGCCAACACAGCTCTGGGCCCATGACAGTCTGCTGACCTGATGCGTCATCTCACAGCTATAGTGTCTTTACCTGCAGCGTCTGTTTCAGCTCAGACACCATCTGCATGAGAAAACGTAGGAAGCGCAGCAGCCGTCAATCTAGTTTTTGGTCCACGCTGCTGTTCTTTATCTTTTCACTGTTCTGACTCTCTTTCTTCTAACATTTTTTTCCAGAGTTCTCACTCATGTCATCCTCCTCCACTCAAAAACAGGTGATTATAACCATTTTCAACTGCCGCTGCAGGTCGTCTGACACTTGAACCCCGAGCCATTGTTTTGACTTGATCCTCTTCCACAGCTTTAGGTGGGTTGAAAGGATCCTTCTTCACAGTGGCTGCTCTGTTAAATGCCTCTCTGGTATTTGACGGCCAGGTTGGTGGTCGAAAGTTTACTTCAGTTATTATCAGCGTGTGAGTGTTGTCTGAAAACTAGGGCTGTCATACGATTAACAATTTTAATCTGATTAATGCCAAGGACAAACAAGATCTATCAACATTCCTAGATATGATTTTTTGTATGAAGCTGGAACAGAAAGACAAATACGGGCAGGTAGATGTATGTGTTTTCATACCTGTTAATATTTCTGACTAATTCAAAATATAGAAATATTTATATTATATTTAATATTCTAATTAAATCTATTTAATTCTATTTTACGGTTGAGGAGTTGCAGGTTTCAAACCTTGAGGAAACCATCATCCTTGGCAATATAATCCATTGACAGTTCCTCATATTATATTTGACAATTATGTCAGTTAGCTTTTCAGCCGTACTGTAGACTTACTTTCTGACCTGACACAAGCCAGACGTCTCACCTGAAGTTGTAGTCTGATCAAACACATGCTGGGCTTAAAGATAGTATTACCAATATTAGGTGTTTAGCTGGTCAAATTATTGGATATAGAGTGTGTCATTCTACCTAAGCTATAATTTTTTTAAATTTGATTAATTATCATCAAAAATAAATGTGAATTTGATTAATACATGTTAACAGCCCTCCTTAAAACCAGTCAGCACCGGAATCTAAGGTTAGAAACTAGCAATTAGAACATGATGAAATTCTGTCTGTATGATGTATGAGCTGTAAAAACTGAAAAATGTTTTCCACTTTTGTTCCTGCATGTACATTACGTGAGGCAGCTGAGGTAAAGTTTGAGCTCTCATTGAGGATTACTCAGCTGACGATACCATTTTTCTCAGGTCCTCCTCTGTCTGCTGGGTTACGAATGGTTCAGTGGATGAGAGCGTTGGCCTTATGCAGCTGCTCGGTCTCCATAAATTGCAGCCTGTGGGAGGGATGGTATAGAAAATACTGCACTCATCCACGGGCTGCATCGGGACAGGCCTGCCTTTCCTCACAGAACAACATCACTGAAACACCACACTGACCCCTATATCCTTCCACCACATGGCCGACTCAAAAGCCAGGTTCAAGGGAACCTTTCAAAGCTCTGGAAGTGCTCTTTGTTTATGCTTCTCTGCAGCCCCCACCGTGCTCTCACACCACCCTCGACAACTGATTTTACATGAAATGTGGCACTAAATGTGCCGATAAAGCAGGAGCTGGAAGAATGCCAGGATACACCGTCATTCTAGCACTCTCCACCTCTCATTCTCAGACACCAGTTGGATCGTGTCCAACAGACCTGACATTTTGTCAGCCAATTCTTCACACGAGAGACAGCGTTGAGGAAACCAGAGGTGAACAAACTCTCAACCCAAGGAACAGGAGTGGAGGAGGGATGGACCGGAGAAGGTAAAAGGTCAGGAAATGAGAAGACCCACATAGCAGTAGACAGAAGCAATGACAGAGTAGCAGCAGTAGGAGGAGGAAAATACCTGATGAGGTCTTGTGTGCGGTTGTTGAAGGACTCATTGGTAAGCTTGACCTTGTCTTCCAGGGAGGAAATCCGTGTGTTTTCTTCTTGTCCTAATTCTAAGAGATGTAGCCAAAGCGACTCCAGAATGGTAGCGATGGTTTGCAGCAGGCATGTTGTCAAACCTTCAAATACCTGTTTGTTTAATGTGCGTCCAAAGATGGGTTTGTCCTCATCTGGGACGTAGAGCTGCAAAATAAAAAAATAAAAAAATAACTCTATTAAATGGAGAGGACAAAAAATAAGTTGCTTCTTTGAAAAAAAAACAAAAAACAAAAAAATGATGTGAACAAAACACCTAGAAATACAAATCAACCAAAACACAAGGGAAGATAAACACGGAGGTTATCTTTGTTATTTAATGATGAGCCTTTATAGGTTCACTAATTTCCACATTAAGGGAATTCCTGATTTAAAAGCTTAAGTCTGAGGTTCTAGTACAAGATTTTAAATCACCCAAAGACTTTGTCTCAACAACCTATATCCTGAGAGGATTATCTCTTTACCAAAAAATGTTGCAAATGACTTCCAAACACAAATGACTTTTGTCCCCTTCCTTGACTTCATGAAACACGTGTCTGTGTTAAAGATATAGTGCTGCGTCTGTGAGGGTTAGGCTACTTCTCATTTGGTCTAATGGTTGTGGTGAACGCTGACAGCGTAGGTAAATCCACCGACATTCTCCACAAATCTAATTAAAAGTGGACGCGATCATGTGGCAGCACAGCCCCCACTGCTTGGCTTCATTTTTGTGCACATGCATACCAGGAGATAGACATGCATATGTAAGTAAAAAGTGGAAGAAAAAAAATGCAACTCATCAAAGAGGGTTGTTTTGAGTCTAGTCCTTAATCAGCAATGCACACATGGACAACAGTAAGTTTGTCTCCTGCAGCGCTGTTGTACATGTCAGTCAGCAGAGCAGCTGCAGGGATATGTTTTATATAAACTGAAACATACGGGCTAACCTTTCCCCGCACGCCCTAAGGAAATATGACTGCTTTGGACTGGAACTCGGTACTAGAGAAGGAAGCCCCAGTAGAGTTTATGTATGCACCGCAGCCCTGCGCCTGTGCCTTGTCCCGTCTGTGTTGTGAATTTAGGCGGCCCCAGTGAGCCGCCACCTTTAGATGTTTGGAGTGGGCTGATGTTTACAATCGTCCTCAGAGAGAGTGCTGAAGGATAAGGGCTGACATGTCGCCACAGTGCAGCCCGTCTGACTCTGCTTTCACATTCCCTCAGTCAGGACGCATCTGTAATGGACTCAGCCGAGTGAGTTTGTTGTCCACTCGGCCGTCCTGCTTTGTTTTTTTATTAAAATTATAAGAGGAAAGAAAGCTAACAAAAGGGGTAACTTGATCATAGTAATATATACCTAAGTACTACATGTAAGCATGTAAAAAAAAAATTAAAATTAAAGATTGATAAATTAATGATGTGGTTAAAAATGTTATTTATAAGCTTCAGTTCAAAATGCTGAAGTAGGGCTGGGGGAACAAATCACAATTCCAATTGAAATTAAATTGTTTGGAAATTTATCATTAGGCAAAATATTTTTACAATTTTCTACTTACTACTAAATATATAGGTATATATATAGTGTAAAGTGTATATAAATTTTCAAAACACTTACTGTAAGCTGATGCATCAGCAGGTCAATGAGCAGCATTATCTTGTTGCTAAGCAGCACATAGGCACAGTTGAGGGGGCAGCAGGAACATGCCAGGTAGTAGGTGTTTACAGCAGCACACAGCGATCTGACAGAAAGACAGACAAACACACCATTTTTTAAATTAACAAGTTAAATGCTACACAAAGCCTGTTTTTACTTCACCTCAATTTATTAGAGAAACCAGTAATGTGAATGTCCAGCCCTGGGCACTGACAAGAATATCAGCAGCCATCAGGAAACCAAACACACTCCTCTGTATTTGTGGTTCCTTAAGGGTGTAGTTTGTCTTCACATGTTGGAGGCAGATCTCACTGACAGTATGAGTGAAGAAGCTAATTTGGGGGCATTAAAAAACATTTGTATCAGCTACCTGATAAAAACATTTGTATCAGTTACTTGAGGAGACTCTGTTGAGAGCCACCTTTGGGGAGGCTGAACACAATTCGAGTAAAATCTTGGCTGAGATGCTGCAGTGTTTCCACTGGATAGATAAAAACTATTCTTCTCAGCAGCTTCTTATAGCCATGAGGCAGCAGGCAGCGCTCAGCCAGCCAGTGAGCCTCTGTATTCTGTCTGCTCAAAACAAGCCGCAGAGAAGATTAATGCTGCAGATAACTGACCAATCCCTCTGCTCTGACGGCTACTCCCTCTCACCCTCGTTTCATCAGTTAATATTTTCTGACAACTGTATATTTTATCCATTGGCGGGATGGCGTGTCCTATCTGCTCACTGGAAGAGAAGGATCTGTCTCCCGGCTGCCTAAAGTAGACCATGTTTATTCCAACTGGTAAACATTTTGATATCTACCGAAACCTTCACATCTGCTCCGCGTTTTCGGTCAAAACCATGCTGGCATAGTAAGAAAATGGATTAGCCTGGGGGAGACCCAAGTCTGTCAATAACTTTTTTTAGTCTGGGTTATACACAGACTCTGTTGCACTTTGTTTCATCTGTGGGAAAAATAAATGATAAAAATAAAATCAGCAAATACAGTGCTATTGACCAGTTATATCAATAGTTAACTGTATAATATAGTATAATGTAATATATATGTATAAAACATCCAGCCGTGTTGTTTTAGTGCAATATAAAGTCGAGATAACTCGGCTATACTTCATGTGCAGCCGTGCGGCAGACATAGACCAAGCCCCTACACAAACACTGACTGACAACTCAAACGCCTTTACTCAAACATTGTTGTATAATTATATGCTTCACACAGCTTATGAAATTCAAAGAGCAGTGGCTGCTGTGCACATTCCTGCAGAGGACGAGGCATTCACAACAGGACTTAAGTCACATGTGTTGTTTCAAACTGCTTCTACTTTGATTATAAAAATATAAACAATGATATATAATCTTAATTAAGAAGTCAAGAGTGTCACAGCTGCATTCTGGCTGTGTCGGTCTTTGGAATCTTGCCATCCAGCCGTAAACTGTGGATTTAAAAAAAAACTTTCAAAAGAAAAGAAACACTTTCTTACTGTGAGAAAAACCTATTAAAAGCAGGACAAGTACTTCATCACAGCAGCACACAAAAAACAATACTGGCACAAAAACAAATGTGTGTTGTGTATGTATTCTGTAATTAATAAGGATACTCATTAAAAGCCTGTGTTAACGTTAATTTTTGGGTGATTTAATTTTAAAATTTTGTAGATGCTTCAGACATTTGGTACAATTTCTGAAAATAATTCCTCAGTATGGCAAAATACTTGAACTGAAATACCAAAGTAGAAACAAGAAAGAAAAGGTTTTTGATTCAGACATAAGCCCATGAGAAGAGTCGAGGTTTTTTATGTTAAAAGACTCAATCAAGAGAATGTTAAAAAAAAATCTGACATCTACAAATCAAATTGGGAGTTTTAAATTGGTGAAGCACAAATGTGTATTTGAATTTCCCAATCACCAAACATCATCATCTTAAAGTGGATTTTAGCTGCAGGGTCAGGGAAAAATTCTACTTGTGAAACTGCAGTAATTAGTATTTTCCAAAACCAAATTACAGAAAGTGTTTTTCAAAGTATGAGGAAAGGTGACATTTGACACTCACCAATAACACTTTCTTGTTAGTATTTGTTGCATATATTAATGAATTTCTATACATATATAGATTGTGTATTAGAGTAGAATTTAAAAAAAAAAAGTGTAACGTACAGCAATGAATCCTCTGCACCCCCAACACTTCCAAAATACTTGTGTTTAAATTAAACAATTTTACCCCTGACAGGACAGCTCTAACCCCAAGGCTTCTAAAATGGACTCAACTGAGTCAACTACTCATGTAATGAGCGTGCAATTGCTTTGTAACACAGTTAATCAGCCTTGTCTTTGGTCAACTCTGAACAAATGCAGAGTCGGCAAAAGACATGAGTTATGCCTTTACACCAGTCCGTACAATGAACCATCACAGTGATCTGTCTTTGGTTTCCTCCCACCCAATTGAGCTTGATGAGCATGACACCTGATAGTCTGTCCTCTCTGGGAATCTCTCTGTCTCAATGCCCCTCAATGACAGCTCCAGTCAGAGATTTTGTGGAACGGTTTAGGGAGGTGCCAAGCCAGTCGGTCTCAAGTTGCACCTCTTTTCTTTCAAACCCAGACCGACATGCCCAGCTCCAACACAACAGGCAGCATTCCTTAACCTACGCCATAATATGGTTCTTCTTATAGTATTTCAAAAACCAGCCACAAAAGTGACCACAGCTGCTATCAATCTCCGCCCACCACGTGTACTGTCACTTTTAGAACATTGATGCAGAGAAAGCTGAAGCATAAACGATTGTCACATGTTTAGCTGGTGGGCAATGATCCTGTCAAAATGTCAAACTGAGGTGGAAAGTAAAAAGGAAACATAAGAAGTTGTATTCTGCACAGCTACACAAAAACAAAACAATCACCAGATAAAGACAAAAAACACAATTTTACACCCATTCAGAACCAAAGGCAAAAAAAAAAAAAATTGCACAAAAGATAAAAGGATGGAACCAACACCTGATCCTGGCTCCCTACACTGCAGGGCTCTGGGTCTCTGCCTGGGTGGCCTACAGGACTTTAAGAGGTTGAGCCATTGCGAGAAGTTTGTCAGCTAAACATTTAAACTTGTTAACACTAGAAATGCTCAATTTGAAGTTTTGGAGCCTCCTCCCTAAATCGAACTTAAGATATGCTATAAACAAACAGTTAACTCAACAGGTAGGTGAGAGACAGAGATTAGTCTTTTCTATTACTATAGTCCAGCAGTTCCCAAACTTTTCTGGTTGCACACCATTTTCTATACCTCTACCTTTTGATTTTAAATTTTACAAATAAAATGTCCATTTACACATCTTTATTGTGTGAAAAAATCCCACTAAAAAAAACACCGCCATGAATTTCTCTGTCTTGTGCACACCCTGTAGCATGCACAGCTCACTCTGGGAATCCCTGTTTTATCCCTGTCTACTGTTGTGTTCAACGACATAAAGCCATTTCTGTTGTCTTAGCCAAGAGCAAGATAAAAAAAAAAAAAACACGTGCAAGGCTCTTTATGCTCCTTCTTCACAACTCTACGGTATCATTCTGGCAATCGGTGCTCCTCAACCTAAGTTTCACATTTCTCGCCCTCTCGGTGCATTTCCTATGTGCACTGTCAAGCCTGACTGGAGCAACGTCCAGATCAGGTTGAGTCCCTGCCTCTTAAACAGGTTAAATTTGTGTCCAGGGGAGGAAAAAAAATCCTAAGCCAAAATAAAAGGTGAGGAGCAAATCCGTTTCCTTGTGCTGCCAAACAATCCCCTCATTCACTGCCATCTAAACGACATTTAATTTGATTCTGCTGTTGATCTTTACGATACCCCGAGTGCTTCCAAGACATCTACTCTTGCCAGGTAGGAAGGGTCGGAAATCTGAGGAGCCGTCACACACGGCGTCATGCACAGGAGCGTGAGTGCGCGCACTCATGCACGCACATACACACACCTTTAAATAGTGGAAAACATCCTGAAATAAGACCACAGGTAACAGATCCAATTTCACAGGATACATCAGGACATGTGAGACAGAGGTGGAAATACAAATTGGGTTTACACAAAGTTAACACACAGCTACTGCTGGCTTCTCCGACATCCCAGAGTGTGAACAAAATTAAATGGATTTGAATTTCATGAAAACTTTTATGCCAAAAAAAAAAAATTAATCTTTGTGACATGTACGAGTATTTTAAAAGTATTTTCTCTGAAAGGCAGAGAATTTAAATGTTATAAAAACTGAATTCTGCTTCTCACTACAGGGAAGAATTCCTAGATTCTAGTGCACAGAATCTGAAGTCCACCAAATTAGCGTGACAAATCCTAATGCTTCACTACCTCTAGGCCCGTTCACATTTAGCAGCAGTTTCTTTTCTCGGCCTTTAAAAACATTGCTACCTGAATCATCACAAAGTCAACTAAACTGCTCATGTTTTACCAGTAACATCACTTCTATGTGTGTTTCAAAACTGTAATAGAAATGCAAGTTAGTTTGGTTTAAAAAAAAACCCAAAAAAAAACAGCTTTGTGTAAATGATCAATTTTCATGTAGCGTCTCTCTCTCTCTCTCTCTCTCTCTCAGCTAAAATGAATGACAGTAAATGCATAAACTTTGATGTAGAGTGGACATTTCAGTGACCACAGAGTTATACTGGGACATTAACGGAGCCCCGCAGAAGAATTAGCTCATTAATATAATGGTAACAAGATGGAATCAGCCTCCCCGGGGGACAGATATGGCAGGAGCATCTCCGCAGCTGCCTTTTTTTGTAAATCACTCTACTTATCTGGTAGGAGGAGTTAATCAATACGGCAGTATCACTGTAAACAGATAATGTAGCCAGCGTCTGTATAGCAGCCCATTAGGCCTCACAGCCATCCAGATGACGGATGGTGATATGCAGACAGCTGGGCTGCGTCTTAGTGTTGCATTTCGTCACCAGCTCATGAGCTACAGGACAAGGTTTAGGTTTGACCTCTTGTATTTTACATTGTTTGGAGCCCAGACGGGCTTTTCTACAGGATAATGTGCATGTTGTTTATACTAAACATGGGAATTACACTTTGAAGGAAAAGAAAAAAAAAAAAAAAAAAACTTGATGAGCTTTGTATGAACTTATCACTGCTATCAAGTTTTAAACTCAAAATCCATGAAAAAATACACACTCACTGTGTTAAAAACATTCCCTTTGACTTTCTAATAACAGTTCTATGAACAAGCATTTAATTGAGCCTCATTTTTCTACTGGTAAACTTTTAAATATCGATTGATATTATTTATCTCATCTTAATCACCGGGACTTCTAGTCTTTTATTTTATTGCAATTATTAATCTTAAGGGCTACTGTCTTTTTTAACTTAAATATAGCCAAATGTTAATTTATTATAATTACATCCCATAATTTTTTTAAAAATACATACAACACGACTTAGTCGGGTCTCAGTCTGTTGCCCACTCACTCCACCCATGTGTATTTTATTTTTTTATATCACACATTAGGGTCATCTTTTTTGTTAGTGACAGTTCAGCAAAATGATTTAAAAACAAACTACACAGTATCTATGAAGTTGTGTTAGCGTCAATACCTTCAGAAACCTCTTGTGTAGGAAAACCTAGCTAAACCATGAAATGTTTTGCCAGGAAAAGACAGGCAACTTCATGAACATTCTTTTATTTTTATAAGAGAATTCAGAGTCGGACTGGACCGGTGTGAGAAGAATAAAAAAACAACAAAACATAAACCACATGAGCCTAATCCTCACCTCCTGCTCCATCAGCACCACATGTCATGAAGACCTCTTTAAAGCAGAGGTTTTCTTAACTTAAACTAACACGTCATGCCTGGATGTGTCCTCTCTCAACAAAAATACCCTCAACAACAAATAGTAGATCAAACACAACGTTTCAATGTAAAAAAGAAAGAAAGAAAGAAAAAAACGTCTGACTCAAAAGTCTGTTCAACAACTCTTAGATAACAATGACGGGGGGTGGAGGTACAAAAAAAAAAAAATCAATATACATGTGATGTCCTTTAAAAGCCTTATAAATACGAGAGGCATTTGTCCATTAGCGGATGGAGAGCCAAAGACCAGAAAATGCTAATGAATGGGGGAGAGAGGCCATTCAAGTCCATTACACAGTCCCACAGTGAGTGTGGCAGCCTCTTTAGGGTTATCTATTGTCAGAACACACAAGCCTCAGAGCCACAACTCAAAAGTGCTATACTATACTATGAATGATGAATGGGACACATGAGCTTTTGTGTTTTCAGGAAAAAAGAATGAACAAATTGATTATGACAATGAAACCTAGCCTCACTTCTAGACAGGGAAACAGAGTTCATCTTTAGGGTCTCTGTTTGGAGGAAATAAAATATAAACAGTGACTTAGTTGATGTAACAACACAACAGTGAATGTTGTCCACGTAGGTCGTCCCTTACTTTTGCAATTTAAAATTTAATAAACTTATTTTTAAGACAAGACAATATTTGATTTTTAATTTTGTTTCAGTATTTTTTTCAACTGCAAAATTAAATATCATTCAATCTTTAACGTTAAATCATCCATCTCATATTTGTGATCTGAATAACTATGTTATACACAACTAAACAAAGTCTTCAAAATTATATATTTTTAGGATAAGGAATAGTATTAATATTTTTTCTCTAAAATCATTAATTTTTTTGTTACAGAGATAGGCAAATTATTTACGACCATAAATACTGTAATTATGACACTATGTTAAGTGTTATTTAAATGAGGACATTAACATGAATTAAAATTAAGACTAACATTTCTGTCAAGCTGTGTTACATTAGAAAATGCACAACTATCACCGTTTCTTTTTACAGTGCTGACAATACAATCAATTAATTTTAAATAAATGTTTTATTATGAAAACCATTTTCTTTCTTATAAAATAGTGTGACAACGGCAAAGTGGCAAGTCATCCGTTTTTGTCTTAACTCGTGAATCAACATATGAATGATTTAAGCCAGAAATTAGATTTATTTACAAACAAACATGATATGTGATTTAGTGACATATACTCACTTGAGTGGAATACGAGGAACTGCAGTGGGTGTGGAAGCAGTGGTGATGACATTCAGAATTTGTTCCAGAGCCAGGAGGCCGCCGCCCACTCGGAAGGCAATTTGGTCGGCATTGTTCTGTCAGAGAAAAAAACGGGCACAGAAACACAGTTAGAACTACAGTTAGAGGAGGACAAGCCACTGGCTGGACAGGGGATTACATGGCTCTCGCCAGGGACAGAAACGCTGCTTTTCCTATGGAGGGGCAAAGGGTTGAAACCTGACACAAAGTGATCCTAAAGTATTCCTGTTTAATCTCAAAAGTGCACAACCCGACTCCACCCCCCTGCACAGTCAAGTTTCAGCGAAAGGCAAATGCTCTGCAGGCTCCACTTAGCACCAGGGTGGTCTTTAGAGGGGACCACAGTGTGTGTGAAACCGAGAAAATGTCACTTGACTGGACACAGAACGTGGATACAAAACCACACATACAAGAAGAGGAAATCTCATTGGAAAAGATTTTTAAAAAATTACATATGATTTTTGGGGCATATTTTGGAAGTGTGCACTTCTGCTTGATTGTTGTGTCAGTCATGTAATCCTGTCCAAAGATCCTTCTTTAATCGTTACCTTTATTAAAGCTCACATACTTGCAGAGGAGCTTGTTAGTTCCATTAGATCCGAAAGTTTAAGGCTAATAGCCGTCTTCAGTTGCGGCATGAAAATTCCAAAATTTTTATTTAACAACCAACTGAACGGTCACTGCACTTAAGTCAACAGTGCTGAAACATAAAACCGAAAATAAAGTTTTTCAAAACTCTTTTTTAATTTATATTATTTGCCATCAAAGATGAGGTTCAGACTTTATAATGTTTATAACAGAATTAAGATCTTAAAAAGAAACTCATTAACTACTAGGCAGTCATTTTGACAAAAACAAAACAAAACAAAGCCATCTCTTTAAACAAATGAAATGCTGTATTCTTCCATGCAGATCTATGAGGTATATTCAAATAGTTAGTTCCAGTCTCCTGTGATGAAAGAGTAATTGGCAGCGGGTCGGATGCAGCGTCTCACAAATCAACAAGTATAAATCCAGGAGTGAGCGCTGACTGTCGGGCATGTAAGTGCTTGGGTTGACAGGGAGGAAAGGAGCTGGGGCGGAGGGGAGGTGTTATTGCCGACGGACGGTTTTCTTCACACGAGTGCAGGAGTGACGTACTACACTCCCGGTCACTCCTCCACCGACAGAGGCTACAGCCTTCGCACTGCTGTGACAGCATGAGAATCCCACCTCTTCACAGCGCTTTTGTTCTAGTGATGGGACGTTGCCAACATGCCTGAACATATTGAGGGAGAAGCGCTTTTGCAAATTACAGATAAGCTCTTTATCTGTCATTTATGCCTGCTGCTAAGGTAACGGCTCTGCGATTCCAGTGTTGGACACACACAGAGGACATTCTCTACCTTCACCTGAGGTTTGGAAAAAGAAACATGAAACACTCTTTACTTTTAACATAATGAACAATGACAAATAAAAGCACCGTTGGTGAAAAGATCTCATTATGACTTCCTTTCTGTAACATTTTCCATGTCCGATCAATTGAGTCTGAGTCAGTGAGCTGGGCTTAACCCGTCATTACTGCTCTACCATCATCACACCCACCTAAAAGCTCGTGGGCTAAATGAAAATAGGCAGCTCTTTCATAGTTGCTTATCAAGTGGTATTAAAATTGGTAAGTGGGATGTGTCCAGTCCTGGCTGTCTCATAACACCAGAAAAGAGTTGCACTGCAAGGCACGGCCTCTTTTACTTTGCTGACAGATCCACTTGCTGTGATGATGGAACAATGATAGTAAACAGCTTAATGTCAACCACAACCTCCATGCCATCATTACGTGATCCCTGCATGAGAAAACAACAGGAAACTAAATTACAGTTAGGACCCATTACACAAATAAGGTGTAAGAAATAAGGTTTTCTAACCTTGTGGACATGTGTGCACGTCAATCTTTGTGTTTAATAAGTAAGTAGGAATGATATTCTATTATACTGAAAAAAATAAGGATCCAGTTTTTTGCAAAGTTACATCACTAACCTACATCTAAATTAAAGGGGAGTTTCCTTTGCCAAGTCTGAGTAGGGCTTTAACAATTCAAAAGATTTGATTTAAAACATTACAACTACAACATGCAACACTATCAAAAGCTCTCTAGAGGGACAAATTACATAACTGATAAGTTAAATATTCATAAACAGCCACTTTAACCACAAAAGACTGCTTTAAGCCATTTAAAAATGTTCACAAAAAATGAGGTCAAACATGATTAATATTTAACCAAGTTATTAAAGAGAAAAGCCTAAAACAACCAGACATTTTTATGGAGTTGATAAAATAATAGCATAAAGTTAGTCAACATAGAGATTTGACCATTGTCTAATGGAGAAAAAGAGTCTGACATAATACTTAGAAGTAGAAGTGATGCCGTATAATGATAGACGACAAGTATTCACCCTAACATACACTAGAAACACACCAAGGGTTAACTGAGGTCAACTGAGCTAGATTTGCTGACCTGAAAGTCCCAAAAAAAAGGAGGAAGAACAGCAGGAAGGCAAAGAAAGAGGAAAGGCAAGAGAAGGCAAAGACAAAATAGCTGGCCTTTTAGACAGACAAGTTAGATGAATAGATTTTAAATTATATAACATTGAGAATTTTATCCAATTACTGTCCAAAGTGACCATTGTTGGACCAGCTGATGGCAGCCTGAAGCAGCTGTTGAGTCCTGCACCAGTGTCCACTGAGCAGCTCAGCAGACAGATTGCACTTAGTAGTCCCTCCCACTACACTCTTAATTAAACAAAAGAGGAGGGAACTGCCTCCGTTTTCCAGCCCCACTAACAGATGGGCAACAACTGTCACAGTTTCCAGCTACAAACTGGTTCCAGCTCCCTACCTCCGTGTCAAAAGTTCACTCCTTTACAAGTACGACTCGACAACGACAGAAAGAGCCAGACTTGTTTCCTTGTTCTCAAAATGTCAACATGAAACACAGCCTGACAGTGGTAAACAAAAGTTTGTGGGCTGAGCAGACTGTAAACCACAATAAGACCGTGGCGCTAAACATTTTAGGGTCCAGTATAAACTCGTGTGTTTACATGACAAACAAGCATATGATTTAGGGCCATGTTTGAGCGCATGGGGATTCAACAAGCATCTGTTTGATCTTTAAAGAGAAACAGAATTAATCAAAGGACAGTGCGGTGCAAAACCAACGTCGCCGCAGAAACCACCGACAGCCTGTAGCTGTAAACGAACACACCAAAGGGTTCAGAACGATATCAGCTCATGATGGACTTGTTAGGAAAAACTAAGACCTCATAAACGGAAAATTTCTAGAGGGGTCCTCAGTGTGTACTGTAGTTTTTTTTTTTCTGTGTGAATTCAGAAACTCTAATAATGTAAGAAGAAATCTAAACAGACGACCTTTTAGAGATCAATCACTTCAGTGTAAAAACACGGCAGATGAAATAGACTACAGTTGTGACTTTTAATCCTCCAAAATGTAAATAACGCAGTGAAATCTCGTTATATTTAGACTTTAAAACCCTAAATGACCACTGGACCGTCTCAGTCCAAAAACTGAGAGGCAGAGATGGTGATGGTGGACACACCATTAAACTTCATACAATTGTGTTTTATATGAATTTGACCTCATACCAAACTATTCAAATAAAACACAGCTTCATAAATTTGTTTTTATTTTAAACAAAAAGTGTGTAGAGTGGCATACAGATGCCTTTTATAAGACACACATTACATAAAATATATTGGATTTATGTCAATGTATTCTTTACCAAAAAACTATTTGGGGAGAACAAAAAATAAATAAATATCAAAATTGTCAAATAGGCAAACATTTCATTATCCCCTGCAGAAGCATGAAGGACCCTTTTAGGGGTCACAGACCTCCTGTTGAGCATTATTGAATGGAACATCTCACCCAATATCTCTGGCACTATCCAAAAAAAAAAAAATTCTAAAAAGAACTGACAGGTGGGATACTGCACGTCCACATTCCAAACAACAAGGACACAAGGGGCTAAAAATAACACCACAGCCTGAAAGATTAAATAGTGAACGAGGGTCTATTTATGGCAGTTTATTTGGTTTTCTGCTGAATCCATGATTTTGCTGCAGGCTTAAGCCAGAAAGTGATATCCAGCCTGTCTGCCCATCACCTACTCCAGCCTCTGACAGCTGGAAACATAAATGGTACCTTGACTGCACGTATAAGGTGCTTTTTTTCTTCTCAGTGTTACTGACCACTCTAAGCTTTTACGCTAAAGGTTATGTGCATACCACAGGCTGTAATACAGTCTGCACGGTTTGGTTCTCCCAGTACCAGGTGAGTGACCCGTCACACACGTCAGCCTTCATTCTTCCAAATTTTAAATGAAAGCTGTGGTAAACATTCAGGTCAAAATACAAGAGGCTGATCGTGTAAGTGCAAAGACGCAAAGGGAGGGAGGGAGAGGGAGAGGGAGAGAGAGGAAGAGCGAGAGAGAGAGAGAGAGAGATTGACACAGTGGGAATATTTGCTCTTCTCAATCACCCGGAGTAAAAACAAAAATCTGGTTTGACACAAAATAAACCATTAGAGGCCACAGAGGGGGAAACACGCTGAGGTCAGAGTCTAGACGCAGCTTAGAAAAGCCGTGGTGGAGTGTGGGGGGATCAGGGTAGGAGGAGGAGAGGGTAGGGAGGAGGCAAACTGCATTGCAAGTGGGTGTTGTCTAAGAAATCAGTGGAGAAAGTGGAGACTGAATCAGATATGGGGGAGGGAAAACAAATCTTTAGGTGAGTCAATGACATGAGAGATTCTTGTTAGGTCAAATAATCCAAACGGTCCTGACTTGAAGTGACGTTGGGGGCCAGACGTCAGCCATGCTGATGGAGATTCTATTTATTTGACTGGGTGTAGGGATTAGGAAGAGGGGGGTGTTCTACCAAGACCTCACTGTCCAATCTGGTGAAGTATACGACCAGAGACCTGAGCAATACCACCATCGTCTGTGGGGGGTGGGGGGCAGCCCATCCACTTTGGCCTGGGGATCTCTGACCTTGCAAAGGGAGTATGTGGAGCTTAGGGGAGGAGCCCTCATGTAGTGACAGCTTGCCAGCTACTCACATCCCTCTGGTCTCCTCCTCTCTCCTTACAGGATGCTGTGCCACCCACCTCAGCCACTTCTTTTGCTGCCTCTCTTGGGAAATACCATAATAGCCTCTGCAGCCGCCCTCTCAGTCACTGATGGGACCTCATAATCCCCTCCGTCCTCACACCCAGAGGCATGCACAGTTTGGATGTTACGACGTTTGGTCAAACCACAGCTTGACAGAAAATTTATGCCTCATTACAGGGAGTGGAGCTGTATATTCTCACTCTATATATTCTCTCATCATAAACAGTGTGGCAGCTGATTTAATTCCCTGCCCATCTTAAAACAATGTCAGTTTAATTGTAAAAAAAAAAAAACCACTACACAGCAAAAATATATATCCAAAAATGTATCCAAGTATTGTATAGTACATTTATTCAGCTTTGTCGATTTCAAATTTAAAAGTTTTGGGAGATTTGGGGCAAAAAAAAAAAAAAAAAAGAAAACATCTCACTGTCTTTGTTCAATCAAGCGTTGTGCATTTTTGTCTGAAAATCCAATTTAGCATTGTCTAAACCAGTGACATCTGAGTCATGCAAGAAACACAGACACGAGACGACGCACGCTCTCGAGCGAGGAAGCTCCGCTATTGGTACCATGTGGACAATGAAAACACAGCTAATCTGGTCTTCATTAGCCAATAACCCAAGGCACGTTGGTTTGGAGTAAGTGATACTCTACTCTGGGAGAAGGAGAGACAGAGGGAGCCACAGCCAAACACAACTCTCACTTAAGGAGCATGCCAAAGGGCTGGCATGACCTGTGCTCCGCTGCATTCTGTTGAGTTGACAGCAAGGCAACAAAGCAGAACGTGAGGATGAACAGATGATCGAAAAAGGTACTACTGGTAGACTGTATAGAGAAAAAAAATTGTCTGGAGGGAGAGTGTTGCAGAGCTGTTGTTATAATTGAGACTCTACTGTTATGAGTCACTTTGTTTTACTAGTGTGTTACTAACATTTTTATTTTGTGTGTCCCAGCTCCATTTGCCTGGTCTGTAGGTGGTGCTAAGTTCACACTTTAAAACTCTGTTCTGTGATTCACATAAAATCCATATTTTCAGTAAGATAATCCTCCACTACATAAACAAAACAAGACCATTAAATAAACATGGTATGTATGTTTTATGTAGATTTTTTTGTCTTCACCAGGACAACACTCAGCCTTGATTCTTCTTTGGACATTAACGACAGACCTGAATCTTCTGACTGGTATTACTGCCTCCTACTGGGTCTACATGATACTTGTAAATAATTAAACTTGGTTCTATAAAAAAAATAATTCCTGAAAAATGAAGGAATTAATATGGATGGAATAAACTCAGCATAGTTTATTGATGAAAACACATATCTGAGGAAGCTAATGTTAAGGTGTATATGTGTAACACATAAATGTAGAACTATTAAGAGACAAATGTTTTTAGTGATGTTACCGTTTACCTGTTTCTCCAAGATGCGAGAGATCTCCCCTAGAATTCTTTCCAGACTGGACACTTTGTTGGTGACCCACTGGCCACTGTCTTGGCTCTGCAGCTGCTTTAACAGGCGCTGCAACCTTAACATACACAAAACATTTGTAACAATACATCAGCTGACAGAATATTTTTTAAAAAAGAAGGTAGAATTGGGGATGTTTCTTTATAATAAATGGCTCAGTAATAAATTAGGAGATCAGGCAAAGGGTTACTCGACAGAAAAACCACAGCTATTTTTGAACAGGGGAAAAAATAATAAAATGTACAATTCAAAGTTGAAGGTGGAGAAACGTACTTGGCCTTGTATGGAGAGTCAGGGAACTGTGTTTTCACCTCCATCGACGTCTCATATTCCTTCCCCCTGCAGATGAAGAAATAGGAAAATGTCTCAGAATCCCAGAAAAAAAACAAGTTTGGCCAGTCAGTTGAGAACACATCCGAGGACAGTGTGAAGAGGAAAGAAAACCTTCAAACCCAGTCTGTTTATTTGGCCTGTCAGCCATTCACCAAAGAAATGACATCAAATAATCACACGCTTGGTCTTAGGGGACAAGTGTTTTTGCTGCCACACACTCAATTTGCCAAGAGGTCATTTACATTAAAATGGTCTCCACCCTTCAGTTTCAGTCCCACATAAACAGATAATGGGTTTTCAAACGAAACAACAATTTGGAAATATGAGTTAAAAGCAAAAGAAAATAAATAAAATGCAATGGTTCATCGTAGAAAGAGTTGGGCAATACACTGATACAGTATATATTATATACAGTACTATATAAGATAAGGCTTTATTGTTTGTTATATGTACTTGTGCCCTAAAATTTGTAAAAACCAGCAGTTTGTATGTTTTTGGTAGTTTTCTTAATTTTATACCTAATCCTCTACTATTCTCAAAAAGTAGATGTTTGCATATAGGAGGAGAAATTTGGTTAAAAAGCTTTTATTTAAGTATATTTTCAGTTTATATATGCCATTTAGCATTTAAAGATTTTTTATTTTTATGTGGCTTAGCTCTTTTGTTCCTACAGTACACGGAGAAAATATCAACACTCATACATTGGATAACAAGATTTAGTTGAAAAATATCGAGAAATGATTTTTGGACCTCATCGTCCAGCCCTGTCTGACAGACTGGCATCTTGGCTGTGTTTGTGTGTGTTACAGTCGTGAGGTTTTCTCCGTCCTTCTGTCTATCAGGAATTTCCCAGACATGATAAGTAACTATTGATCAGAAGTGGAGTGTCTTCCAGTTACCCACCTCTTAACTGATACAATCAAACACTTCCTGGAAGATGACGGGAGAATATGTCCCAGAAGACCGGCCGTAGATCAACTAGAGCCTGATCTACTGTTTACAATCTCCTCAATCCAAGGACAGTCGTCCAATAACAGTCGAAAACACACTTTATTGCTGGACCAGTACAATGACAAACTAAAAACTTTCCAAATGCTCAATATACAACAATGAAATTAACTCATGACGTAAGACATCAGAACAGCTACTGACACACTGGACTGCCTTTTCAGGCAAAACGTTTTCTGCTGAAAAAAATAATAATGTAGCGCATGAAAAGCAAACTTTAGAGGTCTTTATTTTGGCTCTATTTTTTTCTTCTTTTTTTATTTAGGGAACATGTTCTTCATGAGCAGAACTGACATCTTAATGTGAAATCAGCAAATCTGAGTGGAATAAGTTGAGGCCATGTTTCCGAAGTTAGGCTTTAGCCAATGCTACACACAGACATGTCTTTGTATACACACCTGAAGCTAAGGTCCACATGAACACAGACCAACTGGACGCTGTGTCACCGGCTGAGTGAAGCTCACAGTTCATACGAGAAAAAACTTTTACAAAATTGTTATGTGAGTTTTATTAGAACAGTCAATATGTCAAGTCATTTTAAAAAGAAATACTCAAGAATTTTAATGTGGATTATTATACAAGGAAGGATGTTATGATGACAGTTTCTTCAGACAAATCTAAATGATTCCAAATAAATACTGTATGTAAACTAACTTTTGGAATTATTGATATAATGATGAGCATTATGAGCCTAAAAGTGTAATAGATCTCCATAAAGTTATTATTTTAGTAGGACGGCTAAGGTGTAATGAAATGAGCACTGGCTTTATTGTATGTTTGCTGCTTTATGACAAAGGTCTACGTGTTGGCTCAGTGAGTCCAGCATAAGAATGACTCAGGTTTTACAGACACCGTAGACCGAACCAATAAAACGCTTCATTTCCACCTCATGGTGAAGCAGCTCACCTTTATGTTTACTGGGGCTGTGTGTTATTTATGACCTCTGAGAGCCTGCTGCCTTTGAGAGCTAGTCTCAGCAGGGCTGTGAAGGAGTGACAGTGAACAGAAACAGATCACAATGTCACTTTTCCCAGTGCTGCTGAAAATCAACGAGCTTAACCTGCAACACTGACAATAAGGCAGCGAGGCACAATGGCTGTAAGGGAACATGACGCTGCTTTATTTCAATGAAATACTGTATTTGTTGTTGAAAAAATTACTCAACTGTCCCTCAACAAGATCTGCACGTGACCAAAACTCCACAAAGAAAAAAGAAAAAACTTGAAATTTTACAAATCCTGCTCATTGATCTACCAATCATAAATTACAGTATATACTGGTATATATTTTATACAAGTGGTGAGTTGTTATTTTTAGGTCATCCATACCAATACTGTGAGTTTTGTCAACATCCTTAAAATTCAGTTAAGCTGGCGAAGCTCTGGACCATATTTCCAGACTCCAATTTGTTGATTATTATTGATTTTCACTCATATCCCGTTTTAAAAAAATCCTTTGTACCATTGGTCATACATAAGTAAACATAAAGGCACCGACTTAGGGTTCGCTGAAGGTTACAGATCGATTATTTTTTCAGTTTTATACTGCAATCACAGAAAGTGGCAATAAAATTAGGCTCATCTCTGTAGTCTAATGGATCGAGAGGATGCACATAACATCTGCCTCCCTTCTTTGTCACCCATCACATGGGTGCACTGACACATTGTTGTTAAAAGAGGAAGGGTAGGAGGAAATTCTAAACAAAATAGAAAAAAATTCAGGATTTACCTGGAAGTCATCCTGGCCCGGAGTTTTTTCACCTTCTTTCGTGCCTTTTGTCTTTCTTCCACATGGTTTACAGTGTCTACAGGTACTGAATTTTCGGTCATGATGTCAACGATGTATTTCTTCAGAGAAAGATGTTCCTAAAGTAGAAGAAAACCAAGATTAAAAAATAAAATAAAATTGACATCTAAACTCCAACAAAGTCAAACTTAATTAGAAATACATCATTGATTCCCACAAGAACGACCTTGAAATAAGACATTACACTGAACACAAGAACTCTTATTTCTTAAATATACACACACACACACACACACACACACATATATATATATATATATACTGTATATATAAAACAGTAAGTACCAGTAAAGCGTGTTCAACCCCTATAAAACAAATTCAAGTATATTCCAAAGGTGTTTGCTCCGTGTGTCCCTTCAGGATAACTCTGATACCTTCAACCAGCAGGTGGGGCGACTCAACCCAATTTTAAACTGCATGATGCCCGGCCAACAAAGCAGTTACCCAGTTGTGCTGTCATCCAGCACCACAGAGGACAGGATGGTCTCAAAGATAAAGGCTTTCCATTCAGCAGCCTGTGTGTGGGATGCCTTAACCTTTCTAGTCATTGTGCCCGTCACCTGAATAGGGACCTTCACTTGAGTGTTTCTAAAAACAGGTGTCCTAGGGAGACGTTCATTATTGACTTTAAATGTTTCTTTGAAATTCAGCTTCAATTCCAGATAAGGACCGTATGCAAAACATATCTTTTGAATCAAACATTTTACCAAAGGCTCATTCAAAACAAATTAAAGTGGTTGGGTCATTCTTCTGAACAGCATGAAGAAGTGAGGTTTTCAAAGACATGAATATGGCTCCTGTGGTTAATCTATTATTAATCTCACATTTTCCACAGGCAGATGTCTCTATTTTAAATGATAAAGTAAAACAGGAGAAGGAATGATAGTAACTTGAATAGGAAGCTACATGTGGGGATATTATGTTTCCAAAGAGGCGAGTGTGTATTCACACACCTCTGCCCCCCCCACTCCTCTCTGATACTGCAGGTCAGTCATGTCTCATGACCGCTGCTGTCCCCTGCCTGGGAGGCAGCTGTTCAGTAATCTCTCTAAGAGGGTATCCTGTGCAGGAGCCACTCCCTAATGGAAGTTTCAGTAACACATCCAAAACATCGCAAATCAAACTGGGAAAAATGACTGCACCTGAAAGCTGTCAAATTGAGGGCTAAGGTTATGATTCTTCAGCAGATGGAGTAAAATGATTTCATCTTTTTTTGGGGGGGGTGGAGGCCAGTCTGAGGGGGAAAGTGTGTGGGTGATGGAGACAGTCAGACATGATAAGAAATAGGTGTCCATCACTGAACTGTTGTGACAAAAGCAGGACAAAGCAACAAAGGTGCAAACCTGAGGGACAGCGCTGCCCCACAGTGCCACACACTGCCTGGGGTTGGAGTAACGTGACACTACTCCAAACATCACTTCCTGACACCAACAGTGTTATCACAGATCCTAAAGGAGAACCTGAAGCTGTGTTCAGCTGTTTTCTTACAGTTATATTCAAAAAGGGGAACCGATACATCAGGAAAAACCCAAACTTAATTGTTATCCTAACTACAGCTTTCTAGCCACTTGAGTTGAGAATCAGGTCTCTAGACACTGAGGGTAAAAAAGTTACAGCTGGCTGTCTGGACATTTCAACAAGGTTCTCAGTTTGTCACCAGCAGGGCTGCAACAACAAGACCAACAGGATTAATTTGTGAATTTGTGAGGTCGCCTCTGATACCCTTTGCTGCCTAATTATCTTTCCTCTGGCTGTTGCTGCCAAACACCAAGTGAAAACAAAGACAAGGTGAAACCAGCAATTTGAATTAAAACCATCGGGCTCAAGAAATCTCTGGCAGCCACTATTTGATTCTTCTTCTAATAACGGCCAAACATTTTCAACAGACGACAGATGTGGACTGCAGGCAGGCCAGTCAAACACAAATATCATGTGATGTCTCCTTAAAATTCCTAGCTTCCACATTAATGTAACAACTTTTAAAAGCCACATACGTATATATGTATACATATATACACACACACACATACATACTGTATATATATTATACATATACACTGTGGATTAGGTGTAATCCAACCCTTCAGCATGGCTGTGAGAATTCCTACCCCTGAGCCATAATCTTATATTAACTTACACTACCAATACACTTTAAATGCTCTGTCCTGGGGTTATTTATTATCTTTAACTTTACCTTTTCTGCTTGTTAAATGCAGATTCAAGTGATTAAAATATTTTTGATTTACTATTTTTTAAGGTAGTGAACAAATAATGGGGGTTTTCTTCTCTTATATATCATTAAAAGAAAACAGACAAAAACACGAGGACACTGGTTATTTGAGTCCAACATCTGCAGAGAATAACTACAGTGTGACCTGTGCACAGTCCAGCCAACCATCTTCATTTTTAATTAAAAATCTTTCACAGCACGAGGAGTTATGGGCCTGTGGTCTGCAACACTGTTGGCAGCTGCACAGATGAAATGGTGAGCATTGAAATGACCCCTCATATAACTAACAGTGGTGAACATAACCCACCCAGATAAAGACTTCAGACATAAACCTACTGGACAAGTTGATTAGCTTCCATTTATCACAATAACACTATTTATTTTAAACACTATTGAGACACCTAATGACACTGAACGTGTTAAAGATGTGTCAAATATGAGGTTTACCTACATCTAAGACTGGAAACGATGACAATGCCTTTGCATGGGCTTCAGCTCTATGTGATTAGTATTGACAGTAGACTGCCTTGTGTACATGAAGCAGGCATCATATATATAGTGTTTATAGGACTATATTGGAGGAGCACTTCACTCTGTTGCCTTGTTTATCATACTGTCAAGCAGCAAGAAATGACTTGCATTTGAAACGGAAATGATTTAGAGGGGAAGGGAAGACGGGGTATCAATTATTTCCCACTGAAAAAAAGCTTGAATGAAGGAGCTGCCGGGGCCAAAGGTGCTGCATATAGCACCAACAGTTGTCAGACTCACAATGAGCTCTGCTGAAAAGCCAATCTCATATTGCAGCCTGAGAGGTTACCTTGCATTAATGAGCTGCCTTCCCATGCAGAGCACTCCGTGACAAAAACAGCCTGGAGACAAGGGGGTGATGTCACCCCTCCAGTGAGGCACTGAACCCTAACTGTGTACATTTCAAGGCCCATTTGTAATCTCACAATGCCAACAACAGAGGCATGGCAGTATATAAGAGGAAGCATAAACAATAATAACGACCGTGTCATAAAAGACAGCGGTCGGGCCTTTGTCTTTTTTTTTTTTTCGTGACACAGGCAGCAGCAGAGCGGCGTTTCTATGGCAGGATAAGAGGGTGTTTGTTCATGGAGGGGTGAGGGCGATACGCACCACTTCCTCATCAGAGAGCTCCCGTCCCTGGATGCTGCTACTGTCTCTCACGGCCTGTTGGTGCTTTTTGCCCTTGATGTGGCTGAACAGGTGCACCTCTGAGGTGATCTGAAAACAGTGGTCAGAGGTCACTGCTGAGGACACAATGGAGACGGAGGACAGCGAGGGTCAAAACAGCCCCATGGGAGGCTGGTAAGATGATATACAACACTAGCTTTTTAACAGGACATGACCTGTGTCTACTGCCCTTTAGACCATAGGACAGAAAATGTGATTTTTTACGATGGATGTTTTCTAAGCAAAGGAACAAAGAAAAACTGACTGTTTGACTCGTAGGTAGATGCATGGTAACCAGTGCATTTTAATCAAGTGAAAGTTTTGTAATGTAAGGTCATTACATAATCTGATCCCCACATTTCTTTTTCACAACATAAAGTAGTGGATGTTACTATTAAGCCCAACCTTGATTCTCCAACATGTTTAGAGTATAATTATCGTGCTAAATCTCACTAATGGAATAATCCATATGATTATTATTAGAAATAGGTTGGTGAGCACACGTCTGAAACTTTAATTTACTTTTAAAAACTAAAATACAGTTTGACAAGGCTAAAACATACACCACAGACATAATAATGACCAATGAGGAAGTACTTGAACATGTATCTACAGAACATAAGTGAACCTACCACCACAGTACACAGAGAGCAATGTTTCTTTCGCTCGTATGGTGTCAGTTTTGGGGCGTAGTCTGTGTTTGCATGTCGACCGCTGCTGAGCTCAGCGGCTTTCTCTTTCCTCTGCTCAATCTGCTCCATGTGCCGACGGCTGCTTTCATCGTGCTAAGAGGGGAACCGCACCAGAAACCACAAGGTCATGTGGGAAATGACAATTTCTGTCCATTACCAAAACAAGCGGATTAAGAAATAAACATGCCTTCATCTGAATTTTCTTCTGCAGCTCCTCCATGGCCTCCTGTTGAGCAGCGCTAAGAGCAGCCAGACGCTCCTCACGATCTCTTTGGAAAGAACATGAGAGCTGATTGGCAATAATACACTGTAAATTATTGAATCAATTAGACGAGGACTGGTGCAGGAAATGTATTTACCAAATATAACTAACCATAGCCGATCCGGACAGTTTAAAGGTATTATTAAGTCTTAGTTGATGTCTAAATGTAATGATAGTAACAAGCTTTTGTAAAAGAAAAACAAAGGAGCAGGACTGGATTCTTTACCTTCCTCCAAAATGACTGTTCTGAATGGTTGTCTTTGTGTTTTTACCTTTAAATGGTAATGACTGACTGCTAGTTTCCTGATCCTGTACTTAAGGGATGCTACAAACCTGGCCCTCTCTCGTGCTGCATCCTCTCTCGCCTTCTCCTTTTCTTGCCTTTGCTGTTCAATACGAGCATCCTGCTCCTTCCTTCGCATCAGTAGTTCCTCCACTCTTGCCTGCCGCTCGGCTTCCAGGACGCGTTTGCGCTCCTGTAAAATGAATAGAGGAAACGTTTGGCACTGCAAAGGAATGAGATCAACTCTTTTTGATCAATTTGGTAGGAAATTCATTTTTGATTACCTGCACTGCCTCATCTCTGGCCTGCTTCTCCTCCTGTCTTCTCTGTCTGTCCTCCTGCAGCTCATTAAGACGCTGCTCATACTCATTTAACTTTGCCAAGGCGTCGTGTCTCTTATTTTGTGCTTCAAGAGTGTTAATGAATGCAATTTCATTCACCTGTAAAAAATCAAATCCATATATGTTCAAATGTTTTAATTATTCAATTACATTTATATTTTTATCAGCGTTCCAGACGTTTGCAAAACTTCACCTTGGCCTCTTCTTCTTGTGCTTTTTTCACAATAGCCTGGAGCTGCAGCTCCCGCTTAAACTCTGCATGTAACAGCTTTTCTTCCATCATCCGCCGTCGCTGCTCCAACAACTCCTCCTTCCATTTCCTCACCTCCTTCTCCTACAAAAAAATGAGAGAATTGGAGATTGGAGTGCCAAAAATCAATAGCATTTAACAAAAAACAAACAACCCAAACAGCACAGATATATCTTACATATTTTTCCACAATAAAACACACAATATGGTTCTGATATCTCTGTTACAATTCCCTGCATTCTCCTGAGGATTAATTAGAATATACACCGCTTTGTGCATTCATGTGGCTAATCCTGATTTATTCTATGGCTCACTCATCTCGCTCTGGCCTGTAATATTAAAACAAACTTCATGAAAAACTGTTGATTTTGGCTATGGGGTCACTCTCTCACGACCGAAAGCGGCCAGCTGGCCTGGATGCGACTGGAGGGGGGGTTATAATATTCAGCGATTCTATCTGGCACTGTGCTGACAGAACCTCTCACTGTGAGACAGGCTGGATGTGGAGTTTCTTTGGGTCTCTTTCTGTCGACTCGGCAAAGCTCACTCACCCTCTCCAAGAGCTTCTGCATTTTCAGGGTCTTTTCTTCACGAAGTTTGTCCCTCAGCTGCTGTGCCTTCAGCTGTTTCTCCTCATGTATCTTCTTTGACTCTGCGATCGTTCTGTGGAAAACATGGCAACATATAATCCCACTCTTTCAGTGTCCTCATCACAGATGTTGACATTCTGTAGACATCACAGCCAGTTTAGAAAGCGTGGGTGGTATCCCCAAAATCAAGGGATCGGATGTAGTCAGTGGGCATTTGGCTCTTAGGTTACTGGGTAGCTGTATTAATTACTTGTTTTATTTTATTGGGATATAATTAGTAATATTGACTTTGAACTATGTCAATATTGCACAGCGTATTTGTAGCTCTACAGTAAGGCAGCACTGACTCTGCCACTTTCTCGTTTGTCTGTATCCACCAGTGATAAAGTATTAGTATCTTTGCAGAAATTTTCTTTTTAAAAACCATTAAGAGTGAAGCCTAAAATATAAGGCTGACAACTCAAAAACTAACCATTTAGTTAAAAAAAATAACATTAAAGAAATACTGCAAACATTTGCCAAAAATCTAAATCTAAAGAAAATCTTTATTATTATAATATTTCCCCCACAACCACTCCAGCTTTGAGGCAACAACATTCTACACAGGTTCTCCCTTCTCCTACTGTATGGTATTCTGCCCTCACATGCAATGTTAAAAGCAGTCATGCCTCAGTCTACATTTAAACAGAGGACAGCCGTCGTCTCCTCCAAGTTTAACATTGTGACAAGGAGCTACGATGTTAAAAAAAAACTTTTTACGGTTTACGTAAAACCGTTTGCAAAAGTCAAACTCTTCTGATGTTTTATGTCCTAGATTATGACGTTAACACTGTGTTAGCATAGGTGAATGACATACTGTAGGTACAGTAAGACCCGCTGTAGTTATGCTGTACATACATCATTATTTGGCTGCAGAAAGTTACTTTACAATCGACTTATTACTAGCAACAGGTTTTTGAACAGAGGATGTGATTGCAATGTTTTTGCACCTTTTACGTGAGGGCGAAGACAGTTTCTCATGCATGTGTATTCCATGTCCTGGAGGCCGAGCAGGTTCTTCCTCCACCATGTCGCCCCATGAAGTGCTCTGACGCCACAGCTCTCGAGCTGAGGTGAAACATCAAACATTAAAATGCTGAAATGTTATGTGGTATAAAGACAACAGACGTCACTCTTCATACCGTCATAATCTGCCAGCATGTCACTCCAATCTGCATGAACTCCATAACCTCCATTGCCAATGGATGTCTGTAAAACGTAGCCAATTTACAAAGTGAAACTTCTACATTGAAATAATGAAAGGCAGCAAAAGAAAAATGTTACATTCACAGTTAGGAGAAAACAGACTTGAACTTAATCTTACTGAGAATTCACTTTCGTTGTCCGTCTCCAGGTCGTTGTTCTCTGCCTGAATCTCTCGGGTCAGTTGTTCTTCCTCAGCAATTGCACTAGCAATCGCCTCCTCATTGGCCTTCTCCAGTCTGTCAGCGAGCTCCTCTTTCTTGGCCAGAACCTCTGCCATGGATTGAGGCTGAACACATGGCACGGACAGCACCTCAAACACCACTTCAGGATATTGACACATCATCCAAAATAAACACACATAGACTTCCAAGATAAATGACCCCATAATTGTAATGCAATCCACTATGAGTGGCATTAGATACGTGGAGTTTCTCTGACCATATCTAATAGTGATTCACTTTTTTTTACCTTAATAAAAAAGACAGAAATGGGACACATGTTTCTGACTGAACAAAACTGTAATACCATTTGAGTTTTTGTGGAGCTGGTGTGATTCAAAGTTGAGATAATGATTGAAAGATGGGGGGAGGCGGGGGGCGAATGGGAGGGACACCAAATCAAACCAATCACAGTTGTTACACCACAAGATCACCACAAGAACAACACGTGAGGAGGCATTCAATAGTCATGCATGGCAAGTTTACCGTGAGGATGAAGAGATGGCGGAGGAGGAAACTGGACTTTTGCTTTGAGGAAATGGCTTTTTGACAACTTTGTACATATTATGGATGTTTAGCCTCATTTACAACGTGGTAACGATGAGTAAAAATGAATTTGATACACGTTTTATTCTATTGCAGAAATGGCCTTAAACTTTTGGCAATTTGTTTTTTGTTTATTTTTTGCCAAAATGCATAATTTAGAAGAAGTATGTAAACTATTTAGAAACACACTTACACACCTGTGTTGTACGGTTACATTTCAAGACTTGTTTTCCCACAGTCTATATTTTTTCTTTAGTAACAATTTCAGGAAAGAATGAATAAATTCAAAAAGGAATTTTGGAGCATCACTATCAAGGAGCAGGCCAATTAGATGAAGAAGATTGATTATTTGTGAGCACCAGTCTGGGAGAAATTGCCTGACTGTAAAAGCCATTTACACAGAACAGTGAAGTAACACTGCACAGAGCTATGCCATCTTGCCTGCACATTTGGTCTAGTGGTTTCACAAGATTGACTTTGTTTAGGTGCTCAAGGACCCATGGGTACCCTTGGATACCCCCCCCCCCACACTCCATTCACCCCACCGCTCTCTCCCTTTGCTCCTCCATCTCTCAGCACTCACAGTAGAAAGCTCTGTGGGGTCCAGCAAACTCTCCAGTTTCACCGCTGCCACGGGAGTCTCGGCCTGTCCTGGAGCAGATGTAGTGGTGCCCTGTGACGTGCCCCCCTCTGCTCTAGGGTCCCCCAAGACCAAGGCTGCAACAGGCTCGTCCGTCTGGGGCAGATCTGGGGTTGAGCAGCAGTCAGGAGAAGAGGACGGGACTGATAAGGACTGAGGAAGATCTGAGGCAGAGGATGGGACTGACTCTGGTGTTTGGAAAAGGGTTTGAGTGGCTGAGGGGGGAGGCACATCTTCACACTGCCCTGTGTCCTGCACACTCTCTGCTGGGGGCTGCACCAACAGTCACACACACACACACACACACAAACACAGCTTATTTCAATTAAAGTCGTGCATAATTCAGGCGATTCAAAAGAGCAATAAAAAAAGAAATGAAAAAAATAAAAATCACTGCAGCCGACACACATTTGAGAACACAAATCATGCAGGAAGACTGGTACATACATGCCTTGTACATCAATTATAATTAAAGCGAGGAGGTTTTAAAATTAACTGAAGGCTAGAGTACACCTTTACCAAGTGTGTACTGAAGCATTGACGGGATATTTATTTCACGAGAGGGAAAATGTGATTTCTGCCTCTTAGATGTCAGTGTACAATCAATCGTCTTAAAGCTGATATCTCTGTCTGGACAGTGTCTATGAATACCATGGAGCCCAAAACAAAAACAAATGTGGCTGACAAATCGTTCTACTGTTACTCTGCTCTTTGTGAATAATTGATGCCCAGGGACCGCTCAAAGGGAAAGACATCACAAAGTACTGAACCTCAGTACCTCCATCATGTGTCCATTTTCTGGATGTTGCACGCTCTCCTGGGGGTGAGGGGTCATGGGGACCTGCTGCTCTGTCTCTGCCTGGGTCGAGTTCTTGTCCAGGGAACACTGCTGAGGTTGGAGCTGTTCTTGTTCCCGTGGGGGCAGATGTGGTTGTTTTTCTTTGGAGTTGGATGGCTTTGGGGTGACATGAGTCAAAACAGGACTGACCTTGGCAACCATGGTTGCAGAGCGAGGCTTGGCAGTGCGTCCTCGCTGGACCGTCTCCCAGCCCTCGGCATCTTTTATACCTGGAAAAAACACGAGTCCAGCGATCAATCATGGAGGAGACGATGTCACCAAGTGTGTTTTTTAAGTCATAAAAACCAGCACGCTTTATGTTCAATCTGGGGTGAATTTGGATACAGGGTCTTACTTGGTTTTTCTGTTGGACATGTGGTTATTTGAGTGGAGATGGGCACGGACTGAGAGCACTTAACACGGTCTGCCCAGCTTGGGCCTGTGTGGGTGTGTCGGGCTGTAGGTGGTGGACCGCTAAATTAGAGACAGACACATGATGTACAAGAATAAACAAAAGTCAAATCAGACAGTGTAGGATTACAGCTTTTACCTTCATTATACTCTACTGTAGGCAGCCTGTATTACTCTACCACGTTTGAAACAAAACAACAGCATCTGCTTTAAACATGGTCTCTCATGCTAAGGCTCACTCCATTCAGAAATAGCCTGGTGCTGGTGGAGGAGGCCTCTGCTCTGTCATGATCAATATCCATTTCCTGCAGCATCCAATTACAGAGCAGTGCACATATTGAGCCTATGCTTCAGCAGCATTTATCTGGCACTTTCATCTAAACACCTTTAACTGATTCCACGCTGGAGAAGTGAGAGACTCAACAAATTGCATTAAACAAATGCATCACTACGGGCAATCAATAAATGCATCACTAGATAACATAGTTTGCATTTCCTACTTCCTGTGAAAACACAGAGAACCATAAAAATATGGAGTGCCTAATGACAGGATGCATTATGAACACTATGTTGCCAGAAAGAAAACAAAAATCACAATTTAAAAGCTATTAATGCTGACACAGGGAAATAAACAAAGTGTAAAATAATGACACCCGGACTGAACTTACCCAAAGTTTAAGCTACGACATGCACCTGGAGATGGAACCACTCTGTCTCCTGAGGAGCTTGGCATCACATGACGTCCTGGTGACATCTTTCGCAACTCCCAGGCTAAAGAGGTGGGTCTGTCGAAGTAAGGTGGAGAAACTGACTTAATTCAAAAAACAATTCCTAGGTGTTTCAGACACTGAGTACATGTAGTATGATAAGTTTTAATTGATGCATGAAGTAGTGAAGTCTGTTCAAATTTCACATTCTCCTATTGATTTACTTTGTGTTCTAAATGAACAACGTAAAATGGGATTTTTTTAAAATTATTTAACGCCAAAGTGGTGACTGTGTTTCTTGACTGTGTAATACAGCAATACAGTCTTCTGACTCCTTGAATTAAAAAAAAAAGCTAAAGATCAGATTTTTTTTTTGCTTAGAGCTAGGATGAGATGCCAGCACTTTGAGTTTGACCTCAGGAATCAGTTCAAATTAAAAAGATGGAATTAAGTAATAATTAATAAAAAGTAATGACAACAACAATAATAATAAGAGTAAAAAAAAAAAAAGATCAGATGCTCACCTGTTCTGAGCGTCTGTTTTCTCCAGCTTCTCCTGAAGCTGGATCCAGTCGATGAGAGCTTTGAAGTCCCGCACATAGTTGTTCAACATCATCAAAACCTCCTAAAAACAACAGTTAAGACAGGGGTAATGCTTGGTACAATAAACACAACATAAGCTGCTGTCAGCACAACAGCAGTACCACACAGGGGTCAAAATTGTTTGGTATATTTTTCTCCACACTTTCTATTCAAAAATGTAAATATATAAAGTAGCAAGGTGTTCATTCAAGCAGAATATTACCTTTCATTCAGTATCACAGGAATGCAATCAAGCTTAACAATAAAAATGTAAATAAATAATATTTTTGTAGTAATAAATGCAAAATAAAAAGGCAAAATTAGTCAAAGTACATATAAGGGTATCTTTTTTCTCTCTCTATAATACATGGGTCATCACTGCATCAGTTTGGAGGATTTTGTGTAAGGCAAAAGCACTAACTACTCTTACACCGTGTGAGTTGTCTAATACTGTAGGTATGAAATATAAAATCATTATTCTACCTAAATTGACAGATTACAAAACAATATCATCCGAAATAAACAAGACTGAGTTCATTCATTAAAACAAGTAAACTGAACTAAGCAACAAAGCTGCTGAAAACATATGTACTCATAGAAGGTTTTTAGAAGGAAATTTCAAATATCAAGTGTCTACCATTCATACAGTGACACTCTCCCAGCAGTGTTTCTGAGATGCTTTTTTTCCCCAGAGCTCTAATGAAAAGGACGCAGCTGATTGATGGGGAGCGTGAAGGGAGTGGTAATTGAGAGTAAAGCTTCACAGTGCTTTTAGTTAATAGACAAGTCAGGGCCAGTGAAAGATGTGTCCAGCAGCAGGTCCGCTGATTAGAGCTGGTTAACAGGCAGGGACCGCTGCTGTTCATTTGGTAATGAAGGCCGAGAGACATTTGCCGCTCCTCTGACAGATAAACCAACAGTGAGTGAAGACGCACCATAAAGTGGCTTTCAGCATGGAAACTGGTACACTTATGGAAATACAGCCCTCCCATAACATTTCATGAGGAATGACAAAATGTTTAACCTTCGGGCACTGCCATAAAGAGGACGGCCAGCAAAAAAACCTGTGGTCCACTCAAAGGTACAAGAATAAATGGCCTTGGTTACTGTGTCTAAGTCCGATGAACAACACAACATATATGTTAGTCATTCAGTGTTTCTGAAATTAACTTATACCATAAGTGGATGCGGTTTACATTAAAATGTTTAAAAACATAAAAACTTTAGACATGGAAAAAGAGAAGGTTTTCTGGCCCGCTGCTGTCTCGGAACAAAAATGGTGTATAAATAAATGTCCTAAGGCAGGGGTCTCAAGCTCAAATGAGCTGAGGGCCACTGCTAATACTGTAATTTCATGTCAGGGTCATATTAGTGTTCAATGATCAATTAAAAAAAAAAATTCAGATATTTTACAAAAAGAAAATATTGTTAAATAAAAATTATGTATAATACTATTTTATGTCCAGGCCTGGAGTTTGATGCCATTGTCCTAAGGAGTCTAAACCTGTGGCACCAAAATGAAACCAAATGAGTCCAAAATCATATAGTTAAATTGAACTGTCGCCTGTGCCATTACTTTATTTTTTAAAAGAGCATACATGTTGATTGCGCTACACTCACAAACAGAGGGGAATACATTACTGAAGTAACACTCCCAATACTTGTTGTCATACTATACACCTGGGGGAAATATAATAGATTTATGTATCCTGTGTCTCTCTCTCCCTGATAAATATAAATATATATAAAATCTCTCTGACAAATATAAATATCTTTTGTTACTTCATAAGAGAGGTGACAAGAATAGACAGGCCAGAACAGTAAAGGTGAAAAAACGTAGTGCGTAGTGGATGGGAGGCTATAATGACCCGCTGCCTCTGCTTAAAAAAGATGTCCTAGCAGGAACACTGGAAGAGTAATATTTTTCAAGGTTGTCTGATAGTGAATCAGCCCCATGACAAGAGACAATTTATAGGAACTCATTTAGCTTCAGGGCAACAGGGTAAAGAGGGGCAGTAGGCAATATTAATAAGCACACATGCTTCTCTAAGCTGGGTGAACAATTTCCTTATGATGACAAAAAAAACTACATTTGACAGAAAGACGGCATTGGGATAAATTCAGTCCTCGAATCCTGTGTCTGTTATCTGTGTGCATCAGTTTTTAATTGGAAAGCCATTCCCCAAGCAAATAACCCAGATTGACCAAAGCCACACTGGGGGATTGTGGCTGTGGGTATCAGAGCTGTCTGCCTGCCCCCCCTGATGACTTCATCCCTCCACAGTATCTCTCCATTAAGCCTAAGTTGTGCTGTGTAGGTCATAACCAGCACACAGCTTCCTGTATATTATACAACATTAGGATGCAGAGAGAAACAGCGGTTTGGCAAGAAATAAATAAATGATTATATAAATGAAAAAATAAACACCAAATAGGCTGATGTCAGACACAGGCTCACTAACAAGATGATGATGATCAGACCACAGAACTCTGCACTATGGCACTGACAGCAAGTCGACCACACCACAGGGAACTGGGCCCTGTGTACTCACCGCAGACCAAGACCAGAACCATGCTCAGGATAATTCAGCATGGCATACAAATCAATACAACACAAGCATGTCCTGCACTATCATATCAGTATCACATTGAAAAGTTCATGCAGTGATATAATAAAACTAATGGAATTAGGGATACACCATTCCAGACCTGTGATAGTTCTCTTGCCAGGAAGTTTTCAGAGAGCCCTTCTGACATAACGCAGAATCTTTAAATGTACAATAAATAAATAACCCCCCCCCCAAAAGAAACTGCCAAAATAATTTGCACTTACCTTGCATTCTACCACGCTCTGATCAGATTCACACGTGACATAAATCTGGTCAACGGCTCGACGCAAGTTGTCAAAGAGGAAAGCCCAGTAGTGTGCTCGAAGATCCACTTTGCGGGGATGTTTGACTTTGATGGGGCTCTTTTCTGGTCCCTTGTCCAACAAGGCACCAACGGAGACTTTGTGTTCCACATTGGCATTCTTGGAAATCAACACCAAGATCTAAATATTATTGTAACACCAACAACTATTTTTATTATGACTTTCACCCCCACACTCCCAAAATACACACACACACATTCTAGTCCTGTTTTTCAATGCAATAAAGGATAGTCCTGTCCGTAAGTCTGTAAGCTAGTTTAAATAGATACAATCAAGTGCATTAGTCAGAATAAAATATTAAAGCCAAATAAACAAACATTTATCACTAATCGAGTAAAACAATGCAAACATGTATTTGTCTTAATCATGCAGCTGCACATGAATAACCGCAGTGCATTGTTGAAATCAGTTGTGCTCGAGCACCCTCTGCTGGCCTCCTGCTAGCCATGAATGGTTGCCTTCTACTGGAAAACGGTCTACCACCGTAAACGAAAAGAAAACATTTCTGCCTCTAATGAGACGACAGATTCAATAAAACAACCGAACCACAGTTGTGTTTCCTTTCAAACCCCTTTCTCCCAGCACCAAACTGGTTAAATGTAGTCAGTGATGTCATGCATGGTGTATAACAAACATCACCAAATTAAAACATTGATTTTCTCTATTTGGTGGACAGACGACATTTACATCTCTATCTCATACAACAACACTTCCAAAACAAATATGATTTCGAATCTTCAGTGTATACAAGAGCAGTGTGTAATACTGTAGTAGTAGTAGTGTATGTTAAGACACATTTTATTAGAGTGCTACAAAGACACACAAATATCTTAACACCTCTCTTTAATTGGAGCACATCGCTATATATTAGGTTTACATATAAATTTAGACTGCAGCGCCCTCTGGTGAATATTAATGGTACACTAACCTGTTTCTTATTCTTCTGTTGAGCAGAATTGTTTCTTTGAACTCTGGAACTGCCACTGGAGTTGATTTTAGTTTTTGCTGTGTAAAGGAAACAAAACAACAAAAAGAGTGAACTATTTTAACAAAAGCCACGTGTTATTATTATAATAACAAGAATAATAATAGAAAGATATGTTTATAATTGTAAGATGTACTAGTCAATAAAGTAAGAACTCAATTGCTCTATGCAACAATTGACTCAGATTTATACATTTTGAAGGACAATTTTTTAAAAGTTGATTTGTCTGTGGACACCGGTGTCTTAAATTCCTATTTTGATGGGCCAGACAAAAGCCATGGTTTGATAATATGTTCAGACTGAAGCTTTGTGTTTTTCAGCTGGGAAAAAACAAGTAACTTCCTGGGAAAGCGGGTTGTTTTGACAGGAGCTGATGTTTCTGAAATTCAACTATAGACCTGACCATCAGTGGTACTGTATCATTCCAATCAGGTTAGTCATGGCTGTTAATGCAGACCAGAACCAACAAAGCGTCAACTATGGCACAGTTTATTGATAACAATGCATCATTTGACATCTTTTACAAATTCACCCCATCTGTTTCTCCCAATAATACAATAAAAGATGGTTTTTATTTTTATTTTCCTGTCTCTATGTTTGCAAGTTTCCCAAATTGAACCTGATCAAGAAAAAGTCACTGACCTTCCTCCTCTTTGTTCTCCAGAGGTACACTCCAGGCAATGAGGTTTCGGGCAGCGCGGCCCTCTTCTGCCACTATCTTCCGCACTTTGTCATGGCTGTTGGAGCGCTGGAAAGATGCCTGCAGGAAAGAAAATGACATTAACTGTTAGCAGTGAGCCAAGATAATGGTAAAAAGAATTGTGTAGATTTATTAAAGATGCTACATAAAAGAAACAAATGTTGACAGAATCAGTATAAATGTAATTTTATATTTGGTACATTGCCACAAAAAACATAATTATAACCAAGTGGGTAGGCAAGGGGAGCACAAATGGACCAGAGATTCAGAAGAGCTCGGTCCACCTCTGTGGCATTTTTCTCTTTGAACCAACAACAAAGAGAAAACACAAAAACATTATCCTTGTTGAAAATGTATTTGCACTGGATTCTGAAGCATAACCCAATTATAGTACAGTTTTATTATCATCAACAAATCCTGTGAAAATGTGGGATGTGTGGAAAAGAAATACATCTATGCCAATGAGTTCAGCTTGAAAAAGCTATACTGGGGTGATATTCTGTTTATCTATTATTCTGGTGCATAAACTTGCGGTACTTTGTCTCATCCACCCACACTGTGTTTCTGCAGGAAATAGTGGCACAGAACAGATACAGTTGAATGAACTGTCTTCACATCTACACAACTGTGTGTCAAAGGACATAAATTAACACGGTTAATTTAACATTCAGGGAAATAAGCCAGCATTAATGTAATAAAGAGATGTTTATGGAGCATCTCTACCTGGCACAGTGAATAGGCTACTATGATCATTTACAGCCAGTATTACCAGTCTTCTGAATCACCCACTCCATGAACACAGTGGTAACAAAACATCATCCTGAAGGACTAAACTACTGTTGTGCTCTTAATATTTTTCATTTTAATACAAGTCTGATAGAGAACCCGAGTTGACGCCACAATATGGCAAAGAGAAAAAGTGTTGTTTGTAAGGAGTGACAGTAAATAGCCACAGGCTGAAAGTCCAACCTCGCCTTTATCCCAGCATGCATTATGGTTGACCTACACATTGGCTATGCATCGGTGAACTTGACTTCATCCTTGGGTGAAGCAGATACTGTGAGCCAGCATAGATGCTACTGAAGTGATTCATGGCAGCTTTCATGAACGTGGACTTAAGAAGCAGTGCTTCTGATACATCTCTGACAGCATACAACTAAACAACATTGTTTTAATAAAGGAATAAAAGTTAATAAAATATTAAACTGGCGGAATCATTTTTGTATCATTTGCTTTTTCTAATCCTACAAAACATACGCCAAAGCCAGGAGGCCTATCAGAGTGGAGTCTTCACAACACAGTGTTCCTTCTTCCAGCAGAGTGCCTCGCACTTCCTCTATGCAGAAATATAAATAATTTAATCTGATTGTGATGAAAATGCAGGCAAAACTTGTCTTTAACTTTTGTTAAAAATGTTCCTGTTTCAGCCTTGTATACAACAGTATACAACAGAACTTTTTCCTTCCTTGTAAATGATAAATGACTCAAAGACAACACTCACAATAAACTGTATGTAACACAATAATGTATTGGCTCTTACAAAGTAGGCATATCAAATGGGAAGGTTAAAAAATACATGAGGCAGAAACCTTTACCCATAATGGCTCATTGAATATTAGCCCTGTAGACACAGCATGCGTGCACTGGTCTGCCACTACTGAATGTCCCAAAGAGACCTATTCAGCTGACCTACATATGAAGAGAAAAATTCTTCAAAACTGAACTGGTTGGTGCTTTTTTGTGAAGCACAATAATAAAACAAAAGTTGCATCAGAAATCCCTGGTTAAATCAAGAAAATGTATTAGGTAGCATGTAATCAATGCTACATCTGTCATCCATAGATCTCAGACATTTACTCAGTGTTGTGTTGTAATCCCAGAGCTGTCAACAGATGAGTGCTGTGTGAATGCCCTATCTCCTCAAAGCTGATGGCTATCTGCCCAAATGTAGCCGACTGTGGGGGAAGAAAAGCCTTAAAGCAACATTCTTTGATTGAATCAACTGTCTCCTGGGTCGCACAAAAAACCCACACATGAAATAAAATAAGCATGACTTATTGTATTCTCTGATATACCAATCCACCTCCATGCAACAGGGAGATTATGGTTTTATTTATATCAGACTGAGTTCTGAGTAAGGGGACAAGTGTAGGGTTTCCCTTTTGGTGAGCTCTACAAACAGATGCAAGCAGCAAGACAGGGGGTGGGGGGTAAGGAGTTGCTCATGAGGTCAGACACAGAGATGGTAGAAGATTTGAGAATACATACAGATATGAAGTAGAGTCTGTGAGTAGATTCCTCGTCATTATCCACCACTGACATACTTTTGGAGCCCACATCAAGCAACCTGTTCCCCCTGACCAACACTTCCAAGCATGCGAGGTGACATCGTCTTCTGACAGCAGGCCCAAAAATAGAGTCCTACTGTGTCGTCCACACTGCTATAGCAACTTGCTCAGCTGTGTCAACGCTTCTCCCAGTATCGCCTGAGAGGGACAAGTGGTCAGCAGGCTGGCAGGTCTCCGTTTAACTTCGTTTGTTCTGTTTGTAATGCAGCCCTTGACTGCAGCTCTCTGCCAAGCTACCAATTCTGTGTCGGGCCCACCTCACTGCCTGCTGCTGTCCATCTGTCTTTCACTCTCTCCTCTTGTAAATCCACTGTTTCTCTCTTCAGCACTGGCTGTTCTGCATCAAGCCCCTGCTCTCAATGCGTTTCTCATCTCTCCTTCTGACACAACACTGCGCAGTCATGTGCACACAGTGGGACTGCCTCTCTGCCCCCCATCCTGCATTGCCAGCAGTGAGTGTAGCTGCAGGCTCAGAGGCGGTTAGTGCTAACAAGAGCCTGGCTGTGCATCACCCACTCTGACTGAAGCACAGCAAATGATTGGCCTCTGTAGTGGAAAATTGATAGTTCACGTCATACCTTCCATTTACATTTATCCAGAGCGATCAGATTGCATACTGATGTTGTTACATTCAATATGTGGGCCGGAATCATTTGCAATTTTCAAATGCCTGAATATGTAATTCAGGGCATATAAGATATGCAGGCAATATTCAGAGCAATGTTGTGTTTTTGTTGAACAAAGTAAGAAAGGATAATGATGGTAATTTTAATATGTGTTTTATATGTTTATACAATATCACACTTAAATATACAGAGATATGAGCAGTAAATGTACCTAAAGTGAATCTCAGGTTCAAATCAGATTTACCTAATTTAGCCCTGGTCAAATGCATAATTAAGTCACATTTGCTCAAAGATAATAGTGAGGTTATAAACATGTCTGACTGAGAAAATCATCAAAACTGTATGTGAGCATTCAGCAGTAGCCTCGTCTCACTGCCATGCAGGACCGACAGCTTTAGACTGACGTGTTCTTATGGCCAATAGGTTTTTTAAGACCTCAACTAAATGAAAACTGTTTTAGTACTTCCATAGCTACCAATAATAAAACAACTACTCCTACTACAGCTTCTTTCAGCTGTTCCAGTCAGGGGACACCACGAGAGATGTCTGCATCTTGTCTTAGCCTCATCTACTATGACACCACCCAAATTCTTGTCCTCCCATGGGATGTCATTAATTTTCTCTGAGGTCTCCCTCTTTTCTTTCTGTCTAAAAGACAGGGACAAGTGTAAATGTGTCTGTAAATGACCAACATAGCAGATGAGGAGTATTTTTCTTCTAGTTCCACCCAGTCAAACCTGGCGATAAACAATACATCATAACACATCTCACTACAATCTTGTTTATTTTGATTTTAGCCATGCTGTTCATCACTGTTGACTGCCTTTTAATTTTAATGTGTATTTTAGCTATTGCTATTTACTGTTTTTTTAGACAACTGACCCCTAGTATATAGACGCATCCACATTTATCGTTTTAAGTACTGTACCTTCATTTTATCCTCCCTCATAATCATTCACACAGATGTGTTTTGTTTAGTTCCAACTTTTCTACCTATATTAAGCACAGATGCATATTTGCACTCAAACTTGATTTTATTTGGTGGTCACCTGTCCATATATAAGATCTCAGTTGTAATACATGATGTAGCCCTACCATGAACCTATCAGCCACTCTGTCTACATATCTTACCATTGACTTCCCATTAAGTCTAATTTAATGAGCAACTGGTTTTTAGGAACCCACACGTCTCAGAAAAATTACCAATGTACGAGCAATAATTCAGGTAAAGAACCTGAGAACCTACACAGACATTTAAGATAAACCACAGCTCTAGTGACATCACACATCACAACAGGTAAGGTCAGGCTCCATCACTGCCAGCATTGTTAGCTCGGAGAGCACAGTGTCACATGGCTATTTACTCACATAAGGAAATTGTGTTTGGACATTATCAATTGCTTTAGTGGCTTATGACTTACCTTCATAGTAGACGTATTCTTGTTTTTGCCACCTCCATATGAGGAGCTAGAGCTATTACCACCAGACCTCTCCCTCCCGTCCCCACCTTGGCTAATCCTCGGCCCGAGACGGTTCTGGCCAGCACCACGCCGTCGTCCATCGTGGCGACTGTCCTTGGACATCAGTCCTCCGAGGGTTCAGTGCTTTGAAAGCGAGATATTTAAAAAGACTAACACAATTAACTGCCGCCACTGGTGGAAGAAAACATGCCAAGCTATGCAACCAGAAGCAGGAAGTCTTTTGAGTTCATATTATTGACTGTCGTTGAAGTTAACCAATGATTACACACCTAACACGGAAACAACGTCCGATCGGTCCAATAAGGTTCAGAAGAATCCAAACCAATGGGTGGGCAGATGTCTTAGGGGCGGGACTTTAAGCAGTCACCGTGGAAACCATGTTGAATAGGCGGGGCGTTAAGGCAATGACGTAAGAAAACGTGAAGTCACCTTTTATCGAATAACACATTCGAAACAGAGTCTTCAAAGTAAAAGCACATCTTTTCGAAAGCTTTCATATGGCAGTTTGTGACTGTGATTTGTCACAATATTCAAATGAAGTATCAGATGTACGTTTCTAAGAATATGTTACGCTAATGTTTTGGTCAATATATCTGTAATAATTATACCAAATAAATAATTTAGTTGGTTAGCGCATTTATTTTGATATTTCTATCCGGAAAAAAATCATACTGCGATAAGTAAGGGGTCTTCATCGCTTACACAGGGAACTTTATAAGGTAAATAATGTTCTATTCACATATACAGTTTTGTAGTAGCGTTTAAGGCATAAAGCGTTATTGTACTGTGTGTTAATTGAATTTCCCACAGTCTGCCTTTACGTGTCTATCACCTGTTTCATTATATTTTATAATTCTGGTCAAAAACCGTCTATTTGTGTTAAGCTGTGCGACATTGACATAACTGGTGAAAAAGCGCGTGCAATGTCCCTTTTTCCCATTCTGGATTTACTGTTTACGTAGATCCAAAAGGTGAGTTGTCTTTGTATGTTAGCTGAAGATACGGAGCTGATTCCCAATAAAGCTTGTACACTTCCAAATAGGCGTTCTGCAAATTATTTTCGGGACGTTTGTGTTGAGATAAACACAATGGAAAGATTTTTGGGATTCACATTGACATGCTTGAATTTGTGCGGTAAACACAAACCAATACAGAAAGTGATGTGTAAGACTAAGAGGTCTAGAGTTTTAAGACTGATGTCTGGGGTTTTACAGTTAGACCTAGATTTGGTTTTAAGTATTGGTTTAAATGGCGAATCTGCACACACCTTTGCAGGCAATGCTGTGTTGTGGCTTAAGACTTTATGTGAAGTGCAAGACAACATGAACTTCATGCCTATCCCAATCTCCATTGGTAATCAATATAAAAATGCACAATGACCATGGGCTAAATCCATGGGCTAAAACATTCGTATCGTTAAACCCTTGGTTTGTAATGTATTTGACACAGCCTATTTACAATGACAAATACAGCTGGCTCTTTTTATATTTTCTGTTATTTTCTGCTTTTAAAGACACATAATCCTAATTATTTTATCACTGGTCAAGATTATCAAGATGTCCTACTGTGTTACTGTGTAATAAACTGTTGTTCTCTAAAACAATCAACAGATGGCTCCCACTGCACTGTTAGTTCTACTGGTGCTCCAGTTTGGACTTGGTCAAAGCTCTCACAAGCATTCTGATGATGATCACTATTTTGACCAACAGCATAATCCTGAGCACGACATGGACATGCTGCTGGGAGATGAGGTGGCTAATCTCTAATCTCTCTCATGCTATTACAAATCAATATTGTACAATTTCCTCACCACCATTTGTTGTCTCTGGCCTTCTAAGGACACAGAGGAGTTCAAGAAGCTCAGCCCTGAAGAGCAGAAGAAAAAGATGATGCAAATAGTAAAGAAAATTGACACGAATGGAGACAATCTGCTAAGTGCAGGTAAATGTGTTTCCTTAAGAAAGACAACAATTTCCGATGACTACATCTAATACTCTGTCCACTCTTTTCTGACACAGAGGAGATCACTGTGTGGATTCAGCAGGTCTACAGGAACTATGCCCTGGATGATGCAGAAGAGCGTTTTCCAGAGTATGACACTGACAATAATGGCGTTGTAACATGGGAAGAATACAACATGGTTGCTCATGGGCAGCTCATAAATTTTGATGACAATCCAGTGATGGAGGATGCAGAAGAGGAGTCCATTAGACATGTATGTTTACAAGTTTTGTAGCTTTATAGAGTACAGTTATATGGCACCCCTATTTTTGACTTTGGTTAAAAAAAAAAATTCCTCCACATATGATAATATCCTCATTAGCTCCATCAGAAGGAGAGGAGGCGCTTTGACCATGCTGATCTGGACGGTACTCCTGGTCTTAATGTATCCGAGTTTCTTGCCTTCACACACCCATCTGAAGTGGATCACATGGATGTAAGAAATATATATACATTTATATATAAATATTTTTTTCCAACTTCAACAGCTTCTATTTAAACTGGCAACATTTAATATTTTTGCTAAAAGAATAAAATGTTTATTCCCCTGATAGGACTTTGCAATTGAAGATGTTTTGAGTGAATATGACACAGATAATGATGGATACATCAGTCTGAGTGAATTTATTGGAGATGTGCGCGGTGATGGTAAGATTATTTTTGAAGATTCATTGATTGATTGCTGTAATCTCGTCAGCCTTTTTTCAGTTGTGTTGCCTTAATTTTTTTTTTATCAGATGATTCCCCTTCACAATGGGAAATGGAAGAAACTGAGCGTTTTAAAGATCTCTATGATCAAGACAAGGATGGGAAGCTGGACCGAGCAGAGCAGCTTCGCTGGGTGGCGCCTAATAGTTACGGTTCCGCAAGAGAGGAGGTGAACCTAAAACCAGGCTTCAATAACTCTTCATGATAACAGGAATACACTGATTCATTGTCTTGTTCTGCTTCTTGTCCAAAGGCCCTTCACCTCATTAAGGAAATGGACGGTGATGGAGACGGACAGATCTCTCAGGCCGAAGTTTTGAAAAACCAAGAAACATTCATGAACAGTGAAGTGACAGACTACGGCAGACAGCTGCATGTTTCCCATGATGAATTGTAATTAAAGTGATAGAATTTTCATGTCAATTCATGTAGTTGTCATTGGTTAAATTCTTTAGTTTTGAAAGAGGGAATATATTTTCACAGAACTGTCTGATACAGTGATGTTAAAGAAAGTCGTTACAAAACAAAATTAAATCTATACAATGCAATGCAGCCACTAGTGTAGGGATAATTGAACATTTAACATAAATATCAAATTAACTGTAGGTAATTTGATCATATTTAAAGATCTGAAATGAAAGTGTTTTAGAAGGGTTTTCTTTGAATAGTTGAACAAGTGAAATGACGTGAATCTCCGTGTTTCTTCTCTTCCTCATTCAAATCTATCGAGAGAGTGGTTTGTGGCAGTTGAAGGGTTGGTTTCCTGAATGTAGACTCAACTGTTTCTCTTGCACTGAGCAGCAGCCTGCTACACGGCTGAAAGAGCGAATTTGTGAATTTAAGTGGATTATCTGATGAGGACAGTTTAACCCACAGCCAAGATGAAACTGGAGTTTAAAGATTCATTCTGGGTGAGTTATTCAGGAGTTCGTTTGTATTTGTAGTTGTTTAACACTTCATCCTACCTCCAGCAACACCATTAAAAACTATTATGTTAGTTTGGTAAACAAATTAAACAAAAATGTCAAATTTTGGTGAAAGTGTATGACTGCAAATTATAGAAGCCAAAATAAAAGTTTATCCTATTTGACATTTTTTGTGTGATTTTATGCCGTTTACATTGTGTCTAATACCATGTGTGGATGCAAGTGTTCAAAGACATCGACTACAATAGACAACAATAGACATAAAGTGAAACATCAGTTGGCAGTTTTTTTGTCCTCACAGGAACCTGAAGTTGAAAAGAGAAACTTAACCTGCCTGCAGCTTTAGATCATTGCATCATTGTTTCTCTTCATCTTCGTCCTATTATCAGTAGATTTACTGTATCCTTTTTTCTCCTATTTTTCTGCCATGTAAAGACACACTGTTCCTCTTAACTTTCTATTCATTACCACAAAAAACAACAACCATTTATGTTTGACAAGCGCTTCATAGTCATTCATAGTCACTCAGTAAACCTACTGATAATATCAAGATGTCAGAAACCAGACTTACAAATATAAATTTACAAAATTACGCAATTTGGTCTTTTTTGTCTGTTTGTTTTAATAATCTTAGACCCACAACTTAAAATGTTGTTTGAAGCAGTAACAACAAACCTGACTTGTTTGACTCTATTAAAAATTGTGGGAAACTTTATCCCACAAAAAATATGTTTGTACTAAATGTCAGCTAATAGAAAATTGAAGCCGTATACATTAAGACATTTTGTCCAAATGTAAGTTATACTTGATCATTACCAAATCACAGTACTGTTTTTATGGTATATGTACTTGTGTGTAATGATGATTTAACATCATGCCAATGCTTTAGTTAATTGTATTTTATTGTAGAATGAAATGCAGCCTTAGCTTGTTGATCTTTTAACTTTCACTGTTGCTATGAACTCTCCGTGCAGAACACTGGTCAGATTCTTTCAATTGTAACAATGTTAATGTATTTAATGTCTATGCTAAAAAAATTCCAGCCTTTACCATCTGTGATGCCACAGGGAGTGGAATTCATCAGTAATGTTGGATATGAGACTCTTATTCAAAGGCTAAATGATGGCAGACGAACCTGCAAGGACATGGAGGAACTCTTGAAAATGAGGTGGGTACAAAAAAGAACTGATGAGTTTCACATGTAAAGCCGACAGTGAAGTTAGTTTTTGAACATTGTGTTGGGTTCATGTCTGCCTAGAGCTGCAGCAGAAGAGAAATACGGAAAAGATTTAATCACCATCGCCAGAAAGGCGGGCGGTTTAGGTGAAACCAGGTGTGTGGTTTATTTACTCCTTATATACATTTCTTCAGTTTAAAAAAATGTGGCATTTTTCTAAGGTCTTGTCCTCTGTGTTGTCACAGCACTTTGAGGATGTCTTTTGATGAAATGAAAAAACGTAAGCACAGTACACTAATTATGACATCCATGGTATAACATATCACATCAGGTCACTGTGTGATTTTACACTTTTGATTTTGTTCAGAAATGGAGAATACCGGAAACTTGCATATTCAGCTCGCTGGACTCTTAAAGGAGGAAGTGAAGCAGATGGAGGAGTTCAGAGAAAGACAGAAAGAACAGCGGAAGAAGGTTTTCTTTTGTTTGTTTTTTTACCGTCATGCCCATGTACAAGAAATTGAAAAGGAAACCAATTTCCTGTCAGTGTGGTTCTACAGTGATGACACATTTCATTCCTGATTTGTCTTTTTAGTACGAAGTCTTAATGGAAAAAGTCCAGAAAACAAAAGTATCGCTCTACAAGAAAACAACAGAAGTAAGAGTCCGTCATTATCAGCCCTGTTCTTTCATTCTCATTATGTTTTTTTCATAAATGTTGAAACAGAAAGACAAATAACCGCAGCTGGATGTGTGTTTCACACCTCAGTTAACATGTTAGTTACAACATTTGAAATGGCACAATTTAGTGCAATCTAGAATTAGGATTATTGGGTTGGTTTTTTATTTTAATGACTCTTCAAAGTAGTAATTTTAACTCTGTTTTATGCATGTGACACAGTTTTGACAGCATGTTTGTAGTTATTTTTCTGCCCACTATGCGCTCATGTCAGTTAGTTATTATGTAACTTTTTATTTTTATTTTACTATTTCTATCCTAAAAATTCTTTAGGGTTTCTAGTTAAGTAATTCTTGTCACTCTGCCATTGTCATTGAACCACAGCTTTATAAACTTTTTTGTGTTTCTTTTCACACAAAAAGTAGGGTGAAAAGTTGTTGATGCACTTTTTTCTTCCAACAACCCTTTCAAACCACACCATGGTTTCACACAGTTCTGTGCTAATAAACAAAATGTGGGTTTTGTGGTTCCTTTTGATGCAGTAGTTTCCATTGTGTTTCCCTTCCCAGTCTAAAAGGACGTATGAGATGCGCTGCAGTGAGGCAGATGACGCTGAACAAACAGCCGAGAAGATGGGCAACACTCCCACAACTACCCCCAAACAAATAGAGAAGGTAAATAATGTGGGTAGTAGAGTTATTAACCAGTAACACAATCACAATCATTCTTTTTGTATCTAGTTTTTTCAGCTCCATAATATCTCCTAAAAACTTCTCAGAAGAAAGTTATTTTCTACTAAGACATTCTATATATCTTAGCATGCTGGTATGACACGGTAAAATTTGTACTGCATATAATGTTGTTGTTTTTTCAGATGAACAATAAATCTAAACAGTGCCGAGAAGCTGCAGAGATGGCCGGTAAGGTTGACGGTCAAAGTACCACTTAATACAAAAGATGCAAAATGAATTCTGCCTCCTCATTTATTTGTCTTATTGTTCTCATTGGTCCTGAAGAGAAACAGTACATGTCCAACATTGAACAGTTGGACAGAGTGCGTCAAGAATGGGAATCCACACACATTAACACATGTGAGGTAATGTTTTGACATTTCAGAAAGTACATACTGTATGCATTGAAGTGGAAATACTGGTAAAATGCAGATGTGTAATACTTCCTATATTCCTTGCCAGTTTCACAGACGTAACTTCACACCATCAACTAAGCAGATGCAAGTTTTTTTTTATAACACTTTGTTTAGGTTTGCAACACATTGCTTTCTGCATTTGTTTTGCAACATGATCATACTTACAAAACAGCAGCACAACTGCAGCTTTTATAGAAACAGGTATTTTTAGACTGACAAACCATTGTGAGGCACTTTTAATTATTAACAGAGAACTATTATTACTATTACTCTAATCATTATTATTATTATTACTATTATTATTAGGGGTTAGTTAATGAAGTAAACTATGTTTATGCAGAAATTTTAGACTTTAATGACTCATTTAGCAAAGCTTTAGGGGTAGCTTTTCAAACACAACATACACAGTATGTTTATAACTAAATGTTGCTAAATTGTTAAAAAAAAGTTAGGGGGGGTCCTGCTATGGGGCATGGAGTTACTCAAGGGGGGGGCATATTATTTTTGATTAGATTTACATTTAGTGGAGTTTTGAAACAATTGCTGTGAATGTGTAAAGGTGGGCGAAAGAGGGCACAGCAATTGTTATCTTCGAATCCGGAGGGGAGGATGGGGGGGTTATGAACCATTGCCTTACACATGCTTTCTTTGCAGATGTTCCAGCAGCAGGAAGAAGACCGAATCAGCATCATAAGGGGTGCTCTGTGGGTGCACTGTAACCACCTATCTATGCAGTGTGTGAAGGACGACGAGGTGGGTGTGGCAGCAGAGATTTCCCTTTCTACATCTGAACCTTAACGCTCGTTCACCAGACCCTTCTGTACAACCCAACTGTGCATGTAAATTCCACACAGTGTTATGAAGATGTCAGGAAAACTCTGGAAAATTGTGACGTCATCACGGACAACAACTGCTTTGTGGAGACAAAAGGCACCGGCTCAGCACCACCGGGTTGGTAACTGCGCTCTGTCTTCCTCATTTTCTCCTTCCTCATTTTGATTTGAATACGCTTATCATTGCACATTTAACTATTTATCCCTATATGACTGTTTGGCACAAGCAGATAATAGTTAAGTTGTTTTTTTTCTCTAACAGCACCAATAGAATACCAGAATTACTACACAGGAAATGGTCCATCTGAGGGAAACGGCAGTGTCGGATTTGTTGGAGTAATAAAAAGGTGACTCACACTTGAGCTTACGACATGCAAACTTCCCAAATCTCTATTTGCATCTTCATGGGCCAACTGTGACTATTATTTGTAGGTTCTCAAATCTGCTGCAGACAAACTGCTCTTTTGGCTCCAAGACAAGCATCATTGAACCGGTTACACAGCCCACTGGTAAAAAAAAAACCCAACACTTTTATTCACGCAACACATGACATCTATCATTGTGTTCACAAGAAATGTGTTTTACATGAGGGGCTTTGATGCAATAAAAAATGATTAAGTGGTGCGATACAGGCATTAAAAACAGTGTTTGATATGAACACCCCGTAACGAAAGTAGATCTGACCAATTAAAGCTGCCCAAGCTTTTAACACCCTAGTCATTACACAGTCATGTACAAGGCATGATGGGTAACAGGGTAGCATTTACTTAGACATTTTGTCTACTTGGTCGATGACAGTAAGTGTTAAACAATGCTTTCAGTAACGATACAGTATTTACTTCTGACACTTTTTAGGTTAGTTGCATCTGCCTTCTACTTAGGCAGATGCCATCAGAAATAAGATTAGCAAAACTGACTAAAGCCAGTCTGCTCTGGTTACAGCAGAAACATCAGATGGAGTCTACGCCTCCATTCCTGGGTTAGAGGAATCCAGACCAAGCAGCGAGGAGTATACAGCCATGTATGACTATGTGGCTCAGGTCAGCATTGTCACGTTTTACTCAACTTGAGATGATTACGGTAGATTAAAAACATTTTCCTTAAAACTTACTTTCCCAATCTTCAGAATGAAGACGAGCTCTCTGTGTCTGTCGGGGACATGGTGGTTGTCATTGACCAAAATCAAGATGGCTGGTGGATGGTGCAGAGAAACGGAGTCACGGGATTGGTTCCTGGTTCTTACCTAGCACAACAATAAGTTCATAAGAGTAGACCTGTGCAATCTTGAACATGTAAGATTCTAACATCAAAGGGTTTATTTTGCATCTTCGTAGATAGACATGACTATATTAAATGGTGTAAACATATTTACATTTTTTCCACAAGGGTTTAATGCACTTTCAGCAGTTGCTATGGACATATTGCAGCCATGTTTTTAAAAGTAGAGATGTACAGTAAAGTTTGTTGTACAATTAAGTTTTGAGGATGATTTTTATGTCTCTCTGCTATAAAACCTTTACTATTATGGCTATACTCACAAATGCAGCAGTGCCATTCAAGAGGTTGTAATGGACCCAGATGTCCTTCTTGACTCATGTGAATGTCCTATCAATAGTTCAAAGGTGTCTCGTTTCTCTGATGCGGCCATTGTGCTTAGGTTTCTTAGCAGGAGTCTTTTACCTGCATAAGAACAAACACTGTAGCCCTACAGAGTTTGTTTTATAACAGAATGTGCCAGAAGGACACACACTGAAGCTATTTTACACTTGCACAAGACATACAAACATCGCACTAAGGTAAAACACACCCAATTAACAAACACACCTGAAACCTTCACCTTTTATTTTATTTACATAATACACTCTTACATTATAGATCAAATAAAATCATAAACACATCCACCCATAGGAAACATCCTTAAGATACAGTTCTTAAATTAAATGATTTTCTGTGAGTAATTTCTTTTATAAAGTTCACATTGACATCAACTGTAGTGATACTCCTACACCTGCTGGTGTAGATCTCTTTATATTTAATTGGAGTGCTTCCTAGAATCTAATCAGGAGTTTTTTTAAAGATGCTCTTTGGCTAAAAAACATTCTCTTGATACTTTTAGTTATGGTAAAAGCTTTTAAATCAAAATCATACCAAAGAACACTGAGACTATGTTGTAGAATAGATAAGAGGAGATACAGGCTGAAATTCTCCACCAATACGTTCAAGTTCGCTAGAAGTTTAAATTGATTTCTTTTTCTTTGAAGCCCAACACTTGGAAACCACCATGAAGAAATTACCCTGTCTGTTATCGTGTCCAAACCTCACTTGTCATTCTCACAGGTCACTGTGAGACTTCGAGCGTATACTTTTTTTGGTGTTTGCAAAATAGCATCAGTGTGGTTGGCCAGGTTATTTAGGTGGTGATTTTTTTAATTATGCCCTCACTGAAGACAGAAGTTGTTAGAACAAGATAAACAAGTTCCTCTTTATGCCTGAGTGGCCCCTGAAATGAGAAGTTCATAGGGAGGATCTCTCCCTCTGCGGCACAACACGATACACCCACACAGCATCCCCAGCATCTGTTGGAGGAAACAGCATTTTTTTTGAATATTTTTTTCTTTTAAATTTGCAGCCTTTTGTTACAGAACACAAAAAAGAAATATTAAAAAATGCAAAAATATGATTAAAGCTGGGTTAGGTAATTTAGTTAGGTAAGTTAAAAAAGTATTATGTTTAATTATTTACAATATAAATACTTGTTGATTTTTCTGCAGATAGAAATAGCATTTTTCTTTAGAAACATTTAAGAAGTTAAGGTATTGAAATGAATAAAGTTTTTTATTCTTTTAAATATGTAAAAGACTGGTTTATCTGCTAAACAGAATAAATACTTGACTGAATTGACCTGGCTGAAATAAACTATAACAAAGCACACAAATAATCAAACATCATGAGGTAAATACCTGGACGACAGCAAACAACAGTGCAGTGAAGATGATGTACATCATGATCTCCTTTAGCTTCTTGACAATCAGAGCCTCACAGCCCTACACACACACACACACACACACACACACACATCCAGTATGTGAGAAAACCAAATTAAATGTTTTTTACTGAAAACTCTTTGAATAATAAAAAAAGGAATATCTACTTCTTGGTACAGATCTTCAGGATTTGCCAGGGACCCGGAGCAGCTTCTAGTTGTAGCTGTAGAGTTGCAGCAGCTCATAGGAACACTGTTGTCTTTGGACTCTTTAAACCAGCGTGTATCATGCCAATCTGAGTAATTATGGATGCCACAGCACTGAAGCTATTGAAACAGAAACACAAAGTTAAAGCCCAATACTGTGTTCTTTGACTCCTGCTCTATAGCACTGTTGACAGCAAGATTTAACTCCTCACCTGTCTCTGTATGTAGTCGATGGCACGACTCTGGGCATTGCTGTTGGTGCCATTGTACTCATTGAAGACCTTACTGATGGAGTTATTAACTTCAGTTTCAACCTGTCAACAAAAGTCCATTGCGTATAAAAAACCAGGCTAAAAACAAATAACGCAATTTCCATTGCATAATGTGTTTGACATACTACCTTTGCTCTGTAAATATATCCAAGCACAACCACCGCCACTTCAGTCACCAACACCAGCAGGAGAATAATCACAAACTGTGGATGGGATTTCAGACGAATAACTTTAGCCAAAGCAGTCTGACAAACCCATTAACACAAAAATCATCATGTACTGTTGGTTTCTGTGCAGTTTTTATTTTTAAAACGCTTTACTGACTGTTGCAAGTCCACAGCGGCTCTCTCTCACTGTAGCACAGCAGCCAATCAACCCAATAATGAAGAGGAGTGCTCCAACTGCAATGATGACCATCGCTGGGATGAACGTGTACACATCTTCAAAGAAATGGTCGTAGTCATCATATGTAATGAAGACGTATGCTCCCACGTAGCACAGGATACCAGCAGCAGCCTGTCAAAAACATTAAAAAAAAAGAAAAAAAAAAACAACAGTAGGAGGTTCAGAAGAATAAAATGTAGGTTTTAAAAAGGCAAAACAGTGTATGATACATACAGTACACCTGAATCATTGTAATACATGTATGCTGTGATATATTATTTGTATTTTTTTATCAGTTATTCGAAACGTTTATCTTGGCTTATGTAACAGAGAACTCTTTCTTTTAAATAAAACCAAACTACTTGACCGTGTTATAAAAAAAGTATTTATTTTGAAATGTTAATAATAAACATGATGAATATGTTGGTTATGTTTTGTCCACCTATATATATTATACTCTGCAAATAATAAAGGGAGCAAGGAACTGATTCCTGTTCCTGATCAGTCTAATGACTGTGAGAATTTTCCACCTTTTCTAATCAATGATCAATCTGTTTAAATGGCAGAGGTTTTTAAATATTCAGGAACCTTCATCAAATGCAAGTGTGACAGCCAACTATAAATATTTAAATAAGCAGTGCAGTGCATGTACCTACTGAAGACTATCATGGGGTAATGTTGGTTTGTTTTTATACTACTTATGTGTTTTTATTACATTCAAAAACTTAAATGAATTTTGACTTTTGACTTATTCTCATAAATGTTATAATTTTCACACAAATTACATTTAATTCACAATTCAGACATTACTGTCAGATTTCTAAATTCAAGCACAGGCTAATGAAAGTGAGCTCTTCAAATTCTGAGAAATGTGTTCTAGCCAGTTCCTTGAATAGACAGAATGTCTAAATTCAGACTATTTAATCTAATCAAAAACGTGCTTTTCTTCTTCAGCTGGTATCGTTTCTCCTTTTCATTTCCTAATATTTCTCCTCATAACAAACAATGATGAACTTGCTAGAAACGAACCTCGTGACTCATCCAGCTCAAATAAACGTCCCTATAATATTCTTACTGGAATCGTTAGGTTAAATATTCTAGAGACGTTTAAAAAGGCAAATTATTTTAAAAACTGTTACCGTATCGCATGACTATTTGCGCTTAAAGCGAAATAATCATTAGAATGGTAGCAAAATAAGCGAAATGTTGTATCAACCACTTAATCCATTTTATCACGGAAATATATATTGACACGGGGTGGCGCTGTAGAACTGATACAGTTACAGATAAAGTCTTCAAGTTATTAAACCGAATGCAAAAGCTGTTTATGGTTTAACGCAATGTTGTCTTACAGAATAACTGAATATAAAAAACAAACTCTCTCTTTAAACTCTCATACAATAAGCTGATGTGTCTCCATATTAATAGGTTACTGCTAACTGCCGTTATTTACATTGTTTACGCTGCTAACCAGCTGCCCGTTAGCTGCAGCGTTGTGACGCACGTTCAAAAATAATGAAAAAACACCAAACTCACCCAGAAAATGAGGTTGAGAAAGACCAAGACTGTCTTGGAGGACATAACGCCGCACTTTCCCATCTTGAACCCGGAACTTCGACGCTTACGTGTTGGAAAACGCCACTGCTTTGCTACTCAGACATGTCCGTACAGTCACCTCCTGCAAACACACGCCATATTCCACTGACTAAACAGTACGTGCACCTGCAGCTGCATCAACAGCGACACCAACAGGCAGAACAGCAACAGACAACAAGAAGAAGCACCTAAATGCCCTAAACTACACAATAGTAACGCTAAGGTGTCATAATATTACATAAAGCGTTTTACAGTTCATGGAAAATTTTCTTTCAGTTTTTAGAGTACAAAACCTGTTGTTTCGTAATCTAAACATTCTTCATTTTTTGGGTTAAAAAACAAAGCTGATCACTTGATGTAGATAATGGTGAAGGTGTTAAAGCTGTTCAAGAATTATTATTTAGTTATCAATTTGAATTTAATAAATATGTCCTACAATTAAACCCACAGAGCAAGCATTTTAAGTACATGGTTCTTTGGCTTTTAACATACAACTAAATTGCACATTGCTCTTCAGTAGAACATATTGTATATAAATTAATCTCTTGGTTTTAGGTCCTCAACCCAAAAAATATATATCTTGATCACAGTAACCCAAGTTAGTATTTCTCAAAAAGGTCAGAAGAAAATTAAAATGACGTATATGCAAAATATTCCTTTTCTTTTTTCAACCAGAAAGCTCTGGCAATTTATGAATTGGTTGTTGAATCATCTATAAAATACATGTGTGTTTTTTTAGGAACCTTAAGAAAAGATACTATGAAGTAAGTTTATACTGATTGTCACATGACTAGATAAGGTAGTGGAAAAAGGAGGGATTACTTACATGAGGAAGAATGTAATTACAGTCCAGCTTAAAGGTGAGGATCACTTTTCATGGAATAAGTCTGGACACAGTTGTTTTTATGTATTAGTTTTTTAATGTTGTTTTACATTACAGTGATACAATGTAATGGACAGAGTCTGACGTTATATGAAATTGAAATGTATTGGTTGTTATTATACAAACTTCCACACAATAGTTTTAGGTACTTTAAATTACAACACACAAACAACAACAAATTGTCTGCATGTACTGTAAACTAACATCTATTTATTAATTTTAGGCATGCAAACATCTGCATAAGTGCCAAATATTTTGTCCCAGTGGTTGAAGTGTGGCGCAAAGTTGGTGTTAGGTTTCTGGTGATGCATGTCATGATCGCTTGGTCCTCCATAAATGCCAAATGGAATGAGACGAGATGTTGACCAAGGAAAATCATAGCCGCAGTGATCCTCAATGGAAACGTAGACATGAAACACCATGAAGGCCCAGGTGGTCAGGAGATGGGATTGAAGAATTACAGGATTCAGGGTGGTCCAGAACCCAACTGTGACCAGCTCCCAGCCACTAAGACACTGAGTTGCAAGTGCAAAGGGGCAGGAATATTTGTGGTGTATGGCATGGAAAGATACATAGAGCCAGCGGATCTTGTGATGCAGCACGTGCCAGATAAAGTACTGAAAATCAAAAAGTAGGAGATTTCCTATCACTCCAGCAATCAGTTCCATCAGAAATGGAGCCTGCTCCGGAAGGTCAACAGGTGGCCTCCATGCCCACTGGGCCACAGACGCTGGGAGCACAAGAAAAACATGGTTGTACAAAGTGACACCTGCACAGTGCAACAAAGTAGAGGCTGTGGGCCGATGGCTCGGTTGGATCTTGAACTGCTGGACCCATCCCCATCTGTCCCCAATGATGTCACAGACAAGGTAGGGAAGGCACAGAACAAAGTAGGAAGACACGGTAAGAACGACGGGAAAAAGCGGAGATCTCAAGTAGTCTCTGTAGTTAAGTCTCAGGTTATCCCACACCGGCTGCAGCAAAGAATCATTTCCTAGGCATGTAATCCACAGATCTGTAGTGACATCTGTAAGATTCATGCTGGATAAGAGTCAAAAGGCTAGTAAAGTTTAGTAACGATTGTGTGTGCCTCGATCAGCTTGAAGAGACCTCATCCCATGAGTGCTTGCTTGTGTCTTGCCTGCCACATGGTATCAAGTGACAGCTGGGTGAAACAAATAATTTATACCCTCCAGACAAGATGAATTGTTTATTGAAAGAAATACTTCCAATCCAAATGTATGAACGATATGAAGGATACATTTGGTATCTAATCATATTCATATTGCAGTGATTTTGTCAAATCAGTGGTAAAAGCGCTGAATAAAGAAAAATACATATTGTATGAATTTTACAAGATCACTATGAGCAAGGGGCAAAAGAAAGAGATATATTTACAATATGGTATGACAAAAAATATATCAATTTTAACTTTTAGTGTTGAGATGGAAAAAACTGTATGACTAGCCAGAATGATGCAGCACTAATGTTGTCAACGGCTCTATTTAATATGATCAACACTGCCCTCAGCTGGAAATCTACAGCAAATGCTCGTCATGATGAGTTTGGTAGGTTGAGCGACAGAACGGTTGAAAACATTGTTTTCTCTGTATAAGGTAAAAGTATGGGATGCGTTTTCATTTCCAATAACAATAGTAATTGGAGTCTATGTATCAGTTGACAATTAAATCAGTCATAAATGTTGATACTTATATCATCACTTGCAATGAGCAGCAAACAGATAATAAACGAATAAGGAAGTCAGAAAATATCTGTTAAATATAAAACCACTGCGGGTGTGGTGATTTTCTGTGAATTGTTAAATTATTTCCTTCAAATTACAAAACCTAGCATTAAATAATTGATTAAGTTACACGATAACTTACAAGTTTATTACTTTTTAATAGTGATTTTTTAAAAAAACAAACATTGAATTGAACAGATTTTATAATATATCTATTTTATTAACGTTCTATTTATTACCTTAACGCTATTATTTATTGATTGATTTTAATGTATAACTTGTATTTTGCGAGTTGCTTGAGTACTTATTATCAACATTGTTTTCAATGAGTACGATTAAAAATGTATAAGGAAAGACAGAGAGGAAACATTCTTCTCTCCTCCTTAAATGCAAAGTTATAGACGGTCCCCAAGTGAAATTCCAGGGATGTGGATTATGTGTTTTTTACCACTGTAAAAAGAAAAACATATTCAGCACCGCTACGTCTTAAAAGTAACTAATTTTCACCATCGGAACACATTGCAGATCAGCTCCTCCGTGTGGTAGTGCAGCCGTCGTTACACCAGGATTACGCACCTCTGACCTCCAGCATTAAGCGGCTCTCGCTGCGAACAAATCCACCAGCAGCCGCAAACCGTTGCGTCACATGACCAGCGTGCAGCGCTGCAGCCTGTCGGAATCTCTCCCTGGCTTCAGTTTCCGTGTTCACGGGGGCAGCAGCAGCGGGTGAACGGAGCTGGATGACTCCCTGCTGTGTCTCTGTGCCACGCCGCCAAACTGCATCGCTGTGCGGGGCTCTGTCAGGAGGACGGAGCCTCTCTATCTCAGTCACATCAGCTGGATCCACGGAACGGGACCATGCTTACACGAGTGAAGTCAGCGGTGGCCAGCTTCGTGGGAGGAATGATGGCAGGCGGCTCCAGCGTAGAGCATCCCGCTGGCCCGGATCTGCAGCTGAAATTCCCCTACAGCAGACCGGAGTTTCTGGGACTCTCCCCGGACGAGGTGGAATGCTCGGCGGATCACATTGCAAGGCCGATCCTGATACTGAAGGAGACCAAGCGACTGCCTTGGTCCACGGGCTACGCAGAGTAAGTAACCTGCTTGCGTTCATCTTTTCTCCCACAACAGCAGCATTCGAGTCTGCATCCTTGGATAGACATGCCCTTCGTGACCACTGAGGTCAGCATCACTGGTTGTTCTTGCTGTTGTGGGATAAGACGAGTTTTGAGAATGAAATGAATATGGAGCATAGCTGCAGCAGCTGGCCTACAGTACAAACATGCATTGACCTCATCAAAACATTAACTGGTTCAGTGTCCTATACGTCATTATAGTAAACTTTTTAATTCTATTTAATTCACTTGTAGATTTTGAATTTTTGTTCTATACATTAGTTTACAGTCAACATCAACTTCATTTAATTTTTATCTTCTGCATCAAACAGGGACACATTTCTTTGTTGTTATACCAACGTTTATAACAATGCATTGTAGAAGAAGCCACTTCACCACATTTTATTGCATTTTTTTTGTCATTGTCCAACCTCATTGCAGACCTATTTCATGATTCCATATACAATTTACCTAATAGGTTACAGCACAGAGTCAGAAGGTCACAGGTTTGAATGTTTGATCGATGTTTGGCATGAATTTGCCACATCCTTCCTGATTGGCTGGTTTTCTCTTTAAAGTCATTCCGCAGTCTGATTAGGCATCGGAGGTTGAATTAGAGGTAGTTAGAGCTCAGGCCTAACTACCAGTTTGCTTTTTTATACGTTCTAAATTAACTGGTGTGACTAGTGATTGTTTGTCATTATATGTGTTCCTCTGAAGGACCTCTGCAGGCCCTCCTTTAGGCTGATGTCACCAAGGATCCAGCTCCTACTGCCATTTATACCAGTAATTAGGTCCCATCCAAGTAAACCGATTTATATACACATTATCGACTGTACAATCTTTTTTAAAGAAAAAAACAATATCATTAAACTGTATTTACCCCGTCGTAATCATTTCATGCCTTCAGGTTTGATGGCATTTTTTGGCTAACTGCTACTGTCGTCTGTACTGTAGGTCAAAGTGTCACTGGGCTTTGACACATTGTAGTGAAACAGGTAGGGATATAGTTGCAGCATATGCAGTTAGCATGTATGCTAAACTTACCAGGACATAAATATTCCACCTTAAAGTCCGGAGACATGTCAAACTTGTTTAAAGACTACATCTGTCCTGGATTAGAATTTATTCAACATTGACAAATAGAATTAAAGTGATTAGTTGGGTTTCAGCTGCTTTACTCATACTAAGATATTTACACTGGACAATAAACCTCAATAAATGGTACTGTATATAAAAAATAGAATTTTTAGGTTCACACACTGCATTCTCCTGCGTGGGTAGTTGAATATTCATCACTTCTGGTTTGACATGTCCGCATGTTTCTTTGAAACAAGTTTTTATGTTGAGCGTGAATGCACCTTTATTTGCTTAGGCAGTGTTTGCTTTGTCAAACACCGTCTTCCCGCTCCCACCTAATGACTGCAACCCGGATCTGAGATCATCTGTTGTTCTATGTCACACAGGGCACTAAGTCGTCCTGCCCACAGCTGATTTTACATCTCAGCCAGGTGGAAATGTCAGGTTTTATAGATAAGATCAATATAGTAAACAGTATAAAATGAGCTGTGTGACCAACCGTAGTGGTTAGAGTTGCTGTTGGTGCAAAAACCTGAATGTGCAGATCGCAGCGGCAAAAGTGTTGACATAGGTGTTCAACACATGCACAGTTGACTTTTTTTCTTTATTGCACACAGTTTACATTTGCCTTTGACAGGCAGCAACCTGTCTCACACCTGAGTCCACAGAGACTTAACTCATTTAGAAGTCCCACACAGACCGTGTGGGTGGTAGCAAAGGTTGGCTCACAAATATAGAGGTCACAGTTCAATTCTGCAGACAATTCTGCTGAAGAGCAGTTTGTCTAGTGCAGGCGTGTCCAAATATTTTTGACTTGGGAACTACTTTATAAATGACCAAGGTAAAGTCATCTACCTACATTTAAATATATATCCATTGATATAAACTGAATATACATTTTTATATATACATTATATACATACATTATATTATATATCTAAAAATAGAATTACTCACACACACATACATATATACATATAGATTTCATTTTTTATGATTTTATGATTTTTTATTTTTGTGATGATCTATTAGATCTATGATCTGCTATTGCAATCTATTAGTAGATTATAATCTACCTATTGGGCACTCCTTGTCTGGTGAGATTCTTTAGAACCGAGCTTTTAAAGCTGTAAATGGGCCTGTTATTTTAGGTTTAATTTAGTCCTATTCAATAAAAAAAAAAAAAACTTTTTAGATGTGCTCGGCCTTCTGCTTGTGGAAAAGTTTAATATGGAAAGTTTAATATCACATCATAGCCAGGGGTCTGCTCACATGCTTTTACACAACTGACCTAGTCCAGTCTCACTCCCCCTGCTCTCGCTCTGTGATTCTGAGATAAACAACATTCAGCAGGGAACTTTATATCACTGGTTTTATCTACCAGGTCAGAGAGTAAACAAAACAACCCCTATGTTCATCTGACATCAATAAAAGTCAGTTGGCTGTAACGCCCCAGTAGTTGCACGTCACTATGTTGCAGAGGCTAGAAGTAAGATTTTTTTTCAGTTCATATAATGTTATGTATATAGGTTAATTTACTGATTATAACACTCTATATTTCCTCTTTTGAATCCTTTGAACTCAACACTCTCTGCTCCTTCTTTCCCTTTGCTGATCCTCCGTGAAAATTTTTTCACCCAAAGACAAAAGAAAGGATTATCATTTTGTACAGTGCTTGAAAGAAAATACACCATCAACCACTCACTGTAAGGGGATGTAACTGGGATCTTATAACATGGAAACATATCACAGTCTAGTTCTTGTAAAATATGGTGTTATATTCAATTTTGTGTCATATTTTTCATTTTGATTTCATTTAAATACATACTTATACATATACTCTAAGTTGGGTTTTTTGTTCGGATTCCAAAGTATCTGAGTAGAATGCATGTGTTGGTGTACATCCATCACTCTGGGAATTGTCACTTCAGGCCTGAAGAGTCTGTTTTGTTGTAGATGATAGTCTCACCATCAGTGGATGAACCTGAGCCTGTTTGAGATGACGTGATCCTCACAGATCCATTCAGGGCTGTTCACGTGGTCAAACAACAATGGATCACTCAGAAGTAAAATGATCTCCATATTTTGTGGTCGTCTGCAGGGATTTTTTTTCTCCTTTTTTTTGTTACTACGATTTTGTCACTGCTTTCAAAATAACAGATAAACAATATTTATGTAAGATATTTGTTTAGGTTTAAGCTATACCAGGTTACAATGTAAATGTTGTGTATTTTTTTAACCATTTTTTATAAACTTTCAGCCTAAAAGTCAGCCATCTTTTGGCTATTACTAGCCATTTGTTTTCAAACTAATATGCCGTAATTTCTGTCACTTTTTGTGGCAATATACATCTTCAACTGTGTAGAAGAGTATTGCAGTGATCTGTTTTCGAATGATTAACATTAACACATTAACTATAATGTAACTAAACAGCACAACAATTTTGAAACGTGTCTTTTTTTTAGTTGTATTTTTTTAGCAGTTGTAGCCATTTGCTGCAACCAAGTGAAGGAGTATCCATTTTTTCTGCCTGCCAACTAAGATGAATTACAGTGTTATAAATGAATGTTTTTCATAAAAGACACGTATTTATTTTTGTATTTTACTATTGAAAACTTTTGCAAATTCGCACTGTGTTTTCTTAATGTCTGTGTGCCATGACGTCTGCAGTGACAGTAAAGCTTTAACAATGACCCTGAACAAATAACACACATCCTGCAACCTCCAAAGCTGTCTCATTGATACAGAATCAATATGTGTGTCTGAAAGCTGAACACTACCACCACTGCCAACAACCACAACAACAACACCATGGACTGAATGTTGTGGCTGCAGGTCATGACAGTTGTTTGAGCCAAGGTGTGTCAGTGCTGCAGACAGTTAATACAAAATTCATATGAAAATGCCCAAAATTGTCTTCATGTGTTTGTGACATTTGTTGGGTTAAAGAAGTGAAGGAGGGAAGGTTACACTCCTCGGCAAGTGGAAGCACATGAGTGGCACTTCATACATAGAGCCCTCCAGTGCTGCGTCACATGACAGAGCACATGTTCTTGACCCATGCTGATACATCAACACAGCAAGTGAAAAAGTGTAGAGTGAGTACCACGGCCACTTATTAATGGGTTTCTGTGTAAATATTTTTTTCTACTCCTCAGTAGGAGACGATGGCAAGGAAAGGGCATGAGTTCATGCAACAATTATTGACGGTGTAGTAAAAAGTGGTAATGATGAAATCTTACCTGTTACATAATATTTTTTTTATTTAACAATTTAGAGGTACAAGTACTGTAAGTGAGACTGTAAGAATTTGTAAGAATTACATTCTGAAAATTCACCAAACAGGTTTCTCGGTTGTGTTACACACCACATGACTTCTAGAAAAGTGTTGGACTGAACAGTCCCACAGTGTGTTACCAAAGCACAAGAAGAAGAGAAGTTTGAGTTTCCTCCAGAGTTCAGTTCTGACAGGCTAATTAAGGTCATCTGATTGTGAGGGAAATAAATGAGGTAACAGAATATGACAGCCCTGCTCTCAGACGCAGCTCCTGCCTCAGGCTCTGGACGTCCTGTCATTTTGTCAGAAATGAAAAGCCTAAAAAGTGTGAGTGCTGTTTTTTTCTTCTTCTTCTTTCTTTCATGTACTGCGGTCAAATAAACATGAGCCTGGTTATCAGCCTGGTTTAATAGCTAAAGTTCAAGGACATGTTCCTACTGAAAAACACAATACACAACTCTGGAAGATGCACTGCTCCGTGCCTTTAAGACTTTGGCAGATCAGCAAATTCCTTCGTGTGTTTTAATACTACAGACGTCATGTGAACTAAGTAGTAGTAGTAGTAGTAGTAGTTTGTAAGTGAAGTGTGTTTGACAGGTTGAAATGTCTCCTGCACAGAGGGCCTATTGAACATTAATCCACCAGTAGAACTGTGTTCTCATGTTCTCACAGAACTCAGTTGTTGTTCTATTCAACTGATATGCCCTTAAACGTCCCAACCTAAAATCAGCCTAAAATAAAGTCTGTTTAATGTATGATTTTTTTTTTTGTCATTCATCATCTTTTATCTAGTAATAGTTTCCAGCATTAATGTGCAAGGTGGGTCCAATCCCAACAGTCAGTGATGAGGGCAGGGTTCACCCTTAGCAGTTCAACAGACAACCGGTCACACTCACATTCATACCTGTGGTCAATCCTAAGTGAACATTTAATCTAATGCTGCTTTTGGACCAGACGTAACTGCACACAGGTGGCCCTCGACTTACGTTGGAATTCTGTTTCTACAGTGCGACGTAACTCGATTTTTGCCAGAAGTCAGAACTCAAATACTCCACATAAATACCTGTGTCATTCATCTACGCTAATACAGTGGTAACTACATAATCTAGTGTTCATGTCGACATTGGCAGGAAGCAGACAGGACCTAAATGCAGTACCAGGAAGACTCTCTTCAGGTGCAGGCAGTTTATTTCAAAGTGCAAAGTAACCAACACTTAATGGGTTGCAGGACCAAGCCATAAACTAGACTAGACATGAACTACAATGTACAAACCAGTAACTCAAAGCATGACCTACAAACACACACATACTGACACAACAAACAGTACAATGATCCAACAAGGACAGAGTGAGTGAGAGAGGTATATATACCCAGAGCACCAGGTGACGCCAGTGAGACTAATCACACAGGTGAGGGTGATGACACTGATTAACCCCACACAGCAGACAGCAGGAACAGGAAACAGACGAAACGAACATCTAGGACATAAAAAACATCAATAGAATCTGTTTTACACTTGGGAGCGATAATGAAGGGCAAAAATGCCCCCCCCCCCAAAAAAAATCAAAATTTAATTAATTCATGTTTTAATGCCATAGATAAAACAAGCCTTTCTAAATTTATGGGAACTGTAGGTTGAGGACACTTGGGAATCATCAGTTACTGCTGAGGGATTTGAACCAGTGAGCTTCTGGATGTAAAGCACAAATGCTAACCACTCTTCCACTGTTCAGGCCTACTTCAGCTTATCCTCTACATGACTACTAATTGTCTACTAACTTAAACAAAAGTCTAAAATTAAAGTCAATGCGTTTTTGCATTCATTCAGTCTATTTTTTGATCACCACACTTATTAAAACCAGTCCTGCTCCTTTAAAACTCTTGTGACACTGAAGGGAGTCAAGATTCTTTTGGCTTTAGCTGTGCAGTTATGTGAGCATTAAAATTAATCTGTGCAAATGAATACTCGGGAGTTCACATGCTGTCACTTTAACAACTCCATGTATTTTCTTAGCTGTGCACAGTGAACCACTGCACAGTGTGATAATCCCTGTGACCAATTAGGAATATTTATACAGACACCCCGGAGGGACAGAATCAGAGCTGCCTCTCACACTGGAGTTGATTAAAAATTACAGACAAATTTATTTTATAATTTTTCTTTTTTTTTTTCCCCGCAGAGTTCTTGCTGCAGAGTTGACTGTGGATGAAGGTTCTCCTGTGGTCTAACTGAATTAAAAATGACTTGAGTTTTGTTAAACAGCATGTGATGGCCTATGACTACACAGCAGTGCACCATGTGCCCAGTGGTTAATAATGCATCCCTTCAGCCTACATGTCTGGGCCTGGAATTAAATTAAATTCGTTTTTATTTTTTAAATTTACTTCTTTTAAAACAGCACCTCAATTGCTTTAATTATTACCATGGCAAATGTTCCTGTAAAACTGTAGTTCTGGAGGCTTCCAGCAGTTCTCTGTAGACTGAAAGGTCAGTCCTTTTTTTGTTAAGTTTTGGCTGCAGCTAGAGCCAAGTTTCCTAGACACAAGCTCGGAAGAATTCTCTGGATTTTGCTGCATCAGAGTCTCTGCTCTGACATTCAGGACTCGTTTTTTTTTTTTTTTTTTATCCCAGTAATGATACCAGTGGAGGTTAAGAGGTTCTGAGACAATTTAAAACGTATTTGTGACAATAACAAGACTAATGGCACCTACACTTTTTATTAAGTGGTGTTAGCATCAGAGAATTGTTTTCTATGTAGAATTATGGGTGATGTTTTCCTCACCAGATCACAACCTGTTTTTTTTGTTTTGCTTCTTCAAAGACTGAAATGGAGTTACGTTCAGACCTGTTATTACCTTTATTTCTAATTTCGATGTTGGTATAAAGTCATCTTCCTTTCTCTCACCTCTTTATCCAGAGTCATCAATGCAGGAAAAAGCACATTAAATGAGGACCAGGCCTGCTGTGAAGTGCTGGTGGTCAAAAGGAGACCACCAGGAAATTTCACACCAAACCGGACCCCCTTAGCTCGCAGGAGGTCTTCCCTGCCTAATGGAGAAGGCCCAGGTCTACGGGAAAACCTGGTGAGTACAAGTGAAAAATTATAAACTTTCCACTTTATTTTTTAGTGTACTACTGTAATCCAATATATACTGTATATATATGTACAGTATATATATCTATTTCTACTGTATGTGTGTATATTCGTACGTGTGTATATATTTATAACAAATGATGCATTTCCAAATATCCATGAAGTACTTTGTTTTATATTTTTAGTCATACAGTTGTAGGCCAGACACACCTGAAGGTTTTATATAACTGACAAAATCCAGGTGAACATGAGATGAAACACAGCTCTCTGAACTCCCAGGAGCCCGTGTTGTCCCTGCTTCCTGTCCCCTCAGCAGTTTGTTGGATCATACAGTACAGTACAGTGTTCATTACACACAGCTCTTGACTGCACTTACAGGGAAACGGAAGCAGGAGTGAATACATTTACATACAGGAAGGGGGAGAAAAAGGGAAAAGTTAAAATTAGCACAGTGTACAGAGTACGCACTGTTCTGTACCAACTGTATATTTACAGGTGTAAACTAACTTTATGTTTACAGGACTGTGGAAAAGTACACGTTTAGGTGATTCAATAAAACTGGGATTATTCTGAAATTGTCTTTCAGATTTCATCATGTCCTTCATTTGTCCAACAAAGACATCTGTATCGGAGAATTATATTACAGTAAACATAATTTAATAACTTAATATATATATGTAATGAAAGTACAGAAAGACATTGTATTAATCAATATGAATACATGCTTATACAAATGGTTAAAAATATAAATATATCACTTTAAAAAGATGAATAAAATGATATAATATTATATAATAATATAATAACAGTTTTATTTATTTACATATAACTCACCATTTCTCCTGTGAGCTGATTCCACCCCTCCCTCCACACCAAAGCGTCTTCATCTGGTGGTGTACAGACCCCAAAATAAATAGACAGGGGGCAGCATCGCTACAAAAGAACACCTGATTGTAAATCTTCTGTGTACCAAAAAAGACAAGAACACACCTTAAATTACTGTCTATTTGTCTTTATCTTTAGGAATATCCCGAAGACCTGACCTTCCACTACTGGGCGTTGTTCGATGGCCACGCAGGCACGGGGGCAGCGGTTGTGGCCTCCCACCTCCTCCATCACCACATTGCTCTGCACCTTCAGGATGTGATGGAGATCCTCTGTACTCCAAGCATTCCACCTCCAACATGCCTGGGTGAGGAGCCTAGTGCTCATCTCCTCACTCCGACATCCCAAAGGGCCCTCAGCAGGGCCGCGTCTCTCCGGGGGGCCGCGGGGGCCCCTGGTTCCCCCAGCGCAGCACCAACACGCTTCTTCATGGAGAAGAAAGTTTCACACGAGAGCCTGGTGATTGGTGCCATCGAGAATGCCTTCAAAGACATGGTGAGATCAGTGTTTGTACTTGATGAATTGTGCATGAAAACCAAGGGGAAAAATATGTACTAGGTAATTATTTTATCATTTTCACTGGTCCGGTTACATATTTATCAGCAACACTAACTCAACCAATATTAATTAGTGACGACCTGGAAAGGACCAAGTGTCCCCAAAACGTCCATCTAAATGTAACAATAACAGGATACATGTACACACATACTATAGACACAAGCTAGCACACACACAAAACCTCACTGTCTCTGTCCATCTGGTTGTGTTGTAAGTGGATGAAGGAGAATTACTGTGGCTCATGCAGCGTCCAAATGTCCGTGACCAGAGCCAATCACAACAGTGCTTTGAGGGAGAACAGGTCAAAGTGACAGGCTCCAGTTTCAGCCTCGGTGCTCGGATCAACACACTCTGTTTTGTTGTGTTTTTCCACAGCAGGGTTATTAAAGAACAATGACCCCGATATGGAAAGTAGTTCATTTGTTTTCTCTCCATTAGGCCTCACAACGAGACGGTCACACGTTTGAATCCTGCTTCACACCAGTGTTTTTTTCTTTGCAGCAGTTTGCATGTTGTACCTCTGTTCTCTTCACTTCACTCTGTGTTCTCCAGGGTTCCGTCCTATGGCATGCAGTTTTAATGAGTAATCGACTTGTAATACGTCTATGTTTGAAGAACTGGTGCAGACCGTACACAGGCATTTGTCCCATCACTGGGCTGGATTTGACATTACCCACCAGGGGCTTAGTACAATGAGTAAATATAAGATGGAGTTTTATATAATAAAAAAAAAAGATTCACTCTGTTCCAAAAAACATTTAAGCCTGTAATATAATCTCATTAGAAAATAATTTAACAACCAATCTTGATGCTTACACTCTTTTACCACTAGGTGGAAGTGTACACTTAAATGTAGGAGGAAGCCACGTATTATTTTGCAACTTTAAAGAACCGTAATTTATGTATTTGGTTGATACATTTTTCAGGTTTCATCAACAGAGTATTAACAGTTAAGGTTGCAGGCATCAGAGTGGCTACAACAGAGGTGCTTGGTGACAGTGGTTTTACTGTGATAAAATATAATCTGAATAAATAGTTATGCTGTCATCAGCAGAAATACAGATCATGTGATCCTGGATTATGACCCACTTATTTCCCACAGCACATATTTGAACATGTATTTCACCATTATATTTGCGTCTTGCTGTCTTTGTCCTTTTCCGCTCATATTTTTCACTTTCCTTCCCATCAGCAAACATTTCTGCCTCCCCAATCTCTCCTCACACATGCCTTCTCCGTCTCTTTATCCACCTCTGAATCTGCACCCCCTCCATCCCCCACGTGCCACCTCCTTGTCCTTAAAGAGGAGTTGCACTGGAATCATTCCAAAGATTGCAGCTGATGTTGCCGGTGACACATGTCAAACCAAAAGCTACAAAACTGTAAAATAGTAACCTGATTACCTTTTCAGAGAGCAGTATTTTAAGTATATTCAAGGTTCTTTGCCATACGAGTGTGTTTTTCCAGGTGGTTCCTGGTACCTTTGTTCACCCGTGTGCTGTAATTACATAGCCTGGTCTACCTTACAGCTTTTTTTTTTGGAGTAGTCGTGACAGTGAAATCAAAAGCAGCCAGGTTTAAATGGTACATGTCCCAGTACATGTCGGCAACACTTTTATCCCTTAGACATGTCAATAAAAAGCTTACACTTAAAAAAGAATTCTTGGAAATCTGGTGTCATTCATGTCGGGCTTTGACTTCACAGAGACATCGTATCTGATCCTCAGGATCTAAAATTCACTTCATTCTGATACAGGTCTCCAGTTTGTGTAATTGCAGCTTTGGCTCAGTAAACACAAAGATGTGTAAACATGACAAAATGTGACTCCCAGACAGAGACAGAGTCTGTCAGTACATACAAAAAAAATGTGGACTACTGAAATTGTTGTCCTCAAATGATCTTGGTGGAGGTCATTGACTGCAAGGGATTTCCTGTGCAATGAAATCAAATATAGCTCCCAGTGGCTTTAAGTCAAACTTTAAGCTTCTTTAGGTTTCAAATTTTTCCTTATCTCTAAGTCTAATTTTTTTTCTTCTGCTAAACCCTAAACTACAGCTTTGTTGCTATTCTTAGATGACAGTCAGGTAGCCAAAATTATTTATTTTTAATCATTAATTTGACTTGAAATTCAGTATGTGCTATTTACTGTTATAATGACGTTCTTACTTGTAGATACCTGCAGTATCTTTTTACTACAAATGTTTAATACCGTGTGTGTCGCGTCAACAAATGACTAATCCTGGTGTTTTTTTGCCTTTGACTTTTTTTATTTCTTTCTCAAGCGAACGCCTACACTTTTCCGATCAATAGAAAAAAAGCTCAGTGTAGAAAACAGGTTTGATTTTGACCACCCAAAGTCATAGTTTGTTTTTTTAATCCTATTATCTTCCATACTCCATTGAGAAACGTACCTATCCTTGAGATGAGTGGCCGTGGGTGTACACCGTGGGCTTTCTCTACAGATCTGTGAGTGTCCTTGGTGATATTCTTTGGCTCTTTGTGTCTTCTTGGCTTTTTCAAACACAAAAAAATCACTTGTGGTCATTTCTCTGCGTTACCTTTTGCGTCCAGATGGCTCCATCCATCTCTTTTACACAGAATGAGATAAATGTGGGATGGGGCGGACCAAAACATTTTGATCCTCCCTATTTCTCTGAGTCATTTAGCTCTGCTCATAGAGTCTTCCTGGTGTAAGTGGAGAGAGGGGTCGATGTTTATGCAGACGCACTCATTATCAGAGTCTGTGCCTGCAGCTGCAGATATAGTGAAGATAAATATGTACAGCTCTCGGTGCATTCATAATTCATCTTGTATAAAGGACAAATTTGTTCACTTCCTTTCCACTCAACCCTTGTACACATACATATTCCTGCTCCCTGCTACTTATTGCTCTCCTACTCCCATCAGTTGCAACATCTGTGAGTGGTTGTGTGTGTGTGTGTGTGTGTGATAGAATCATACATAACAAAATCGTACAAAAGACACACGAATTACATTGTTCAACGATACACAAAACTGTTCTTTGTTGTTTAGAGGGTCACCGCAGCTCTGTACGTAGCACAGTTACCACCCAGAAGGTTGTGGGTTCGATTCTTAGACTTGGTGGGTTATATCCTTATTAAGTATATTGTTAAACATGTAATAGATAAGATCTCATCAGATAGCAAATATGTACTGCAGTATGTACCATGACATGATATGACAAGATACTGTACTACACAAAACACACACACACACACTCCTATATTTCTTGGTGGAGGTAGAATTAGTCATAGGTCATCAGCATACGAGTGTGCTTTAAAGCTGCATCCGTCAAGGAAATAAAGATGACAAATTTAGCCAAAGTAAATGTGCTAATCAACATTTTTCACACTGTCTCATTTGCCCAGTGATTAAAAGACATAAATGAAGAATACACACAAGTTACCTCCACTTTTATTATCCTGTAATCTCCGTTTCTCCTGGGCTTCATTCACGCTAACGCATCATAATTAATTAAATGACGGGCGAATTATTCATCTGATTAATGATTGATGCCATGGTCTTTTCTTTCTTGCTCATCGCTCTTTTAGGTTTAATTAGCGCTAAATTAATCTGAGCTAATTAACTGCTGTTATGACCAACAATCCCTTCAAACTTTCACCTTTTTTTTCCCTTGTGTTTTTCGTTTAATGCTATCAACACTCAACGCCGTGGATGAATGAAAGCGTTATGTTGCAATAATTAATTAATAATGTCCTCATGGCATTTATTAAATACCAGGAAAGAATTAAAACTCATTATTAACTTCTTACGTAAAGGGTTCGTGCTGCAGCACGATAGGAAATTCCTTTGAAGGCCGCGATGATAGCACTGAAGATTATAACCAGAGATGCGTATGTGTGTGTGTGTGTGTGTCTACATGTGGTTGGGTTGTCTCTTGATAGGCCTCATTTCCATCTAAAAGAACTCCCATCCATAGAAGTAAGTGGGAACTTCCTTAGTGGTATCGCACAGCACTCTATAAGAAGTTCTAAAACTTCAATCAAAAGTTAAGCCAGTGGAAATGCACTAGAAAAAATCCCTTCTCACTTAGTCAACATAAACATACTCATGTATTTAAAATCAATATCTGCAAATAAATCCTGGGATTAAAAAAAATCACTGGGTCACAGATAAAGGAGTTTAACCACAGAAATGGGAGTTTGTGTACTGAAGCATTCAGGCCACTTATTTCTGCTGTCTCTTTGAGCTTCTCCAGTATGGGATGGATACGGTGGTTAAAGATGCCCTTGATGTTAACTCACGGAAAACTGAGGAAATAGTTTTTTAGGTCATCACCAGATTCTTATGATATTCCCAGTTGTATTCCAATGGGAAAAAAATCATGCTGGTATCTTCCTATAAATACATTGGAGTAATAGATAACTCCCTGAACTCTGGAGAGATCATATACTGTAGAGTAAGTAAGGACAAGCAGAGAATTGATTATCTTCTCTGAGGTGTGAACAGAGACTTTCTTTCTTCTTCTATAATACGAGCGAACATTTAGTGGTAAATGTAGTCGATTAAGTTCATCTGCTCCATTCAAGTCTGTGAGGTTTCACAGAACCACCCTTTTTTTTCTACTATGAGCTGATGTCTCCATACAGATTCTAGATTCTTCAGGTTTCTTATAATGAGACCAAATAATGTCACTGTGTCATGTCTTTTATCAGCTGTTTTCATGGTCGTGCACGTTCCACTTCTGTGAAGTTGAATCATAATTTCAAATCATTATGATCCATCATGGCAGCCTGCGTAGAAAAGAACTTAATATTTCTTAGGAAAATCTAAATGTTTAATCTCTGAATTGGTTCATGAAGGCACACACCAAGACTGACTCACAGCATCACTGGTAATCCAATTCAATAGTTAAAGTTGGGGGTGAGGATGGTGGAAAGACGGCGATGCAAGGAGAAGAGGCGGCAAAGGAAGATGAGGCATCAAGTCATCCCTTAACTGCTGAGGATCTGACGATATTAATGTAAATGCTAAAGGGATATTTTTGGATATAAATGTCTTTGATTAACCCTTTAGTAAACTGTGATCATGCCCTTACCTGTGTACAAACAGCTGATTGGTTTCATGAGCTTTTTTTTAAAGTTTCTTTTTTACCCAAAATGTTTTGCATCTGTGCGTTTGTTCAGGATGCACAAATAGAGAAGGAGAAGTCGATGTACAACATCTCAGGCGGCTGCACCGCCCTGGTGGTCATCTATTTACAAGGAAAGCTTTACGTTGGGAATGCAGGAGATGGCAGGTAAATCACAGTGAGCACAGTGGGCAAACACAAAAAGACTAGAGGAAGGGGGTTCTACTGATATTTATTATTTGATATTTGTCTTTCTGTTTCAGCAATATATACAACATTTTTGTTGTTGTCACATATAGTAATGGTGATTTATTCCGAATTAATGCTTAATCGTGATTAATTATGATCACGAATAATCATGATTAATTGCTTTAATCACTAACCAATCACATTAACATATTGCAGTTTTAGGGCTTTCATAAAGACACATGTGGAATGGACCTTTTTTTTTTGCCGTCGTTATCGTTTTGGTTTTTTTGCCTCTCACCCTCAGAGCTATCATCATCCGGGGTGGAGAAGTAACTCCCATGTCTTCAGAGTTCACACCAGAGTCAGAGAGACAACGACTACAGTTTTTGGTGAGAACATTTTTTTTTCCTCCAGTTTCTTTTTTAGCTGTGAGATCTTCGCAGAGTTGACTTCTCATTCTGGGGAAACACCAATTCTTTCTGTCTTACACTGGTTGCTCACTGCCAGCTTAACAGAACCGTTTTGAGACATGTCACTTTTATTTATCATCTTTCTTTATTCTCCCTTTTTCACAGGCATACATGCAGCCGCACTTATTAGGTAACGAGTTTACACATCTGGAATTCCCCAGGAGGGTTCAGAGGAAAGAAGTTGGCAAGAGGATGCTGTACCGTGACTTCACCATGTCTGGATGGTGGGAACGCCGCTCATTTGATTTGTAGACATTTTTACTCTAAATGTAATGCTTAATATATATATTATATATAACTCCAGAAGTGTCACAGCATGACAACTGTAGGGGCACTGTGAGCGTGAGGTTTTTCTTTATTTTTTTTTTCTGTCTTCTCTATAACACAAAACACATTTTTATAAAAATGCCCTCATGATTCTAATACATTGTCCAGGGCATACGGTATACTGGCAAATTCATGTAAGCCTTCATTCATGTAATCTAATTAACCAATTTGATCTTCCCATAATAAGAGCTAAATATCAGGGTCAGCTCCAAAGAGCTGATTAGAAATATAAATTTGAAAACAAAATTAAAATGAATAACAGAAGCACATATGTAAAGTTCAACTATCAGCCCTAATTTTTTGTGGGTGTTCAAACTTTTTTTGTGGCCTGTAGTTTTGTTGAATGCTTAAGAAATGTGTTGCACGTGTATGTCAACCCTGAGTAAGTGGTACTGAGATAATGAAGAAGCTGAGAGTAGCTGGAGGACATGAGGGAAGCTGAGATGAGCTGCACGTTTTTCTGACACCACCTCCCCGTAGGTGTGTTTTGCAGATCTTCTCAGTTCAGCAGATGTAGGTCAGTCAGTGGCTGCGTTCCTAACTGGTATCAGAACCCTGTTCCTGTCTGTCTGTGAAGTACTGTATCCGAGCGGCATGGACGACCTGTGATGTATTTTTAATCCGATTCTGCTGTTAACCCAGTTGTGCGTCAGTTTCACACAGGCCGAGTCTTTGTCGTTGTACCTCATGGCTCTCATCCCGCGTCTTCTTCTCTGATGGATCTTCTCTATGTCTGTGTATCTCCCTGTCTCTGTGCAGAAGTGCACACTCTCCTTGTTGTCTGCATGCCCACATGCTGCTTGTGTGGGTGTATTCTGGCACCTATGATCAAGACTGGCCTCTAATGAAGGCATACATACGAGGCCCTCAGCCCACTTCTTTCTGTCTCCTTACATTAGCTTCACAGCTCCACCGTCATTCAGGCAGCAGGACCGGAGTCTGATCTATCTTTGGTGCTCGGCACGCACGATAATTCTCTCACAGTTGTCCAAGATGGGGGGTGGTTTGTTTGCGCGGTGTCCCGCAGTGATCAATGTTGAGCAGTCAACCACTGACGACATGATCTGAATGCCATAGCAACGAGAGAAAGAGAAAGAATAAGAGAGAGAAAGAGAGGAGAAACTGGAGACAGAAACAGGGAGAGAAATGTAACGTTGAAAGAAAAAAATACAGATTAAATTGAGGTGAATCAATGTGTTTTTGGGACATAGTTGTGGTGAGAAAATGCTTTTGGTCAAACGGCAGGACAGTGATGGATGTCTGTCCACTGTGGTGACTGTCCTCAGCCTCATTATATGGAAAACGCTCACACACACTTTCATCACTGTCACATCATTCCATCCTCTCTCTGCTTTTCTTTTTCCACTGCACTTCACTTCCAGTATGATGGATGGACGGATGGATGCCTTTGGGTTGGCAAACACAAGGAGAGTCATCGGGTCACAAGCATTAATCCTGACTGAGTTTGGCTCACGATACCACTAAGCCTTCTAAAGTCATTTAGACTGAGCAGGAAAAGATGCCTGTAGCAGAGGCCAGGTGCAGCACCTTATAATTTATAGTATTGCGAATGAAATTAACATAAACTGCTCACGGTCTCAGTTAAACTAAGGATAAAATAAATACAAAAAGATATATATATATATAAAAACATACAGTTTCACTTATGCATAGTTAACACAACAGCAGAAAGTGAGTGAAGCTTTTACAAAAATAGCACATCTCAATTAAAAACTCCTGCTCCGACTTTCCATAGAAAACACTTGTCAATCAAACCAATACTTACGGTATTGGTTTGAGGAAGAGGTGATGGGGTCAGCACATGTTTTTGAGTACAAGTATCTGGTTGCATGGACAGCTGTGAGGTATCATCCCTGTATTGAAGAGTTTTATGGAGAAGCTGATCTGTCACTGAGCATCTCTCCCTGCTGTGTTCAGCCTCTCAGTCCCAGAGCTGCTGCTTTAACAGGGTTTCCTTTCTGTGAGTCACACACCTATTATAGAGAGTCTGCAGAAGTCGACTCTCAACATGAGGCACGCTGTCCCCCACAACAGGCTCTGGGGATTTTTTCGAGACACCTCTAACATAATAACAAGTGTATGTCTCCATTTTGTTTTTTTGTTGTTGTTTTTTTTACAGGCCGAGTCTTTGTCGTTGTACCTCATGGCTCTCATCCCGCGTCTTCTTCTCTGATGGATCTTCTCTATGTCTGTGTATCTCCCTGTCTCTGTGCAGAAGTGCACACTCTCCTTGTTGTCTGCATGCCCACATGCTGCTTGTGTGGGTGTATTCTGGCACCTATGATCAAGACTGGCCTCTAATGAAGGCATACATACGAGGCCCTCAGCCCACTTCTTTCTGTCTCCTTACATTAGCTTCACAGCTCCACCGTCATTCAGGCAGCAGGACCGGAGTCTGATCTATCTTTGGTGCTCGGCACGCACGATAATTCTCTCACAGTTGTCCAAGATGGGGGGTGGTTTGTTTGCGCGGTGTCCCGCAGTGATCAATGTTGAGCAGTCAACCACTGACGACATGATCTGAATGCCATAGCAACGAGAGAAAGAGAAAGAATAAGAGAGAGAAAGAGAGGAGAAACTGGAGACAGAAACAGGGAGAGAAATGTAACGTTGAAAGAAAAAAATACAGATTAAATTGAGGTGAATCAATGTGTTTTTGGGACATAGTTGTGGTGAGAAAATGCTTTTGGTCAAACGGCAGGACAGTGATGGATGTCTGTCCACTGTGGTGACTGTCCTCAGCCTCATTATATGGAAAACGCTCACACACACTTTCATCACTGTCACATCATTCCATCCTCTCTCTGCTTTTCTTTTTCCACTGCACTTCACTTCCAGTATGATGGATGGACGGATGGATGCCTTTGGGTTGGCAAACACAAGGAGAGTCATCGGGTCACAAGCATTAATCCTGACTGAGTTTGGCTCACGATACCACTAAGCCTTCTAAAGTCATTTAGACTGAGCAGGAAAAGATGCCTGTAGCAGAGGCCAGGTGCAGCACCTTATAATTTATAGTATTGCGAATGAAATTAACATAAACTGCTCACGGTCTCAGTTAAACTAAGGATAAAATAAATACAAAAAGATATATATATATATAAAAACATACAGTTTCACTTATGCATAGTTAACACAACAGCAGAAAGTGAGTGAAGCTTTTACAAAAATAGCACATCTCAATTAAAAACTCCTGCTCCGACTTTCCATAGAAAACACTTGTCAATCAAACCAATACTTACGGTATTGGTTTGAGGAAGAGGTGATGGGGTCAGCACATGTTTTTGAGTACAAGTATCTGGTTGCATGGACAGCTGTGAGGTATCATCCCTGTATTGAAGAGTTTTATGGAGAAGCTGATCTGTCACTGAGCATCTCTCCCTGCTGTGTTCAGCCTCTCAGTCCCAGAGCTGCTGCTTTAACAGGGTTTCCTTTCTGTGAGTCACACACCTATTATAGAGAGTCTGCAGAAGTCGACTCTCAACATGAGGCACGCTGTCCCCCACAACAGGCTCTGGGGATTTTTTCGAGACACCTCTAACATAATAACAAGTGTATGTCTCCATTTTGTTTTTTTGTTGTTGTTTTTTTTAAGTTGAAGCGATGTGGCAGCAATCAAAGTGATTCCCCTTGAAGTGATGTGGCAGCAATCAAAGTGATTCCCTCTCTGCAAATGAAAAGAGAATGGCCTGCTCCACTTTAATTAATGTCTCTTTTTACGCTTATTTTAGACGTGGCACCATCCCACTGCTGTTTTATGTGCTTTTCCACAACATTAAAAGTGCAGACACCAGAGAGGGAGCACTTCGGCAGGCAGTTAGATCGTGTTGCGGCTATTTAGTGCTGCGAAGAGTCACAGTCTGCAGACTATTTCTCTGTTTGTGGGCTCTGTTCCCTGTGATAGTTCCCTCTCTGTGCAGGGTAAAAAAAAGTGCTGAGAGCAGCAGCATAGCAGTCGCCTAAGGTGGAAACATATGGTGTCTCTGAGTGGAACCAGAAGTAATGTAAAAACCATCCTGGTCCTCACTAATCTTCTTCACTGAAGCTGAATTAAAATGTGAAGGGCAGCCTTGACTCATTTTGTATTTGCATAATAAAAATCCATGTTAAGCAAACTCCAGGATGAAGTGACATAATATTTTAAAATGAAATATCCCTCAAAGCATTATTTGTACCTTATTCCTTCCCATTGAAAGTGTCAAATTTTTAGAAGACCGATCAGTAGACTTTCATTTTGAGAGCACCTGGTGTGAGCTCTGAAAACACTGTCTGTGTGTGCAGCCGGGCCAGGATTTTGGCTGAGACTTGTAATAATTCTGGTTCTGCCCGGAGACGCAGCTGTTCCTCTTAAAGTTAAACTGTTGGGTGAAAGGGAAGAGGAAAAAAAAAATACTGAGAAAAAGTACCGAGCTGTCGAGGTGAAAAGTGTATCTTAAGATCTGGCATCAATGCTTATTTTTTACTCTTTTTTTTTCCTTGTGTTGCAGCTCTGTCTGGTCCAAGTCTGAAACTGGTAAATTATTCAGCATTTGGAGAAGTTTTAAGCGCCGCTCTGAGAACAGGGGAATGTGAACGTTGATACTCTTGCATCACTGAGCTGTTTTACATCCAGACTTTCAGATATAGTACGTGTGTGTGTGTGTGTGTGTGTGTGTGGGTCTGTGCACCTTCTCACACAGACACAAACACACCAAACTGCAGACAGGCACAAAAAACCACCAGCAAACCCCAGGCATCAGTAGAACTCTCACTTTTTTTCCATTTGGGACTTATGCCTGAATGTTATGTCTAGATTGTTTTTTTTTTCTCCTCTCAACATCTTCCTCTTTTTTCCTCTCAGAATTCTCTTTCTCTACAGAGCCTGTAGGGGGGTAGA